ACAAATGGGACTGACTGGTGCAGGAGATTCATCAGTCCCATTTAGAAACCCAACAACTTCTGCTCCTCCACATTTGCTTCATGATCTCTGACATAGGTGGTCTTTGTTCCATCCTCCGAGAGGACAATGCAGACATTGGACAGTTGAGTCTTGACCTTAACTTTACAGTCACACTTGATGTGACCTTCAGTTCCACAGTTGAAGCACTTAATTTCCAAACCAGAATGTCTAACATTCCGTTGTGAGTCAAAGTGAGGTTCAGTGGTGAAAACCAACCAAAACCAACACAAAAGACAATGAAAGCGAGTGGTGGTGTGCCTATGCAGTACCTAGATGGTAGAACCTGTTCTTTGGGAGGGTTTTTGCGAGCTACAACACTCAAAGATGAGTGCTGAGGGTTGGGGGTGCTCCTGACGAAGAGGGAGCAAGAATGTGATAGAAAGCGATAGGGTAGACTGCTGTCAGCCTACAGAAGGATGGATGGTGACTTAATTCAATGTCCTAAGCTGTACTGAGCTCAGGGAGGGCTTGGAGCAAAGTATATGGATGATAGATGATGATAAGCGAAGTAGATGATAGCTAGACCCTTAATAAAGTCTCAACTATCGAAGCTGATGAATGATTTACTGAGAGATGATAAATTGCAAGCAAGAGGGGCTCTCTGATGTCTTCTCTCTTTTTTTTGCTACCTAAGTACAGTGACTTATATACAGTACAGGGGCATTGCCTATGGAAAACAAGGTGCAAACACTTGGTAAGTGATTGGTAACTGATGAGTAAGGAATGTAAGCAATGGGTAATCGTCTTGGAAAGCATTGGTAAGCATTGGTAAGGATAAGTAAGCCAAAAGGCAAAGAATCAGTAAGCAAAGTCAAAAGATTGGTAAGTATTGGCAATAGGTGAGTCAAAGACAGTCAGAATGTCACAGTATGAGTCAAGCAATGTCAGGAACTGGGAAAGTGCACTGGAATCACATTAGGGGGAGGCCGTGCATGTCACATCTCGAAGAGATCACTTCTAGGCCAAAGTGGGATGACAGAGAGGCAGCACTGATCTGATGCCAATATAGTACATCCAAAAGTGGACAGGGTGAGTCAGATGTCAACAGGGGTCAAGCTTTGGGGGTCTGTGGGGTGACAGGAGCATAGGGGATCACAACTTTCCCCCCCAAACCATCCTCTCAGTGAAGCAAATAAAAACTTCATGAACGAGGCTCTGTTGGAAGAGAGGATGAAGGGGGAGCATCTTCTGCTGTATCTTGCAACAAGGAGGCAAGATGTGCATCATACTCGTCATGGATGCAATCAGGGAGAGTGGAGAACAGTAGATTATACTGTAGCTGTCACAATTTTGGAAGAATGACAGATGAGACTGGTATGAAGATGTTGCAGGGGGCAGGGAGGAAGGATCCATATGCTTCTTGGACTGGAGAGACTGAAATGACCACATAAGACCTTTCCAAGCAAATGACAGACCTGAGGTGACCAAAGAACGTCCTCCTGGAGGTCATACTGACAAAAGGAACATGCTGTCCAAGCTGGATGGGCTGAGAGGGGGCAGATAAGGGTGGGATGTACCAGGATGCTTCAGGACAGAAGCTGGTAGGAACTCCTGGTAGATATATGTGGCCGTGGTCCCTAGCAAAGGGGACAAGCGAAATGACTGATGTGGAGGCAGCCATATCAGAAGAATTAGCGAAATGAGCGTCTTTTGGAGGGAGTGCTGTAGAAATGTGTGGAGTGCGCAAATCCTTTCCAATCTTGGAAGGTAGGATCACATGGCTGAGCACTACAAGCAAGTGTGGGAATGGTTTCAGTGTCTGCAGAACTGGTGGAGATATGTCGAAAACTGGAATGCCATACATGGGCGCTTAAGAATTTTATTGGTGCTTAACTTGCCTCCTCCTTTTTCTTTGGCATTGACAACTTGTTCTTGTGCGAGGGATGACTGCCAACATTGCTTGCTGTCCTTCTTCACATGAGGGCTATGGTCTTCACCTCCATTCATCAGCTACATCCATGTCCACCTCACCAAACACCTTTGGTGTGTGACACTGTTTACATTTGTCAATGTCCATCACATCAGGATCTCAGGAACCTCCACAGTAATGAATGAATTTGTGTTCATACTGAGATTCCTTCCCTTCTAGGATATGCTTCATAGTGATCATGGTTCGAGCTTCTCCTGCACACTGTATCCACTCAATGACTGTGGAAGGGGCATGTCCAGAATTGAGAACCCAGTCATGGTATTCTTTATTTAAGCCTTTCCCAAAGAAGATCCCTGCTTCATGCAATTCTTCCTTGAGTTGAACCTTGTTTACAAGTCCAGTGAACTCAGCAATGTATGCCTCAAGTTCTCGTTTGCCTTGTTGGATATCCAAGAGCTGTAAGATTGTGAGGGCAGTCTGATCTCCCAACTTGAAGGTAGCTTTGAGCCCTTCAACAAACCTTTGAAAGGTGTCAGTATAGTAGATTGAACCATCAAGCAACTTGTTTTCATTTTGATAGTTCTCAGCAAAGGACATGGCGGCACCCTTGGTCATATACATGAGCACAAACGAGATCTTGAGAGATTCCATGTTGTAGACATGTCTGTTCAGGTTCAAATATCCTTCAACCTGCATAATCCAGGTCTGAAGCCCATTGTGGCTTCCATCATATTCTCTGGGATGCCCAACATTAAACTCCCAACCTCCATTGGGTGGGCAGCTCAAGTAGTCATTGTCTTCATTGGCTTTAGCTTTCCCCTTACTGCCACCACCAGCAGGTAGCTCTGGGGGTATGGCCTTTCCAAAGTTCCTACAATACCATTCTCGCAAAGCTGAGTCAGTAGGCATACCTGTTGGGAATGGGTCACTCAATGTTGCATGCATCACCCTGCAGAGCTCCTCCACCATTGTGACTCTTTGTTCTTCCAACCTCTGTCTCAGTTCCTCTTCTGAAATGGTCCTCAGGGGCATTTCAGGAACCAAATCTCCATGACCAATTGTCATGGACATTTCTTCTTGATTGTGAGCTTCTTGTTCTTCTTTGAGGACTGATCTGAAAGAAGTATCAGACTTCTGATCGTCTTCTTCTTCTGAACTGAGCACAACTTCTGAATCCCTAAACCAGGATAGATAAGATAACCAGGGATTTGTTGCAGTAACCAAAGGACCGAGTCTTCCTAGCAGGATGGGCAGTAATGGTGGGTTTCTGCCAAGCCCAAGGGGATTAGGATGAGGAGGGACTGGAGGTTTTGATTTCTGTGAGTTAGACACTTTTACAGATAGTGACAACAAAGGCTGAGGGAGGATTTATTTCTCAAAAGAAACCTGTCAGCATAGGGAGGTTATGGGTGTGTGCAAGTGACTTTATGCATAGGGGGACACAAGCATGAGCTCCAGGGAGGTGATCTATTAAAGCCTAGTGGCTGCCTGTAGAGCAGTGGATTTGATTGAGGGTGGAGAGGTGCTTCTTGATCTTGTTCAATAAGTGGGACGAAGGCAAGTCAGTCTTTACATGTAGGGAGAGCAATGAGCCTAGTGCAAGGTAGAGATGGTTTGTTGAAGTTCAGTAACCAGGGACAAGTAGACTTTCATGAAGAGGTCAACGAGTCCCAAAAGCTGCACAGAGTTTTTCAATTTTGTTATGCCCAAGCACAGTGACTTCTTCAAATGGAATAGGCACAAAGTGTGCAAGGGGGAGCCTATGGGCCAAACATGTCATAACCCCTATGGCTCAGTTATCTCTGAGGTCCAACAAAGGTTCACTCTGCTGGTGATCCACTAGGGTAGTCACACAGAGAGGGAACAAGGACAAAAGAGAAGGGATGAAGCTGAGTTGCAAGCTATCGAAAAACTGAGGATACAAGGTAAAGTATGAGGACTTATATACCCCTAAGTACAAGTACCATACCAGTTGCAACACAATGCATCGCAACGCATATCTGCAGTAATCAACAGAACAATCAGTCAAATAGATAAGTCAGAACAAGTCATACAGTGTCATATGATGGGGATAGGCAAGGAAACAAAGGCTATACCAGCTGCACAATCAATGTGCAGCAAGGAGCCAGACACCAGAGCTATAGTACAACATGTGAGCAATATAAACAAGTCAGAGATGAGTCAGAAAAGTAAGAACATAACATGTTGTCCATCAGAGAGGGCGGTGGAACACCAGATCAAGCAGGAGGCACAGTCTTGACAGGTATTGGAAATACCATGACAACTGGAGATCTGGAAGAGCCTCACAGCAGACAAGCCCCCAAGACAGCAACGATTATGAGAGACACAATGAGGCATGTGATGCACATGACCACAAGAAGTCAAAAAAGGAAAGACCCCTGACATGGGCATAACAATCCCCAAGTTTATATACATGTTTCCATATGCACGGACCAGTAATGTATAAGGAAACTATTACTATGTATAGTAAGGAATAGCAGAGAATGCTATGGAATATGATGCAATGAGTGATGTCATATTGATGTCACTGTGGAGCTGATTATGAAGACAAGTCATATGATATAACATGTGTATCAAAACATGTAAGTCTAGAGGGATCCAGACATCAGACATATTATCATATTTCCAACATGTTGTGCTGGATAAGCTCAAGCATTTCCCTGGAGTAATGGCACTCACACAGCTCATACTTCCTGCTCCATCAAGTCCATCTGGCATCACTTCAGTGATGTCTGTTGACCTGAAGAACCCTAAAGTTGTTAACTTAACCCAGCCTTAAGGCCTTGTGCCCAGTGTCAGAGACTGAAGAGAAAATACACTGGGCACACAAAACTGCTAAGTGTGCAAAAATGGTAAACAAAGGAAAACAAACAGTCACAACATACCACAACACTGTATAGTGTAGGAATGTGAACTTAGAGCATATTAGTGTAGCATATAACAGTAGAATAAATGAAAATGCAAACAGAGGTGCAGAGGCACCACTGTAACAAAAGTTGCAGTGGATGTGCTACATCTTATTGAACTTTCCAACCACACTTCAACCATCATGAAATCTTCTGTGGCTGACACCCTCATATTCACTGATCCCCTTCTAGGTATCTTTTGCATGTTCAGAGAGTTGGACAACCTGTCTGTTTCGACTTCGCTCTCCGTAGTCCCATTCGACGATTTCTCGCATAGGGTTGCGGAACATACTTCAAGACGCGCGTCCCAACTGGTGCTCCTACCGTGGTTACTGCCCACGTCTAACTACCAGACCACGATGGATGCTGAGGCGACTCCTACCACACCGAAATCGCCAAGATTTGAGAAAAACCCTTTCGAAGCTTTCTTCGGAAGCCTCTCCAGGGCGGACAAGTCAGCCTCTGATGAACTCGCAGTTCCTCCGTAGTGTGTTCGCCCAAAGCAAATCGGATGTCGCTGTATTCATCGACACTGGCGATCGTTCGGGTGCCGGTAGCTCACAGCACGTCTTGCCCCCCTTCTTTGGTGGACCGGATGATAGGCTTTCATTGGAATTTGTTGTCCAGTTGTGCCTTAACCCAAGAATAACGGCGACCGTGGCGAGGTACATTAAGTGGAATGTCGACACTGCACCTTTGGAGCGGCCCGAGGGTGTCGATGGAACAAATCCCTGCTCTTCAGGCCCTAGTCCATCGGGGTGACACGCTCAGCCTAAGATCTGTATGTGAGCCCATTCCATTGGATCAAAGATTTCGGCTGATAAAATCCCACCGTAGACTGCGTTCCCGGACACAGTTTATGGCCAGCTAAACACTCAGACTCGCATGCAGTCCGAGACGGCAGATAGCATGACGTGGAGCAAGTACGCTTCGCTCAACCCTGATCCCGATACTCCTTCGCTTCTGCGCGCTGCCTTGTCCCGTACCCGGTTTTCAGAGTTTTCCATGCCTACTCCCCTCCGTACCGCGATCCAGCGGGCGGCAACTATCGGACAAACGCATACGCGACTTATGATCGTCGCTGGACGCTCGAAACGACTTGCAACGGAAAGTCACCATCATGAACTCAAGGAGATCTTCGTAGAATATGGAACAAGCGGGGAGATGATGAGGAAGACTATCGGAGACGTCGCTTCAGCAATGGTTGTATCAAACTCTGCAAGTGCTCTTGTGGTGCTACAAACGGCAATCCCTGTAGAGTTCAAAGAACGCGCTGTGTGATACCCGTGACCCGACATCTGATATCTGGATGATATAACACAGACATATGCCACCTATCGACTGTACCATAGATGTACCATCGATGCAACAAGTATATTGATTATCCGTACCTAAATATAACCACATCTTGGAGAGCACCTTGCGAATGGCGCCTGCGTTCTGGGGTGGTGGCGCACCTGATCGCGAAGAAATTCAATCGTTCCTCGACTTGATCAGGAAGAGCTTTGCCGAATTTCGACGTTGGGTAGTCCGTCACACCTGTTGGGTAGATGTGAGAGGACATAAACCGGTATAGCAGTCTAACCGCACTATGGGGCATTTATTCGCAAGGAAGCGTCCGCTCGACCAATAAAAGATGAGTGATACAGCTGGAATCCGTATTAAAAACAGATATGAGAAGCACCTTCGTTGACGTGCTTCTGGGGGAACGAATATGTAGCTAGGCATGGTTTGGCGCAGGAAGCCTGACGAACCTCGGAAATACCCCACGTCGTGACTCAATCGTTCAGATCCTCGGTGTAGAGAAAGTGTTGAAGACGAAAGGTGATGCGCCAAAGCTGTGGGCCTTTTTAACCACAAGGCGGCAAATGCCATCGCGAGGTTCGTCTTCTCGCTGATATATGAGACGAGCGACTTTCGGCAGTCTGTAGTCGAAACAACGCGTGTTGCGAAGGCAGATAGATGTTGAGCATGTCGATGTCTGATATGGATGAACCCATCGAGCCTCGGACAGCGTTGAGAATGTTTCGTGCCACGGTCGAGTCGTCACCGACGATAGTGGTTCTGGACAATCGACCCTCCGTCAAGGAAGGTGCCACCGCAACGTGTCGATGCGAATGACAAGTATCTTTCCTCGACAGCGCTTGTTCTTAGCTGGAAGCTCGAGATCTACAACTGAATCATAGCCACCGCTGGTCGCAAGAGACGTGCGCGAGAGTGTGCTACTATGTAACTGATTCACCCTGTGGCAGTCCATTTTGTATAGCACGGCAATGCCTAGTCTACAGGTTCAGCAAGGCCACGCTATCAGGGGTATTGGTACCTGTGGGTACACTCACTCTATCTGTCAAGTGCCATTGGTCGGACTGTGCACAATACACACTAGCAGAGAGACGTTCGAATTCCAAATTCCGTTCCGGCATTACTGGGGTGGATTCCCAGTAAACACTGGGTAGGTGGATGACCTCCTTGCCACTGGAACAGGCCCACCTGATCTGTGGAAAAATAGGTAACCGAGCCGAGCCAGTCGACGGGGTCGACCTCGAGTTGTTTCCAGGCCCGCACAACGTGTGCGACGGACTCCCGCTGGACCACAATGCTGATCCGTCAGTGCCATGGGATCAGTGGGCGAACACGAGGAATGGTAATACAGTTGATTCGCTCATAATGTATACCGACGGGACCACATCAAGCCTGATACAGTATCAGCAAAATACAATATGAAAAGTCACCCATAGTGTGACTTATGTGACGGTTCAATTTCGTGACCCATACACTGAGAGTAGGTTACAGTACGAGCAACAATTTCATCCAGTGAAATTGTATGTATCAAGGGAGGTTTGCTTAGCACGAAGAAATGTTTCCTGCCAAAGGTGTGATCGGAATATGCGAAGTTGCCTTGATAAGTCAAGTGACGATCCAGCATCCCCAAATACCATACATACACTCTCGAGCTCTTCACAGAGCACCAGAACGCTCTCGCGAGTCATAGTGGGGCCTGAATCTTCCTCCTCTTCACTGTCTGAATCCACCTCGATCATGTCCCCACTCGCAGCAGCCAGTTCCTGACGAACAGAATCTGCAATTGCCTTATCAGTTAAGTCACCAGTGCCAGTACTGCTCATCTCTCATTCTTCAGCAGGGTCCACCAGCTCCTCCAGTGTGGACAGCTCAAATACACGATTCCGTTGCTGGAGATGCCTGACAGATGTCATTAGAGTTGTCTCGGCATTAGATAACTGGCCAGGGGGTGGTTTTGTGAGTGCAGGGATGCAAATTTTGAGGCCTGTGCAACAAGCAGCAGCATCAGCAAGTGGTTCAATGGCCTTCACAGCTATAGCAACATCTCCTTCAGCATCCATAACCACCAGTGAGAGCTGGACTGCCAATCTGTGTCGACATAGGAATTCCCAAGGCAAGCTTCCAAACGAGCTTCTGCTTCAGGCAAGTTCATTTCTGTTGTCGCAAATTCACGAATAATTTGCCACCCAGTGGAATCAGCATGAGCTGGACGTGAACTTGATGTGGCCTGCATATTTGGGCTTTCTCTAGCATTGGTGCGAGAGTCAGCAACTTTGCAGATCTTGTTTGCGGGTAACAATGAACTCATGGCTGAATTTCTGTGTGGTCCCAACAGTGCTTGATAGTGTCTTGTGAGACAGCATTCCATGCAGACTTTGCCATTAGCATTGCTTCAAGGAGATCGATCTTGAAAATTTCTTGTGTGCCTGCTTCATCAAGTTCAACAGTGTGGGCACAAAAATTGTGGCAGTAAATAGCTTTGAAGCAATGAATAATTCCAGCATCACAAGGTTGTACAAATGAGGTTAAATTTGGTTTGAAAAACTCAATCTTGATGTTTGTTGGCTCATAATTGATTTTATGGCCAGGGAAGTTGTCAATTGATAACAAAACATAACGGTTTTGCCATTTCATTCTGAGGTCGAATTTCTTTACCCACCTTAATGAATAAATAGGAGTTTAATATATTTCAATTTTTGAATGATAAGGTAAGGAACTTACTCCTCAAATAATGCAGCCGTCATCCAAGCTTTCTTGTTGAACCTGATAATAAAATCCCCGTTGCTCAGGGGTCAGGTTCTTGAAGCAGTGAGGCTTTCCAAATTTCCCAATAAAGAATGGCTCTAACTTTTCACTACCATCAGCATTGCAAGCAAGGCCAATTGTGAGGCGGAATTTTTCCTTCTTTTTGCCACTCATCTGCTTCATGGCAAGACCTCAATCAGGTGGAGCACTGACAGTAGCTTCAAATCAGCAATTGGTCAGCAATAATTGAGTATGACTTACTAGGGGAAGAAACCAGTCTCGTCGAAGTTAAAGTGAATCTCTTGGTGCAAACTTAGCCAATATTGGGCAAAATCGAGCCTGTTCTGCTTCAACTGCTTCTAAGTCAACTGAGCCAGCCTCACCATGCCTCCTGTGCTCTTGAAGATTGTATGCCTTGCAAAAAGATGGAATCCATCCTTCTCCAAGCAGCCTCTCGTTCTCTGGTACATTGAACTCCTTTTCAAACTTGGCTCGCTTTTCTTGAAGCATGGGCCCTGACACTGTCTCACCCCTGTTCTCCATATGGTAAACCCAAAGAATGAGGGCTCGCTCTACATCTGGTCTGGTTACAATACTGAGGGTGCTTTGAAGACAGTGCATTAGGATTGTGGTTAATACGAGCTTCTAATGTCTGTCGGCCATGGAGTTTACGTGATAGAGTAGCTTGTGTGAAGATGAGAGCCCCTGACTTCAGGGTTTGAAAGTGCTCAACAACTTGCTTTTGTGGAAGAGCTGGGTGAGCATCAACATAAGCAAAGACAATCATCCAGTCACTGAGAGTGAGGTTTGACCGTGTGGTGGACTGTGCCAGCTGAGCAGAAGTAGCAGGGCTCGGAGCAGCATCCAGTGCCTTTCTCGGCTTCTTTGCAGGTTGGTTGTCCTGGTGGGGATTGTGGGCTCTTGGTTTGTGCTTCTCAGAAGGCATCATTGATGTTGGTAATTACTGTAACCTTAACCTCAGATTGCATTCATTAAGTATCTGATTGCAGGACAATGTGTTGTCGGACAATGAGCTGTCCCATCCTGCCAAATTGGATATATCATAATGTATATTTCTCACACTGTTCCAATACAGTATACATTATCCAAAATTTTCCAAATTCCCTGCTGCCCACAATGGGACTGACGAAAAGTCAATACAATATGAGAATTATACATTACAACCTCTTGCATTATGAGCAAGTCAACTGTATCAGAAGCAAGGTGAAGTTCAACATTGTTTGCCAACGGCGCGAAAGTCAGTTTTTCAGATTTCCTACACATCCACTGCAGCTGTCCACAGGTAATGTCCTGCTTTTGCGGAGGTAGCTGACGTCCTCGTGGGTATCATAGACCCCGCGCTCAGTCCCTTCTCATCCCACTACTTTTCTCACATTGGGCATAGAGATCCGCGATAACAGCATAGTCCAGTGCTATCGTAACCAACCATCTACTCTTTAGGACCGCTACTTCTAGTCTTCTACGCGGTCATCCTATTTTCTTGTCTTGTCCATTTCTTTCGCAATCAACGCGCTATGTATCTGCTGCGTTCACTGTTCTCTCGCAGCTCAGATTTGCTCGCAAGCGAACAATGTAAACTGGTTTCATCCACTGTACCCGTTTGTGTTAAAGACTTGGTCGTGGTTGCAGGTGGGTTCTCTTTTAAATCATATCATATTGTTCCAGCAAACTCAAACCCAGACGAACGTAGGCTGTCTGATCGTCTTTTGTTTGTTCGCATTTTGGATCGTTCCTAGGGTCTGGAGAAAACGATGCAGAAGCACATGCACTGATAGACGGCAAGGTAAACGGTGTATGCCCATATCCGAGACGAAATCGTTAATTTCGTTTGAATATCCGACTGGACGCAGCTCACGACCGTTTTCATGTTGTATCACCTATGAACGACTCTCTTCTTGTAAAACACGGCATCGTTCCCTCTCTCAGCAAGCCCAAGGAAGTGCGGACGACGGGCGTGTCACGGATGTCCACTGCCTATTATTCGGAATCCACCCCCGACTTCAAGTACTCGTCTGATTTCATTGGTGATTCGGCTTTCAACGGCGATCCACCGTCGTACACAATACCATCTTTTCATCCGAAGATTTCTTCGCGGCATTCAAACTGCGCTTGTCAGGCTCCGCTTTTGACTAATAACGTGTACGATACGTGTGGTCACCGCGGTGAGTTGCAGGAGATGTTATAAAGCCCACGAAGCAGGCTTCGATGCATCAGGCGATCTCTTCCATTAGACGGCAACCTCTGCATTCTAGCTCGATCGATATGAGAGGCATGTAACACAACACGTGTGTATGCCTTGTTGATGCCGTGCATCGTTACTGTAATTGTTTTCCTTCTTTATAGATTCTGTGCATGGTATTGTGCTGAGTTCCACTCATCTCTTGTAGTTGATGGCCCTTGTCATTATGGTCAAGGAGGTACTTACGATGTCCATACAGTTCTACGCGTTTCGCTCTGGTTGTAGGATACAGAAATCAACAGCAGGTCGAACAACAGAAAAATACGAGGTCGGAAACGGCGTAGAAATCCCGCCGTGGAAGATTAACTCTATAGACGCTCAGGTGCGTGTAATCTGATATCCCTGCATATTTGATCGAAAATGGTGGATCTTTCCCAAGAAGCCCATCAGCAGAAGCAGCCTCACAAGATGGGTGGATTGTATGTTCCGGGGTGCAGTTGGCCGCGGCTTTGGGAAGAAATCTTGTGCATTCACTGATTGCCAGGTCCTTGTCTTGAAAATAGCCCTCGGTTGTTCGCAGAGGAAGTCCCCACCATTACAATTGAGGCTTAGATCCTCTGGGAGACTAGTGTTTTTGAGCAATACTCGGTTATAATTTCCATGACGCTTTGGTAATCCATCCTCGAACCAGTGTGAGATTTAGTAACGCGCATTTCACTTTGCTATCGATTCGGACTCATGGAACAGCCTTCAAGCTTCAAGGTACATGCTCGAATTTGTACCTGACGTCCAACGCGTGGGTGCAGTTTGGCCATAAAGGAGTGAGCGGATGATCTGCACCTCTGAATCACCTGGGGCTCGGGTTTGTAATATGTACACTGAGCAGAGTCAAAACCGTTAGTTATAGGGTTAAAAGCTCAGACTTGTCCCTTCGAGTTCATCGCTGAAGCCATCTCAGGGCGGTCACTGGCCTTTGAGAGCAGTTGGTTCCTAAGCGCTTAAGCAACGTGACTTGCATATCTACGTAGACACGTGGAAGGCTTATCCCTGGAGAAGATGCTTCTATTGATGGACTATTAATATTAACCGTGATTCTATTAACCCTGATTCTGCATCAAGTCGAACTACTCATCTTGAGAATTTTGAACGTAACAGTATTCGTCGACCAGCGGTCATTTGTACCATTGCCATCGCCACTCGGAACTCGGGTCGGGGTCTTAGGAAGGTGGAGTTCACTTTACGTCCGGTGTGGGGCCTTCCAGGGCCAACATGCCAACTATTAGACGAGTGTCGTTGAATTTGGCACAGTTCCGTTATCCTGACTGCGTGTTTCAATACCTGTTGTGATGACTTCGGTGACAGCCAAAAGCCGTCAGCATCAAAATCGAAGTGATCCAAACATGTGCAAGTCTGCTCCACTGCCGTCAACAGCTCATCTGCTGTACTCTTAAGGCACAAGCACGACTACTGCTACCCTGGTGACGCTAATACTTCTACCTGTCTTAACGACTCGACAGGGTCACAGTGCAGGCAGGGAGTTCAGTTTTCACGATGCCAGCACTTTCAGAGGCTACAATCAAGCTATTTAGGACAGTCTCGACAAGAGCAACAGTGCAAGGGGAAGTAGGTGTAGTCAATAAATTTTGTCGTACCTTTCTCTCAAACACTGTTTCTCGCCGCAGGGTGGTCTTCTGACTGGCGAGGACCCATCAGCATATAATAGCTCGGATCCTTTGAGATTATGGATTATCCAAGTTGGTGAGCCATGACTAACTCGTGGTTGGGTGTATAGATACAAAGAGTACTTGGCACGTCAGGTGTGATCATCATGATGGCTCAGTTACTTTCCCTTGGTCTGGGAAGAATAAGGCAGCCCAAGGTCATCGCTGAGGTTCTTGGCGGGATTCTCCTTGGTAGGCTAATCATTGGATCTGTTCAACTATTCATCCTTATGCGCGTCATTGCTAGGTCCGACTGCTTTCGGAGCCATTCCAGGGTTTACCCAACATATTTTCCCTCAGGACTCCTTACCGTATCTGTCCCTCGTCGCCAACATTGGCCTTTGTCTTTTTCTCTTTCTCGTCGGTCTTGAAATCGATGCCAGTATCGTCAAGCGCAATGCACGCCTCTCGGTTGTCGTTTCCCTGGCGGGAATTGCTCTCCCTTTCGGTTTGGGCTCCGCGCTCTCATTACCTCTGTACCACCGCTTCATCGATCCCTCGGTGCACTTCACGTATTTCATGTTGTTTACCGGTGTGGCGTACTCCATTACGGCCTTCCCTGTACTCTGTCGTATCCTCACGGAGCTCAAGTTGCTTGACACCACCGTTGGAATTGTCGTTCTCTCTGCTGGAGTCGGCAATGACATAGTTGGGTGGACATTACTGGCACTAAGCGTTGCACTTGTCAATGCCGGTTCCGGACTTACAGCTTTGTGGACTTTATTGATTTGTGTCGCTTTTGCGATCTTCTTACTATGGCCGGTCAAAAGGGTGATGCTTTGGCTAGCAAGGAAAACAGGGAGTGTCGAGAACGGTCCTACTATGTTTTACATGACGGTCGTGATACTACTTCTGTGGGGATCTGCTTTCTTCACTGATATTGTGGGTGTGAATGCGATTTTCGGTTGGTTTTTATCATGGCTTGGCAATTCACTTCTAATTGGCACCGGATTGCAGGGGCCTTTTTGGTTGGGATTGTCGTCCCTAGAGAAGGTGGACTTGCCATCACTCTGACAGAGAAGCTGGAGGATATGGTATCGATCGTCTTTCTTCCTCTGGTAAGTTTCGTTACGACCATGTTGTAGCATCCTTTTCTCATATTTTCAGTACTTCACGCTCTCTGGCTTGAACACTAATCTCAGGTTGCTTAACAATGGTTGGTGCAGCCCCTGATAGTTTCATGTGCATTGCTGATATAGTCCAATATCCGTTTATTAGGTATTACGTGGGCTTTCACGATTGCAATCGTTGCGCTTTCTTTCACGGGTAAATTTGGCGGATGCACCTTGGCAGCTAAATTCTCCGGCTTTGGATGGCGAGAAGCGAGCACGGTTGGCTCATTAATGAGCTGCAAAGGGTATGGTTCCCACCTTTCGTTCCGTGTACCTTTGACATATCATCAAGATAGGCTGGTAGAGTTGATTGTGCTGAATGTAGGGTTGGAAGCAGGGATTCTCTCCCAGACGGTCTTCTCGATGTTCGTACTCGAGGCTCTGACGCTCACCTTTTTGACAACTCCACTTGTATCTGTTCTTTATCCTCCCGAGCGACGAGTGCGGGCTTCAGGCCAACTGGTGCGACGCACTACTGCGGGTGGCGAGGATGGAGCAGAATCCATTGATTCGAAATCTCCGGCGGAGGATGGCCCCTGGCGCTACCGGTTCACTGTTGTGCTGGATAAGCTCGAGCATATTCCTGGCGCAATGGCGCTCACGCAGCTGATAATTCCTGTTCCGTCGAGTCCGTCTGGCATCACTTCCGTGATTTCCACGAGTGAAACGGTTGACTTGAAGAAGCCTGAGGTTACAGTGGACGCACTGCGTCTTATCGAACTTTCCGACCGCACTTCAGCCGTCATGAAATCTTCTGCTGCTGACACCCTCATATTCACCGATCCCCTTCTTGGCATCTTTCGTATGTTTGGAGAGTTGAACGACTTGGCTATTTCGACTTCGCTCTCCGTAGTCCCATTCGACGATTTCTCACATAGGGTCGTTGATCACGCTTCGAGACATGCATCCCAACTCGTGCTCCTACCGTGGTTGCCGCCTACGTCCAACTACCAGAACACGATGGAAGCTGAGGCAACTCCTACCACACCAAAGTCGCCAAGATTTGAGCACAACCCTTTCGAAGCTTTCTTTGGCAGCCTCTCCAGGGCGGACAAGTCAGCCTCTGTGATGAACTCACAGTTCGTCCGCGGTGTGTTCGCCCAAAGCAAATCGGATGTCGCTGTATTCATCGACACTGGTGATCGTTCGGGTGCCGGTGGCTCACAGCACGTCTTCTTCCCCTTCTTTGGTGGACCGGATGATAGGCTTTCATTGGAATTTGTTGTCCAGTTGTGCCTTAACCCAAGGATGACAGCGACCGTAGTGAGGTATATCAAGCGGGATGTCGACGCTGCGCCTTTGGAGAGGCCCGAGGGTGTCTATGGACATGAAAAAGAACAAAACCCTACTCTCCGGGCTCTAGTTCATCGGGATGACACGCTCAGCATAAGATCTGTATGTGGATCTATTCCATTGGATCAAAGATTCTGGCTGATAAAATCATATCCTAGACCGCGTTCCCAGACACGGTTTACGGGCAGCCAAACACTCAGACTCGCATGCAGTCCGAGACGGCGGACAGCGTGACGTGGAACAAATACGCTTCGTTCAACCCTGATTCCGATATTCCTTCGCTTCTCCGTGCTGCCTTGTCCCGTATCCATTTTTCAGAGTTGCCCACACCTACACCACTTCGCGCCGCGATCCAGCGGGCTGCAATTATCAAAAAAACGCATACGCGACTTCTTATAGTCGCTGGGCGCTCGAAACGACTTGCGGTTGAAAGCCACCATCAGGAACTGAAGGCGACTTCCGAGGAATACGGAGCGAGCGGGGAGGTGGTGAGGAAGACTATCGGAGACGTCGCTTCAGCTATGGTTGTATCGAGCTCCGCGAGTGCTCTTGTGGTGCTGCAAGCGGCGATCCCTGCGGAGTGAAATACATGAGTAACGGTTGAAGAGGCTGCTGTGTGATTGATACCCGTGATCCGATATCTGATATCCGGGTGATGATACGATTCGAACATATACCACCTCACAATTGTACCATAGATGTACCATCGATCTACTAGTGTACAAGCAAGAACATCGGTTATCCATACCGAACGTATACCCACACGTTGTGGAGGCAGCGAGGTGTACAGGAACTCCGCGGGTGTTGACGTCATGGCGATAACCAGGCAGCGAGGCACAGCAGGACCAAAGAGGACATATAGGGGGGAGATTGTTATCATGCCTTGCCCTCCTTTTTCTGCTTTTTCTCCTTGCCTGCCTTATCCTTCTTTTTCTTCTCCTTCCCTACAGCTCCGTTCTGATGCTGTTCGCATAAGCAGAGGTACAGCAGTAAAACAGGGCGGTGACTCACATCGGTCGCAGCCTCGGCCTTTTTTGCCGCTTTAGCAGCTTTTTTCAATGCTTTCTTTTCTTCCTTTGACAACTTCACTTTCTTTGCAGGTTGCTCGTCTTCCTCATCTACATCCATGGCGTCACTCGACCGCTTCTTTTTCTTCTTGTCCTTCTTGGGCTCTGGGGACGCCTCGATCAGCGGGAGCACAGGCTCTGCATCATCATCCATCGCAACGTCCTCTTCATCATCCTCCAGTGCAAGAGCATCGAGGACCTTGCGAATGGCATCTGCATTCTTGGATGGTGGTGCACCCGTTTCGAAGAAGTTCAATCGCTCTTCGACTTGGTCTCGAAGGGCTTCGCCGAATTTCGACGTTGGGTGGTCTGTTACACGTGTCGAACAGATGTAAGAGGGTATAAGAAGAGTTCTTACCGGAATAACAGTCTATCCGTGCTGCAATGGAGCATTTATTAGCGAGGAAGCGTGATATCCGACCTTTGTGCCGAGGGTCCGCTCGACCAATGAAAGATGAGTGATATAGGAGCCCGTACTAAAAACAGATATGAGAAGCGTTCGTCACGTTGTGGAACACAAGGTCCACACCTTTGGTGTATTACCCTTCGTTTTCAGTGCTCTGAACAATGCTTTCTCTGCACCAAGGATCTGAACGGTTGACGCAGGGTATTTGCTGAGGTTTGTTAGACTCCCTGCATGACTGATTAACCGTGCGCCTATTCGTTCCCCAAGGAGCGCAGTCAACGAAGGTGCTACAAGGTTCATCTTCTCGCTGAGATATGAAACGAGCGATTTTCGGTAGTCTGCAATCGAAACGACGCGTGTTGCGAAGGCGGATATGTTGAGCATGTCGATATCTGATATGGAAGAACCCATCGAGCCCCGGGCAGCATCGAGAATGTTTCGTGCCAGGGTCGAGTCATCGCCAACGATAACTGTTAGTTCGGACAGTTTATCTTCTGTCAAGGTATCCTTGTCGCCTATGAACTGCGCAGCGCGAGCATATGTGTAGTTGTCCGGTACGAGCTTGACGAGCTCCGGGAAATGGTATCCGTACCACTCTCTAACACGCATGGCAAAGAGGTTGACGTCCTTGTCGAGCTGGTCGAGAAGGGCAATGGCTTGGATGATCATGTTGTCGATACGGTTGACATTGAATTTGAGTTTGGCGCGGGAGTAGGAGTGTCCGAGACCAAGTTGAGCTTTGACGAGGTCCTTGTCGTCGAGACCCTTGAGAAGCTTGTGGGCGTGTAACCGGACACCCCGTAAGAGCTCATGTGTCTGCTCTGATGCATCGCATTTGATACCCATCGCTTCTGATATGGAGGCCGCGAGGGCAGCATCTGCCAAGCCAAGCTTCACTTTGGATGCCTTCTTGCTTTTGGCGAGGTTGAGTTCAAGGAGGGACTTGAGGTGGTCATTAAGAATGCCTAAGAGGACAGATAAAAATTACCTGCGCAAGTGAACGTAGGTGAAAATACATACCTTCTGATACATCATTTATGTTCTCCAGCGCATCTGCCGCGCTCCTGAACGGCGAAAAGCTGAGGAGAGTGACCATTTTATTGAATTTCGACAGGTCATTTATGGAGTCCTGAACCTCCTTGGTCCGTGCGCCGATCTCCTCGTGCAATTTAACCTCGAGTATGGCATATCCTGACGCAGATTCGAAGAGCAGGTGTGTCGCCATCGTTCAGAATTTGGATGCCCCCAGTTCGCTGCCTGGCTTGGATCGACGACAACAAATTTTGAATCGGGGAATCCCGAGATATCTTCCAATTTGGAAGGTGCTTCCCATGACTTTTGCGGGTGGCGTTGAACACTTTTCTATACCAAAAGCAGGCAAATTGGACTCGGTGGCCGCAATATTGGACTGGTTGTCGTACTGCCATCTCGTTGTTGAATAAGGTGTGCTGTGGTGGAGTGCATACCCCTTGCGAGTGCGTGTTTCTATGACCGGGAACGCAAGCGAACAACCCAAGGCAAGTGGTTTCTGCGCCGAAATATAACGCCACGAAACAGGCATGGGTACCGCCTGTTCTTTGCAATAATAATAGCAACATTGAAAATGTGGTCGCAACCCGCCCATCTCCACAGCTAGCGAGAAAACACGACCTTCCTTCATGACTTCTTCCAGGGCCACCCGACCCATTCCGCGGCGTTTCTTGAAACTAGCTGTATATAAGTAACCTGCTGTTGTGGAGCAACATCCTGATTGTTTCAGCGAGGAGCTTGTTCCCAATTGTGCCTCGGACAAACAGACTTCCACGCCTGAGTCTGATGGTGGTGGCAAAATCGTGTCTTGGAGATGGTAATTCCAATTTCCCAGTGACTTGCAGCCTCACGTTAAGCCATGCAGCGCTAAGTGCTCTCCGACCCTACTCGAAGGACCCTCAGGAGCAATTGCATACTTGAATCCACTAGCCAGCTAATTACAACCACTAGCGTCGTGAGCATTTGAAACCCTGAGTAGAAGGTCGTGGCCGTGTCTAGGCCTTCTCTTCCTACTGCTGCATGTGCATCACACCTGTTTCGATGGTGGAAAGTTGGGAACGTTCCCTCTAGGTTTGGGCTTCTTTGCTGATGGAACACATCATGAGGCTCATGGTTTGGTTTGTCCCTTAAGGCCTGATCATTGGTTGCATTCTTATCACGCGGCTATAGCTGTGGTGGAGCTGGGATTATACCGACACAGGTTACTGGTAGGCGCCGACAGAAAAAAAGAAGAAAAACAGAGAATGGTGGCGATGGTGGTAGAACACGGTCGCTGTTTTAGCACGTCGGGATTCTCGGGAACAGCCTTAAGTCACGGAAAAATGTCATGACTCAGAGGTATGTCATTCGGACACCGCAGTACTATGGGTGCCTTGGTGCTCAATTATGACTCTAACCGCGCTTCTGAGCTTAGATGCTGTGTATCGCGATAACGCAAGAAAGCGCCCTTGCATTCTGGGTACGTGTTTGAGTTTATGGTATACTGCTGATGCGACCTACGTTGCAGTCTTGCTGCTTGCAGCTCCACACGCCTAATAAAATGGTTGATCGTGGTGATGCCAAGTTTTGTTTCGCTGACGCGCTAAATGTGATTATATCATCTTTGCCTCGCTGCTGGATTTGATCTGACGGCTAAATTATTTATTAATTTTGGCAAGCACTCTACGCCCAACTTGCGGCAAACACGAGGCAGTGAAAGGTGAGGTTATAATGTCTTGACAGTCACTCCTATACCCCCCACTACAGTGTCCCCTTGGTACATATAGGTCGCCGGAGTGACTGCGCGACTCGAGCCCGCTGCGGGTCTGCCTCCGCATTTCACTCAAGTAATCGGCTATCTCAACTGTCCAAGGTACGCTGAGTTCCCCACAAGTCCACAGCGTCACAGACGTATTAAAGCACGTTGTGCACAGTGGTTTTCACCTTCCCTCACCCTCACTCCCCACCCCACTGGTGTACATCAACGTACCTTTACGACCGTCATGTTCAAGCAACGACACCGTCCAGGGAGCCCCGGTTATGTTCCCGGCACTCCCAAGTTCCCCAAGTTATCCTTGCCTCCAGTCGAGACGGGCAATCTCCCGTCCCGCCCAGTAACGAGAGCGGGCGTGAGGCCCTCTACTCCTGCCATGCCGTCCAACAACCCCAGGGCCAACCCGACGTCGGGTCAACCTGTCAAGCCCTTGCGACCCATCCTCAAGAAGACGGGGATACCCGCCCCCGCTCACACCTCCTACGACAGCGAGGGCGAGGTCTTGACCTCGAAGAATGTTGTTCGTTCGCATGACGTCCACGGTCATCCTCTGCCACCTGGTGTGCGCAAGGGTGAGTGCACGTTCCACTTTGGTGGCGCGTTGGTGCCCGTCTCTTACGTACTTTATCTAACCATCGCACTAGTCCATATGCAGACTGAGGTCTTTGATCTTCACTGGCAATTACTGCCATTCGATCGCTCGAGATCAAAGCGACTAATGCGCTTCGACGTCGCTTTTCCAATCGAATCCGTACGGTTTCAGGAGCGCGACCATCGATCAAAACTCGCAGACTCCGATCTCGACAAACCCGCCGCTAACAGGCCGCTGACGAAGATGTTGATCAACTTCGCCTGGGGCCCATTTGAGTGGGATGTAAACGTCAAGAATGCAAGAGGTATCACATGTCGCGATGTGCTCGAAGCCATTTACGACACCTTCAATGAGCAACTCACGCTGTACGAAAAGAAGCTCATACCCCCGCATCTGCGGAAAGAGTGCGAGGAGGCTTTCAAACTACGCTGCAAGGTCGTACCAGGCCTGGAACAGGTTGAGTTCCGACAAGGTTTGAAACGTGTTGATGTTCTACGGCACGGTACCATCTTTCTGGGCTTGACACAACCAAAATCGGATGGTGATTGGACCCTCAATCTGGGGAAATGGCCTTTCTAGTGTCACCGTTTATCTCTCTTTCTTTTCGTTGTACCATTGGTGAGTGGTCTGCTGCAGCGTGTAATGTTTTCACGGCTCTTATCCTGGTGTGACAACCTATAGGACTGCGTCCGCATGTACTCTTGACACGCTCATTAGCATTAAGCATCCAGATCATTCCTCGCACCAACCCACCATATGTCGCTCTGTTAATCACATTGTCTCTTTAAATCATCCTTCATTGCTTCCACATATCCATCATGTACATCCTTGTAGCGGGCTCGTTTACGTGCCCGCCCTCTAGACGGGGCAAACTCTGTGTTGCCCCAGTTGGTGACACCCGCATACCGTTTCGTCCTCTTGTTTATGTTCCCCCTTTTTTCGGATTCAGTGTAGCGGTTTTATGATGCCATGGGTTTATTCTACCAGGACGTTTTTTCTGTGATAACAGGGCCTTCGTTTTCGTCGTCTTCCGCCCCTGATACCTTTCTTTTACAAACACCCGGATACATATATTATACCAGCCTATCGAGGACGGAAATCGCGCAATAACACTTCTCACAAGCATACCCCCTTCACCTCGCTGTGATTGGACACACCATGGTACACGTGTATTGTGGGGGATATACAACATGCCCACGAGGTTGGTAAGGGTATCCCCTTGGGACAGGATAGAACATGCACCGTGGAGCCCGGACAATACAGTGGGTGACCACCGAAAGGGTGTCTCGAAGACCGATCGACGCACTAAATGTCAGAAGGGAACCTGATAAAAACCCGGCCGTATGTTCTAGAACAATTTGGGGGTGCAGATACCCCGTCTATCATATATCATATATCATGTGGCAGTCGCTTCTATGGAGAAAGTACCTTCTTTAGTTCGGACAGGAAGTAGGGGGTATCGTATCGTGCGCTCGACTTGACGCCATCACAGACATGGAACAGATGGAGTCGTGTAGTGACCAAATCCCGTCAGTTGTTGAAGCAATCAGGGTTTCCTTACAATGAAAAAAAGGGGTTAGCTTGTATGATTTACTCCCGCCACAGGTCAATTATTGATTGATCGCACCCGATATCCATGGCGTCGTCAGACATCGCGTTTCAAACATTCTCGTTCGCCAACCAAGTCTCGGACGTCTCACCTCAAGACAAAATCTTCGCGTTCGACCCCGAAGCTAACAAGCGGATACTGCAACAATCACCATGGGAGCAGGAGTAAGCTCCGTATCTCCCCTCCCTCCCCGCGTTCGACAAGACGCTAATGGCGCATGCACATATGACAGTCCGCACTACTTCAAGACATGCAAGATCTCAGCTGTTGCGCTGATCAAGATGGTATGTTTGAGCGATGTGATGGCGACGTATGCTGTGTACTCTCGTCCAACAGGTCATTCACGCAAGATCAGGCGTCCCACACGAGATCATGGGCCTCATGCAGGGAAAAGTCATCGGAGATTCGATCGTAATCGTGGACTCTTTCGCACTTCCAGTGCAAGGAACGGAGACACGTGTGAACGCCGCCAGCGAGGCGAACGAATACATGGTCACCTACGTTCAAGAGAGTGAGAAGGTGCATACGTCTATCACCGACATTGCCACACCCCATTCTCACTAACCATATGCACACCAGGTGAAACGATTGGAAAACGTTGTGGGATGGTATCACTCCCATCCCGGATATGGGTGCTGGCTATCAGGTATAGATGTTGACACACAGATGAACAATCAACGTTTCCAAGATCCTTTCGTCGCCGTCGTCGTACGTATCTTCCCGTGTCGTTCCTTCCCACTCATTCATATTTCACTCTTGCATCTTTAGATTGATCCTAACCGCACAATATCGGCTGGCAAAGTCGACATCGGTGCATTCCGCACGTATCCAAAGGATTACACTCCCCAAAACGCCTCTGCGTCGGAGTACCAATCGATCCCCCTCCATAAAATCGAAGACTTCGGAGTGCATGCGAACCAGTACTATCCGCTCGATGTCGAGGTTTTCAAGTCGAGCTTGGACAATGAGCTACTTGGCTTGCTGTGGAAGAAGTACTGGGTCAACACCCTGAGTCAGAGCCCCTTGATATCTGTAAGTGATATCGGCAACTTCATACTGTTTGATGTGTAAAAACTTGTTACCTGTTCATCAGAATCGTGCATATGCAGTTTCACAAATCGCCGATCTGCACCAGAAGCTATCTAGAGCGGAATCTACCATAAGTAACACGAGACCGACCGTTCCGGCATTGAAAGGCCAGGAAGAGAAACCGAGTGGAAAGGTTTGCTCATCTCACTGTAGCATCATCGCCCATTTCATAGGCCCTCCAGCAGGATGAGAAGAAAAAGGAGGAGAGCCACCTAGCGAAAGCAGTGAAAGACAGGTATTTCGTCGCAAAACCCGCATTCTGTCCAGTGTCCATTGATGACTTTTCTAGCCAAAAGATTGCTGTCGAAGCTCAACATGGTCTTATCTCCCAGATCCTCAAAGACATTATCTTCTCATCACGACCAAGAGAACGTTCGCCTCAGGTGTCTCGGGTCGGAGAGGTAGTGGATACCGCAATGAGTATCGGATAGCTGTACCTTACCAAGGTGTGTATAATATTGACCGTCTACAGCAAGCACTTCCATTAGACGTCTTGTAAACCGCGAAACGGCATCAGCAAATTGTATCATTCTTCCATTTGAAGGTGTTGATTGGAGTGTGCCGTCCAGATGTTCTTGACCCTCAAGGTCTCACCACTTGCAGAGTCGTGCACCCGGGGTTCACGTCCAGAAAGCATACCTTTACATCAGTGTCACTTGACAGCGAACGAGTCCACGCCGAAGATTAATGAAATTCCTATCACACAGATGGATACCTCAGAAATCAAAGAATAAACCGTTAGACATAAAAATGGGTACTCTGATAAATTGTCAATTGCCCTTAAGGTCAATGTACCATAAACCGCAGCATAAATTGTACATCATGGCGACAAAATCTGCATATAGCCAACGTGTTAACGAACGCAACTCTGTGAGACAATAAACCAACGCACCGCTATTAGTACGATGGCCACTACAAACACGATAACGATCAACAGGCAAGTCGCTCGGCGACCAGCCTTTCGCTGGTACTCCGATGCAACTGTGAGTTCCTGCGCTGCGCCTTGGGTATCAGCGGATACTGAGTATATGTTAGACTCGATGTTGTCTGTGGGAGGAACATTGAGCGCAAGGTTCTGCTGCGGTGGAGTTGACTTATATGCATACCTAACATGCTACCCTGTTGATTGACCAACGTGCCCAAATCACGGAATATCTCAGACAGTTCATGTATGCCAGCTTCGATCTCTTGAATCTCTGTTTCACGCTCCTGGATGAGAGATTCTTGGTACGCAAGCTCGTGAGGAGACAATTGCGAATGAAGTAGCTGGGCTTGTTGTAGTCGGGGGGAGGAAGAGGGTTCCCTGGCCAAACGTCAGAATCATCCAGGCAATGTCTATGACACCGCTTACGAATGTCGTGGCTGCTCATCTTCAATAGCGATCTTGACACCCTCCACAACGGTTCTTTGCCTTTCCGCACTGGCATGCTGCGCACGTTGGAATGCCACCATAGATAACTGGAGGTCATGAGAAACCTTCTGCAAAGAGGTCTTATGTTGAGGCTAACAGAAAAATAAGCCTATGTGAGATAGCTTTAGGATATAGGCATAGGCGCACGCTGGACACTGGCATAGACGAGAGTCTCTTCAAATCTTCGGAACCGCGCTTGGCCATGGCCCTAGTCGTCTCCGTGAGGTCATGGCTGGTATATATCGTTCAGTTAAAGCGAGAGAGAGAGAAAAGATAAGAACAACGACGCACAGGGATTTCCGCAATGAAGCCGAGTCCTTGGTAGTGCCCAATTGATCCACGAGTTTGAGAATTCCTTGGACATTGGAATTGATCTTGAATACTTGTAGGGAAAGCGAGGATTGCAGTGAAAGAAACGCAGAGTCCTCTCGTGACTGGGGTGACACTGAGATACTCGAAAATGCTGAACGGGACTGGCCCGTCTCGATATCCTGGAAACTCATTGTTCGTTAAGTAAACCGTGGTACACACCCGGACAGCCTCTCCAACCAGAGAGCGGCGTCATGCTTATGTAATCTACTCACTTGCTTTGCTGCCTTCCGTGCTTTCTGTTGGACCGCAGGTACCCATATCGAGGATATACTGCGCTGCCCACGGGTTTCTTCCACCACCGATGGTCCGGTGTAACCAATCAACGTGTTTTCTGTGCATATCGTGCACAGGAAATTGCACCGCAAGTCAATCTCTATACATGCCTCCTCAGGGTGGTTCTTGGGTGGGACTCCTTTGTGATAGCACTTGAAGATTGGTACATGCTGTAACTGGTTAGAGGGTTGGTCCTGCAGGACTCTGAGTGTCAGCTGGATCATCTTGATACGTGGGATCTGGCAACGGATCGTTATCATAAGCGCCCAAACACGAACAGGTTGGTCACGGTTCAAACGATCGAACTCTAGCAGTTCTCTGTGGACTCTTTGATTTGTACACTGTGAGCATATCAGCCTATTTGGGCCTAGGTAATAAGTCTCTGTACTGCTCGAGATGCTGAAGAGCAGATCTTCAGTACTAAGTGCTACTGCCGTTGGGTGAAACGCCGGCCCTCTTACATCCTCGCCACCGGGGACCTCACATGTGCGGCAGCTCACACTTTACGCCACTCTCGCATTTTTTACCGTTCACATAGCAGTTAGGTTCCCATCAGCCACACCCTTCCCAGTTGATTCGGAGATGAATGACAAGACCACCTCGTTCGAGGGTTCAAATCTTGTCACTTGCACTACCTTTCTAGAGATGGTACCATATGCCTGCCATGATCACCGTGCAGCATGCCCTCAGCCGCACTAATCACAACTTGATGCCTATCGGTAGGTCAGGGGGTTTTTGGTTCATATGGTGGCATATAATGTCTCGTTGCCAACCGTTATCCATCTCACTGGCAGAATGTACTCACGAAAACCGTACGATGGCACGTCCCGCAAATTGATACTTGCGTTTGATGTCGGAACGACATTCAGTGGTATATCCTACTGTATAGTCGATCCGGGAGAAATCCCCGTAATTCGGGGCGTGTCAAAGTAAGCTGCTCTCTTTATCATGTAATAATTCTCCAGCCAGCACCGCAGATTTCCCGCACAGGAACACGTCGGTGGCTCTAATAAAATACCCTCTATCATGTATTATGACAAGGAGGGAAATGTCCAAGCTGTAGGTGCGGAAACACAGCAACCGTACATCATTGAGAAGGCTGGTAAGGAGGAGTGGGTGCTATTGGAATGGTGCGTAGATGGCTATTTGCAAGAAAATAGGACTTAAGTGTTATTCTAGGTGGAAACTTCACCTTCGTTCGAAGCATATAGAGGCATCCCACTTCTCAGATGCGGACCTACCTCCACTCCCTGAAGGCAAACCTGCTGTTGAAGTTCTGGGTGACTTTATGCGTTATTTGTTTGACTGTGCCAAGGCATACATCAAAGAATCTCATGCGACCATCATGTGGGACTCACTGGGGGATCGCATAGAATTCATACTAACGCACCCGAATGGCTGGGAAGGGCCCCAGCAACAACAGATCCGCAAGGCTGCAGAGCTCGCAGGGCTTATCCCAGCTGGGGAGGAAGGCCAATCTCGTGTTCACCTTCTGACAGAAGGAGAAGCCAGTCTGCACTTTTGCGTCACCAATATCTTGACTTCAGAAACGTTCTCGGCTATGCCAATTGCGTGCACGGACGAGCCTGAAGAAGATGATGGTGGGAACGCATCGGAATATCAGAATGTCATTATCATCGATGCGGGTGGCGGGACGGTTGACCTCAGTGCATATTCCATGAAATTATCCCCCACGTCATTCAGAGAGATTGCTCCTGCGGAGTGTGAGTGGTTGATGTGGCAACCCCCCATGCTCTCAACATGCTATATGACTCGCAGGTCGCCTTCAAGGATCGGTCTTTGTCACATATCGTGCTCACGCGTTCCTACGAGGTCAGACATTCGACCGTCTTAGCTGTACCGCTCATGGCCGATTGTGTAGCCTTGCTTGCTAATTCGAAGTACGGCGACGAGGAAACCTTGAAGAGGATGGCAGATATCTTTGATAAGACAACAAAATTGCAATTTCGGAACGCAGGCGAACCTCAGTATATCAAGTTCGGGACGATACGCGACAAGGAACTCCCGTATAACATTCGCTCAGGGCAGTTGAAGTTATCTGGGCAAGTATGTTTGATCACGATCAAGCCGCGTTCTCAACTCTATACAGCCAGGACGTCGCCAAACTTTTCCAACCTTCGGTCGAGGAGATCATCGCTGCTTTTGAGGAACAGCGCAAAGCAGCTTCGATGCCAATCTCCGTAATTCCTTCCCATCTTTTACTGAGTCAAGCTCACCTTGGGTTCTTCAGTGTGTTTTCCTCGCAGGAGGCTTTGCTGCGAGTGATTGGCTTCATTCGGGCCTCTCGAAACATATGAGTTCACTTGGCATCACTTTCTGTCGACCCGATCAACACGTGTGAGCTTCCTTCGATAGGTTTTCACCATGCTTCTTACTGCTATTCAGCAACAAGGCAGTTGCAGATGGAGCGGTTTCGTATTATCTTGATCGCCTTGTATCAAGTCGCGCTGCAAGGTTTACATACGGAATTCCGTGCTGTCACCTATATAACCCATATGACGCGGAACACGCTTCCAGGATATCGACGGCTTTCACGGTATTGAGTGGCGATCTATGGTTACCGAAGGGCTTCGGATCCATCCTCACTAGGGTTCGTACTCTATGCTCTGGTACCCTCAGAGTTAAATTATTATTTTTTTGCGAAGGGCACGGAGGTATCCGAACAGCAGGAATTCAGAAGTGAATTCTACCGAGAGCAAGCGGATCTCTCTGGGTGCAAAAACGTGAGAGTTGACATAGTCGCATATCGAGGGACACTCAAGGATCCACTTTGGATGGATGAGGAAGCAGGTGATTTCAAGCATTATTATATTGAGTATTTCATCTGTCTAAACGGAAACTTTCTGAAGAATTGTACACTAAACTGTGTACCATAAATGCTGACACGTCCAAGCTAACTTCTAACCTACAACCCTTTCAGCGACCTAGCGGTTTAGGTGTCTATTACACCTTTAGTTTTGATGTCGTCATGCTTTTCGGCTTGACGGAGTTGAAAGCACAAATAAGTTGGCAGGAAAATGTGCGCTTTTGAGTCCGGTTGATCGAGTCCATTTCGACTGATTTATTTGATTTCCCGTTTCCACAGGGGGTGGAGGTCAGGTGAGTTGCTCACTCGAGATTGGAGGGGAGAGCTGGCGAGTTGAGTTTGTTGACAGGGGTCCTGCCACGGTCGTTTATGACGATGACTAGTTTCCATCAGCAAAGTCACATTTGGAGCATCTTGCTTCGTGCTGACAACACTGCAATGACCTGTACCGACTACCAGTAATGGAGAGCAGTTTGCTGCCTTGGCTAAATAGCCTCCGACAGTACTATATTATTAGGTCCTCGACGCATCCTGTCGCTGCTTTGACAAGTTTCTTCTCTCACTACTTGTTTGATGTGGAATATGTCTTCGAGGAACGGGCGAGTCCCGTTGCATGTAGTCTGGCAGATAACTGCATGGCGAGTTAAGCTCGATATACACATATCCTTTCGGATGGCTTGCGGGACATGACTTGGGTGTGAAGTATGGGTGAGTCTTTGGAGTATATGTGTATGGTCAAGGTGATTCCAGGGTGAATCCCCTTCGTGACAGCACTTGCCGGTCAGTACATGCTGCATTTGGTCAGAGGGGTGGCTCTGCATGATTTTGAGTGTTGGCTGAATTCCTAACGCGGGGGATCAGCGAAGGGACAGGACATTATCGTAGGCGGTTCAACCGATAAATCTCCAGTCACCTTTGGGCTTCTACATTCCATTGGAAACTCTATATGTACAGAGAAGTTTACACCTTATGCCATCCGAATACTGTTTCCTATCATTCACACAGAAGTCAAGTTCCCGTTAACCGCATCCTTCCCAGCAGATTCGGAGATGAACGAGAAGCCTCAGTCTTGTCACTTGTACGACCTTCCGGAAATGAATTATGGAACTCCATGCCTGCCCTGATCACCTTGCAGCGTCCCCTAGGTGAGGGGGATTGCACAGTTCATATTGCGGCATATAATGTCTCGTTGTCAACCGTTGTCCACTCCCTTAGCAGAATGTATTCACGACAACCATACGAGGGTCCGCCCCGAAAATTGATACTTGCATTTGATGTCGGAACGACATTCAGCGGTATATCCTACTGTATAGTCGATCCGGGAGAAATCCCCGTAATTCGGGGCGTGCCAAAGTAAGCTGCTCTCTTTATCATGTAACAATTCTCCAGCCAGCACCGCAGATTTCCCGCACAGGAGCGTGTCGGTTGCTCTAATAAAATACCCTCTATCATGTATTATGACAAGGAGGGAAAGGTCAAAGCTGTAGGTGCGGAAACACAGCAACCGCACATCATTGAGAAAGCTGGTAAGGAGGAGTGGGTGCTATTGGAATGGTGCGTAGATGGCTATTTGCAAGAAAACAGGACTTAGGTGTTATTCTAGGTGGAAACTTCACTTTCGCTCGAAGCATCTAGAGGATTCCCACTTTTCTGACGCTGATCTACCTCCACTCCCTGAAGGCAAACTTGCCGTTGAGGTTCTGGGTGACTTTATGTGCTATTTGTTTGACTGTGCGAAAGGATACATCACAGAATCTCATACGTATGGTTCCGTCATGTGGGACTTACTGGTGGGCGGCATTGAATTCATACTAACGCATCCCAATGGCTGGGAAGGGCCCCAGCAACAACAGATCCGCAAGGCTGCAGAACTTGCTGGGCTCGTCCTGGCTGGTGGGGATGGCCAATCCCGTGTTCATCTTCTGACGGAAGCAGAAGCTAGTCTGCACTTCTGCATCACCAACATCTTAACTTCAGATACGTTCTCGGCTATGCCAATTGCGTGGACGGACGAGCCAGATGATGGGGACCGCGGGATCGCACCAGAATCCAAGGGTGTCATTATCATCGATGCAGGACGCAGTACCGTCGACTTTTATGCATACTCCATGAAATTATCCCCCAGGTCGTTCAGGGAGATTGCACCTGCGAAGTGTGGGTGGTTGACGTAGTGGCCTTCCATACTCTCAACACAGCTCGCAGGTCGTCTTCAAGGATCGGTCTTTGTCACATATCGTGCTCACGCGTTCCTACGAGGTCAGACATTCGACCGTCTTAGCTGTACCGCTCATGGCCAATTGTGTAGTCTTACTTGCCAATTCGAAGTACGGAGACGAGGAAACCTTGAAGAGGATGGCAGATGAACTTGATAAGACAACAAAATTGCAATTTCGGGACGCAAGCAAACCTCAGTATATCAGGTTCGGGACGATACGCGACAAAGAGCTTCAATATAACATTCGCTCAGGACAGTTGAAGTTGTCTGGGCGAGTATGTTTGATCATGATCAAGCCGTGTTCTCAAATCTATACAGCCAGGACGTAGCCAAACTTTTCCAACCTTCAGTCGAGGGGATTATCGCTACTTTTGAGGCACAGCGCAAAGCAGCTTCGATGCCAATCTCCGTAATTCCTTCGCGTCCTTTGCTGAGTCAAGACTTACTTCGGGTTCTCCAGTGTGTTTTCCTCGTAAAAAGTTTTGCTGCGAGTGACTGGCTTCATTCGAGCCTCTCGGAATATATGAGCTCACTTGGCATCACTTTCTGTCGACCCGATCAACACGTGTGAGCATCCTTCAATAGGTTTTTATCATGTTTCTTACTGCAATTCAGCAACAAGGCAGTTGCAGATGGAGCGGTTTCATATTATCTCGACCGCTTCGTATCGGTCCGCGCAAGATTTACATGAGACTCACACATTCACGATCTAACATGTTTCCAGGAGTCTCTCAATGGCTTTCAAGGCATTGAAAGGTGACCTACCCATTTCTGCAGGGTGTGGAGGTTAGGTGAGGATTTGAGGTTGCGAGAGTTGGTAAACTGAGAGCCCCCCGTCAGGTGTCCCGCCATGGTAGTATCATTGTAATGAGTTTGGTGCGGAATGAGCACGTGCTAATTAGATTAGATTAAGTAACGGGCGGCCTTACTAATATCTGTTCTGGGCGTGACGTGCGCGACGGTGCGTGACTACCCGTGTCATAATGAGTCGTCGCGTCGGCCTGAGGCTGCGTAGACAACTCTCTTTCTCACAACATGGTCGATGATGTAGATGAGCCATTCTTCGCAAGCGAAGGGAGCGACGAGGAGTTTGAGTGGGAGGAGGTCCACGTTCCGGAAGAGCAGCCAGCTAACCAAGAGCTCGAACTTGAACTTTCCGGCCCTTCACGATCTATTGAAATAACTCTTCATGCACAGCCCAAAAAAGACGACTCGAAGTGAGACGTTTTCAGAACAAGAGTATGTCAAGGTGCTCACATCCACGAAACTAGGAAAAAGGCTGCTGCTGCACTGCATGCCCACAGAGTTCTCCGCACGACCTGTCACAAGATCCACACCGTATGCCTTCTTGCCAATGCACGGGTACGAAATAGGTGGATAAATGATGAGCTTCTCCATGTTCGTATTTTCTTCTTGTGTTGCTCGTGCGACTGTCGCGACGCGCAGTCAATAGGCTCGTCTGCTATCCATGACGCCGATGAATCTCCAGAACGCATTCGCCATGATTCATAAGTCTCACGTTCCCGACCAGAACAAGCGCGGTCGTTTGTTTGAAGCCGCTGTCGACCGTCTCGTAGATTGGTGGACTAATACATTCTTCACTGTCCTTCCGACCGGTCATATCAGGAATCGGACATTCGAAGAGGTTCAGCAAGAAATTGAAACTAAATTTAATGGATCACCGTCCGGCGACGACGATGCGGAAGGAACGGAGCGCGTTCGAAGTGTCAACAGTCTCATGAAACGTGCTTTGATGCAGAGTGGTTCCCGAGATGCCAGTGCACAGCTTTTCACAGCTCTATGTCGGGCTCTTGACATTCCGGCTAGACTTGTGGTTAGTTTGCAGAGTGTTCCATGGAGGTCCAGCGTTGGAAAACAGGCAAAACCGTCAAACAAGGGGAAGGCGCTAATGACATGTGAAGATGCAGAGAATGGGTCGCACGACGACGGGAACAGTGATATAGAGGAAAGAGATTCCTCAAAGTCTTTCCAGCAGGGCAAGACGAGACTGCGAAGCGGTAATGACTCTTAACTTGGATTTTTGATGGTGTCTGACGATCTGCTCAAGTTAAGGGGAAAGAGAAGGCACACCCAGTCATAAAACTGCGCAAGAGCAAGAGCAAACCCACTACCCAGCGTAGTACTCCAGTTTCGGTTGGAAGATCGAGTGCGTCCAGCTGCTTCAGATAGTGCCAACCGCAGTATTATTCATGCTGTTCAAGAACCGTCTGACCCAAGTCTCACGCCGCCGGTGTTTTGGACCGAAGTCTTTTCACGTGCAGATTCTCGATGGCTTCCAGTTGACCCTATCCGTGGCATCGTTAATAAGCGGCATGTCTTTGATCCTTCGGGGCCTCAGCCTGCAGAGTCCAAGGCGTCACGAATAGAAGATAACCGGATGCTCTACGTGGTTGCGCTGGAGGAAGACGGCTTTGGCCGTGATGTGACGGCCCGCTACGCTCGGGACTACACAGCAAAGGTGTCGAAGGCTCAAGGAATTGGATCCGGTCCTCCAGGAGGGCGTAAGGAATGGTGGGCGAGGGTAGTGCAAGCCATCACCCGACCGTATCGCCTCGTGAGCTTATCATGGTGTTCGAAAGTCACAAATGGTGCTCATCTGTATTGTGAATTTATAGAATAGAGACGATCTCGAAGATGACGAGTTGCATACCCACCAATTAACGGAGGGCATGCCCACTACGCTTGCTGGATTCAAGGACCATCCCATGTGTGTGGACAAATGTCCGATATATACCTCGTACTGACATTCGACCCATTTAGCTACGTGCTTGCCCGTCACCTAAGGCGGGATCAGGTTATTGATCCACCCACGGAGCTCGGCAAGTTCAGAGGTGAACCTGTCTATCCACGATCGTCTGTTATATCCCTGAAAACGGCGGAGAACTGGATGCGCCAAGGCAGGATCATTCGCCCCGGTTGTCAACCGATGAAATTGGTCAAGCAGCGTGCAGTGACGATCAGTCGTCAGCGAGAAATGGAGCTTGCCATCGAACGTGCAAAGTCAGAGGGACACCCCACCGCCGATGGAGAAATTATGCAAGGATTGTATGCGTTCTCTCAAACTGAATTGTTTAAGCCCGACCCCGTTAAAGATGTACGTCTTCTAGCACGCCATAGCTCTATGGCTACTCGGTTGTTATTGCTGACCACCGGATCTGAATAGGGCGTAATACCGAAGAACGAGTTTGGAAGGATTGACCTGTACGTGCCATCGATGCTTCCGGAGGGAGCCGCCCACGTTCCCTGTAAGTATTTATTTTTGTATGCTGGCGGACAATGGCTGATGTCAAATGACTTAGTCAAGGGGGTGGCAAAGGTAGCCAAGAAACTCGGGTTTGACTACGCGGAGGTGGTGGTAAGTCACGCCGTTCGGTAAGTGTAAGCACTGACACTACCAAACTCTAGACAGGCTTCGAGTTCAAGAAGCGCCGAGCCTATCCGGTCATCGAAGGTATCGTGGTGGCTGCCGAAAATGAAAGCGTCATTATAGAGGTGCGTCGCTTGAAACGTTCGGATCTTGATGTCTGAACGTGGTGCATCATAGGCATACCTGGAAGCGGAGCAAGACGCCGAGGAGCGGGCACGGGCAAAGCGGTTCGACCAAATCTGCAAACGTTGGGTCCGGCTCATACAAGGCCTCCGTATTCGTGATCGCTTGCAGAAACAATATGGCTCGAATCCGGCGGAGGATGGGCATAGTAAGGAAGAGACCCGACGCGAGCACTGGCAAGACACCGAAATTCCAAATGCAATTGAAGACGAGGTACGTCGCGGCCAGGGTCCCAGTTAAAACTTGAAAAAAATCTCTTAACATCTGCTGCACAGCCAGGAGGCTTCCTCACTACTGCGGACGATGTCGTGCAGCCGTTTCATTTGCCTAGCAACATACAATTTACTCTCTCAACCGCAACTGAACAATCTGCTATTGCTACTGCGAGGAGTGAAATGTCAGATCGCAGAACTCCTATTGTATCCGAGACGGTCTCGTTGTCTCCAGAATCGGAAGCTCCAAACGGGGTGGAAGATATGGATATGGATCCAGACAATGACCCTGTGCGGCCTGCTGGACCCACTGGTGTGGTCCCGAAGACCATGCGGGAGTTGGCGGAGCACCATGCGCAACCTGATAAGAGCAGCCGAAACGAGTCACCTGAACCTACATCACAGAATGAATGGTCAAATTTGGTTAGCACCGAGAAGTCGGGAGAACAAAGTGGCCGTCAATTGCCCGCCAGTGGCAGCAAGGCGCCAATCTCTATCCCGAGTGCTAAACGGACACGGTCATCACGCAAGAGGACACGAGCCAAGAGCCAAAGCGCTTCTGGCGATGAGGCTAATGTTACACCGCCGAAACGTATGCGGGGGCCAGACCCGGGCACCGTAAGCCCTGGACCCACACGCGTTCTTCGACCACGTGTACCGAAGAGCGCAGCCAAGGTTCTAGAGGAGCGTAAGATGGAAGAACCGTACAGAAGAGCGGTAAGAGACTAATAGGTTAAGGTGATGGATGCCGTGCGACTAACTGGAGCTGTCTGGCCGAGACTTTACCCTATACATACAACGGCGAGCTGTATGACAGCGCAGAATTCTACTACAGTGCTATACACCTAGGATTAGCTAATGCACACGGCGGTCACTCGTTGGTTGCCGGCAGATCTTCCGTTTCTCCATTTGAAGTTCCAGCTGGATAGGGTACTAGACGAGCGAACGTGAGGTACGACGTGTGACCCCGAACCTCATGACAGACTTTCGACCAATTGACGGTGGTTTCTGCTACCTCTTCATTGGTCTCACTATCCGCCACTGGTAGCACAGGAAGGTTACTGATCGATGGTACGCCTTCATTTCGAGTAGCGTCTGGTTCGCCTGTTCTGGCCCTCTTGTCCGGCTCGGAAATATCAGAATCATCTTCGCGTTTCCTCTTGCTGTTGGCGATCTGGCGAAGTCTCTTCTCTTCGCGAAACTTCTCTAGTCTCTTGAGTTTATCAACAATATTGTCGAGTGACAAAGGGGCAGGGAATTGCTGGACTTCGTGAGGTCTCAATAGTGTTTCATACATGCAGATATCTGTGTGACAGGTATCAAAAATGTTGTATGACTCCGGGAGCGGTGAGACAAGTAACCTGTGAAACCCGCCTCATTGAGAGCGGTCACGGCACGCAATACCTGTTCCATACAGGGGCTAAAGCAACAGATACGAGTAGGCCGATCTTTCTGGTCAGGTGGAATGAGCCCCGGCAACGGGCTAGGTTACGACGGACAGCCGGACGTACCCTCAATGCATTCTTTGCATGTCCCACAGCCTCCCATGGAGCGGGTAGATCAAGGAAGACTGCATCCGAAAACGAATAATTACCCTTGGAGAATAAGCAAGAATGCAACCGTAAATACGTACCCGCATCTGCCATACTTTCTATTGTGAAACCATCCTTGCACACGTTGCGGTGGGTAAGAGTGACGATGTCTTGCATGCCGTGGCGAATGAATTCCTCCCTGTGTAAAAATTCGAATGCCTCGGGAGTTCGGATATTTCAATACGCATGACTTACCTCGCCTTCTCCGCACGGGCTTCGTGAAATTCGTAAGAGAATAGGCGGCCTCTAGGGCCGACGGTCCTCGCTACAGAATGTGAAAAAGATCCTGATCCTGTCCCTAGTCGAGCGAATAAATCGAAGATCAGTGGTCAATGCCATCGGATTGAATGAAAAACGTGAACCATGTCAGTGTGATCATCACACTCGATACAAGCTCCATCCGACAGACCACAGCACTGTAGTTTGATCTATTGAACCCGAAGGACGCGGCGCAACAGATCCGCACATATATGGAGGTACGTGGAATGAAAAATTCGAAAATTGTAAAAAGAAACACACAAAAACAAATAAAAACTATGTGGCAGCGATTTCAAAAGGAGTGCAGAGGTATCTTGATCACAACTGTAGAAGAGCGCTTACCTGCTTCGATGACACGGCTACCGCATCTTATGTCGAGCCACGAGGTGATAAAAGCGATATCCGCCAGGTATAAAATTTGTGTTCGATGGGGCAAAGCCATCGTCCAGAGTTCCGGAGTGGGCCTCAGAAGATGAATGAACCCTCTGCCGTTGCGTGATGCTACCTTGGATCCATATGGAACACCTATCAGATCTGAGTGCCTGTAGTGACCAAACCTGCTGTTGAAATCCTTTCCGGGTGTGATCAACAGCGGTTGGATGAGTTCCCTGGTCTGAAGCTTGCGATCAGCACGCGGCATTCGGTAATCATATGCCAATCGGCCTTGTTGAAGTTTTCTTTACCTGCCAGATGATGACGACGTCTCCAGCGGCCACTTCGCGGTTCGTAGACCACATTCAAGTCGGAGAACAGTGATTGTGTTATGTAATTTATTTAAAATTTTATTTATTTACTTGCTTAATGATGTAATTGGATATACCGAGTGCCACGCGGCGGATCGGGGGCTATAGTCGGGCGACGGCTCGGTGGAAGTATGGAGGTAACAATATTCATTGACACCGAAGAGGAAGAGAGATTGAGACGAACAGAAAAAGATCTAATCAACTGTCTTCCCACGGGTCAAGCCTAAACTAAAACTCGAACAATGTGGTTTTGTCCACCACTCTGAAGCGTGAAGGCAGAAAGTATGAAACAATCAGTCCGGCGTGTAGGTGGATCTGCAGCTGTATTGTATCGAATCGGCTTTACACCAGTAGCGAGAGTTTCGGTACTTGAAGAGAGTTGTCATAGAACGTCGAAAACACACCGGTATGGATAAAAATATCAGGGGGGAGGGGGTGCACCAGCGCACCATGAACTTACCACAGTAATAGTATTACTGCACTTGCCAAGCCGATACCTGCCCTCACTCTGTGTATCTGAAAGTCAATCATAGCCAATTGCAGAAAGTTTTATTTGGCACGGACTGATCACTCTGATCACCTCTTCCAGATTGAGTAAACAAGTCATCAAGATCTATGTTGATAGGTTGTGCCTCGGCACCCGAAGCCTAATTCATCTTCAGCCTCGCATCCAAAAAAAAGATAAAGCCTTCGATGGGCCCTTCTGCCAGCTCTCCTTATTCCCCGGAGGACACATCCCTCAGGTCTCCTACCGTCCCCCTCCACCACCGAAATACCGTGTACTGTACCCCTGTCAGTCCTGTTAACCAACCACCCTTCTCGGTAGCACATCAAAGTGACCGAATCAGCATGAACTCCGAGACTCCTCGTCTGTCTTGCAGTAAGTCCTCGAGAGCTTACTTCAGAACGGGAGCTTCCGGACTCACTATGTGGGATTTTCAAAGTTGCTATCGTCGATTTTTCGCAGGACGTACGTTTCCCACATTTCCCATTCCGTTCCCCGCATATACATGAATGATGCTGACCTGTCCCTACCTGTCTTCCCCAGATACGTTTCTTATATGTCACTGAGTCATTCACCGAGCTCCTCGGCAAGTATTGTTACATTCCCCCGAGATATTTCCTCCAACCCGTTCATAATCTATAGGCTGGGACGTCCGGGAGACAATCGGACGCCCGGGCTCTGATCTAGTCCACCCTGACGAATTTTCTGTGGTGCGACAATTACATTAGTACGTTTTCGTTATCTTGACCCTGAGTCCGGTCCCTCTACCCGGTACCTCACATTAACCTACCTTACCTTGTTCTTCTACAGCGGTACCATTCGCCAAGATAAAGCAGCGGTGTTAGCGTATCTCCGACTCAAACACAAAGATCCACTGAGGGGGTACCTTCTTTGTGCAATTGTGAGTAAATTTTTTACGACTGATACTCTACCGCACTCGCCGACATCGCCGGATCGAAACGCTGCATTCCGTAGTCCCGCACTGTCGTGCATAACGTGCTTGTCGGGAGTATATCCCCCGCTTCATCCGGGATAAAGGCGTTCCAAAATGCGTCGACAGCACAGGAAGTCGACTTCGTGACCCCCGTTGCGAGGGACTTTGAGTTCAGGGTGAGTGACTGAGCGCAATCCATTCTTTTCTACCTGCACTCATGTATCTGTGTCGCGAAGCGCTGGGGTGATCCGTCTCCGATGCCTCCGAGCCCTATTCCTAATATCCCGCTACTCTTGGAGGGCACCGGTGAGGTTGAAGATCCGAATGCAGAGTGCAAAGACGGTATATTGAGCTTCAAGCCTCTTCCCAAACAGTCTGCACGCGTTGCACTCATCCTGGACCGATTTTCGATGCACTGCCCCATACAGTACTGCTCCAACGATCTCCTTGTCGAGACAACGACGGTAATGGGCCGGAGCTTTTATGACTTCGTTTCTCCTAAGAATGAGGATCGGGTTCGCGAGTGGATAGATATGGTCAAGGCCTGGGGCGTCAACGAGAAGGGCCAGCCTTCTGATGGGGGCTTCGGATTTGGTAAATTTACCTTATTGTGCAAGGGGAGGGAGTCAAGGTGCGCTTTCGTTCCACTGATCCCGTTGGCCTCCTATTCTCCACATCACTTATGACTTGTCGTTCTTATATGTAGGGGCGAGCAGATGACTACCTCGCGTTCGTCGCGGCGCAAGGAAATTTTCGCATCGTTGAAGGGTCAATTAGCCAAGACGCCGCTCCTAGGCAACACATCGTCAAGGACACATGGTTCCTCCACGCGCGATGATGAAATGCCCGTTGACGCTATATTTTCGGCTCATTCAGACGGCATCCTCCTCATCTTGCGCTCGACGGGTGCACCGCCGAAGTCATGAAGTGCAGGTCTCGGGATATAAAAACGGTTTTTCTGACGAACACTGCATATGTGTGTAATCTCCTTCCCCTCCTTCCGGAAGGCATGTTACATTGAATTTGACCTCATACCTCGGATGTCCCCTCCCCCTCTCACATATCGTAAACGAATCGATTTCAAAACATTATTACGATGGCCCGACTGGTCCTTGTGCTGCGCACATGTTTTTGTTAAAAACGGCGAAAGAAACTCCACGGCACGTTTTTTCTCTGGCTACGAAGTGTATTTATTTTGGTTATAGCAAGTCTCTCCCGGCGAACGATGCACTCGTAAATGTAGCCCTCGGCGCTTAGTTTTCATGTTGACAACAACTTTCCCGGACTCCGTTCTCTCCTGGTTGTATGTACACTACAATATTTCAGGAGTTGTGCATATGGCTTCATCTGTCTGGACCCTTTCGATGTGCCTTGGTAATCATATGTAGTTTCTCCGCGGCACCCTTCTTCTCAGGGGAACAATAATGTGCGTAGGCCCGCCTTACGTACATGAGAAATGACAACATGGACCTCTGGGTCTGTCTGGGATATTCCGGGCCGGTCTGCACTGTGGAGCGCCACTGCACAAAGCTCGCTGGAAAGGCACGCGATGACACGTTTTGAGGGTCGTCTGCTGTGCGTACCGATCTAAGACACATCCATACGTCCGATTTGAAGTCCTGGAAGGCCCATCTAGACATGATTCTATCCATGCATTTGGTGAATTGTGAACCGTTGTCAGAGTAAATAGGGGCATTAGCCTACGATCTGAGATATCTGCCAGATCGAATTTTATCACGGGTTGTTATAGGCTGTTATCTTGGTAATGTGTAGATCCAACGTCGTACGAAGGCTTGCATTTTTAGAGCCAGATCGTAATAATAGCCTAGCTGTATACACAACTTCCATTCTGATGTGATGGATGTTGACGTAACATAGTAAGCTAGCGGACGAACAGCAACCAGTAATGCATGGATATATTCTGCGTACAGTCATTCAACCGCTCTGGCAACCAGCTTTTTTTTTCCATTCGCCGAGGCTGCATTGTCCCACTGATCCTAGGAAAAGATGAAGGCCGATCGTACGCCGAATTGACAAGTAATAGAAGTTGAGCCGTTTGAGGCGCAGATTATCTTACGACTGTGATAGGTGGATCCAAGGCTATCTGTCGCCAGCTGTCGGATCTGTGAGTTGGTCGAGCTTGATTCGCTGCAGCTATGACAGGTTCGGACGTTCTTGTGACACGGACGTCCGAATCGAAGTGGGATGAAAAGTGTATGAACGCCCACCGAGTTGAATATGTGGCATTCGTGATCGGTGGGACCAAGTGCCAGCTAGTGCCAGTCATGCCAAATTCTATTGGATGAGCATGATGTATTTAGATATCGTCGCTAGGAGAATCTAGGAACGAGGCATGAGCGCTGGTCATGCCATCGACCTCTGACAGGTGCAATGTTGAATTTGCATGCTCAGTGTACGTTGCGATTGGTACGAAAGCGAAAAAACTCTTTCAGCGACGGCATTTGCGTCTTTTCCTTTCCTTTTCCCTTTTTACTCCGTTTCCTTTTTCTCTGGGTTGACAGGCCCGTGGCAGGGGCCTACAGTGGTCGTGGAGGTCAGGTGGCGTAAGATATAAAGTGACAAATCCGGTGGGATGGGGCACCTGTCATTTCTGTTGACCCGTGAAGTAGAATGCTGTTGATTATGCCTTATCCAAATTTAGAATCAAGGGGTCATGAGCTGCAGGCGGGCGGATTCTTGCATATGTTGGGGTGCCATATCCATGTGGACCGTGTCCTGCGGAAAAGGCGGTGCCTGGTATGGAGGAAATGAGCCGTGTTTGTGGTAAGTGGGTACACCCTTCAAGATCCTGATGGGATATGTATCTGTAAACGCTGGCGGTGGGAACGAGGCGAGGCATGTGTACCGCAAGGAAACGTGTACCTGTGTATCTATTAGTAGCCCGCCCAAACGCCCCTTCCATCTACCCCACTCAGTAGGGGAAGAACGGACAAATTGATGGTGGGTGTGATATCCCTGAGCAGGTTTCATCTTATCAGATGGATGTATCTATGTGATAGTTCGACTTGGGATGGAATGTGAGGCTGCTGAGCTGGTCACCAGTCTCCTTCCGAGTCCAACCGAGATCGAAGCCATATGGGACTATGTACATACGAATCATTATGGGCGTCCGTCGTTGGAGGCTCTTCCCCGTCGTTACCAAACTTACAACGCCGAAAACCAGGGGATGTTTCCCGAAAAGGCAATACCATCCATCGGTTCAACTGAATAAGACTCTGGGTGTGTGCAAGTCCGTCGATGGTGGCGGCGTCGGATGCAGGCTGGCAGTTCATGGCGGTGTTGTTATCGACACGTCCTATAGGACAGCCTGGCAGAGAGAGAGAGGATTGGTACAATAAGTAAATGACTGATGCTGTGAGAGCATTGCCGTCAATTGTACCACGTTCAGTTTTTTTTTCTTGCCGTGTTCTTGTTTCATTCCGGTTAGTGTGGCTGCGCGCGCTTGTCTGGGCTGAGTTGCTACTCTGCCCAGTGCCATGTCTCCCCGTCGCTCGACTGCCTCTGCTGCAATGAGTTCAGATATCGTCATGGGCCCTCCTCCCCCTCCCGCTGCTCTTATCCAGACCCCCGCACAGCAGCAGCCACCTGCGAAAGATAATCAAGACGTCAATGAAAAGTATAGAAAACTAAAACGTCGCTATTTCGATCTCGAGGAGGTGATTCAACAACCTCCTCTGCAACCCCCTGCTCATCGTTGTTCATATCTTCCCAACAGAAACTCAAGGAGACACAGCACGAACTTAGACTATCCGGCGAACGCAATGTCAAAATGAAAGAAGAGAGAGAGTACGTCGTTACCTTTTCGATATTACCCGATGGATGGAACAACTGATCATCTCTGCTATGCTAGATTGATCTTGCAGAGGGTGCACGAACTAGAGACACGTTCTGAACCGAACATACCGTCAGCACAATGGCCCCACGCCAGTGCATTTCCTCGTTCTCTTCTCTCTGCTCGCTCTCGCGCCTTGTTCGTCAGCAACCTCCGTCAAGCCATGGCAGAAGAAGAGGCGGATGATCACAGCGTTGACCCGCTGCTGTCGTCCCGGCATCTCGGCCCACTCTCTCATAAACATACTGAGGACGAGTTCCGCGAACGCGCTATGGCCACCACCGAAGACGATGTTGGTGAAGGTCGCCGTCAGGCTAAACGGTCGCGTGGATCAGCCAAGGGTAAAGATCAGCCGTCACCTCAACCACAGCCGTCTGTTGCTTCGAGTAATCAGTCACTCAACCTTCATCTCGAACCCACTCCTCCTAACGAAATAGGCGCTCCATCTCTCTTAGTGTCAAATAAGGGCACAAAGTTGCGATTAAAACCGCCTGTAAAACCAGCAGAATCTGACATGGCTCACACTCCGTCTCCGCTGTCGCCTATCATGTCTCCTCACGAGGAGCATCCCAACCCTTACAACGCTGGTCCATACAACAACGGAAATGCAGGGCAGCATCCTCCGTCACTTGGTCCAAGTGTTTCCACACCTCGACAGTCTATAGCACTTGCTCCATCGACTTCTCCCGCTGCCTCGGTTCAACCTTCCGAGATTCAGCGTCATGCCAAGCCAAAGCGGCTAAAAGCCCATACCGTCACAACCAAAAGCTACAGCATTCCCAATGTTCCACGTGACAAAAAGGGAAATCCCGTGCTGCCGTTGACCGTCGGTATCATGACTGTGATCAATCTCGGAGAAGTATGCATGCGCGAGCATTTCCATACAGAGCGATATATCTTCCCTGTTGGGTATGAAGTTACTCGGTACGTATACTTGTCCGCTATCATGCTCCGTCCCGTTTACAGATTTGGTGCAGGCGATATCACTCTACCGTAGATCCCCAACAAGAAGCTGTGTACCGGTGTTCCATCCTGGACGGCGGAGATGGCCCAAAGTTCAAAATCGTCGGGTCAGACGCACCAACCCGTTCTATCATCGCCGGGACCGCGACAGGTGCATGGTCTAACATCGTCAAGCAGGCCAATGCGATAAGGAACAGGCAACACTCCAACTCAGTCTCGGGTCCAGACTTTTTTGGGCTTGGCCAAAACACGATCAAACACCTCATTCAGCAACTTCCCAATGCGGACCGGTTGAGGGATTATGTATGGCAGAACTTCGTGGAGGGAGGGTAAGTAGTTCATTTTTAAATTTTCCTCCTTTGCGTTAGTCACACGCGTCGACTCGTTTTTCCATGCTTGATCGCAACCCATGCGTGGCTGTTTCGTTCCCCTTGTTTCCACCGCCACGCTTTCGTCCGTCCCTTTTTGCGTCATTTCTTATATCTTTTTCCCTTTTCCTTCGAATATGACGTGATCGTGATGTGACACAGACCTTTAGGCGGTAGGCACGCAGCCGTCACCCCTGCACTCCCCAAGGACCGTTTGGACTCTGCACCGGGTGCAGGGACACAAAATGCGCATGAAAGCGGTGGAGAGGAAGGAGGGAGCACGTCCCATTCAAGTCATGATCATCATCAAGAAATTGAAAGTGTCGACTTGCATCATAATTATAATCAGCAGCATCAGCCACGTCATCACCAACAGTCACGCGGGGACCTCGCGTTGTCACCGTGTCCAACTTCATCCAATCATCCGGTTCCGTCGGCATCGTCCTATTCACTGTCTCAATCATATAGTGGTATTGTCCATACGCCGTCGTCTTCGTCCTTGTCTTCGCAGTCTCCTTCGTCAGCAGGATCCGTCACTGATACGCTTCCCGTACGTGAGTATCGGGTGAGTGGGTTGTAGCAAGGGGTCGTGACGCCCAAAGCACCGATGACAAACCTTCTGAGTGGTGATGGCAACGAGGATAACTACACGGCGAGGGGAGCAAGCCACATGGGACTGTCTAGGACGCGGTGGCGCGGACAACATTCGCAAGCCTTCAATTTTCCATTACAAGAAATAAACACGAACACCCTAACTGCATTACCTCGTCGCTCTTTGGGCTCCCTTCGGCCGCTCTCTCTTTCCAAATCTTTCTTCACCATCACACTCTACAACTAACGTTGCGCACTGCTTCACAACCATCACCTCGTACACGGTACCAATCCTTCTCCACACGCTCATCTACCGCGCTCCAAATTTGTTGTTTTGCTCATATCACCTCCGCACGTGTACGATCTCGAACCTGTCTAACCATAACTATCTTTACGTTTGGCATAATCTTCTGGTCTCTCTCAACGCCTACTTCTTGGCTCAGGGCGCACGCGTTTTAGTCTTTTCTTTTCTTTTCTTTCTCCCCGTCTTCTTGTGATAAGCATTGGTGTTATGGATATGCAGTCTCCCCTGGGAATTCCCCGTCGACAGGAAGATTTATGACAGTGGTATGTCACTAACAACACGACCCGATCTAGACTGGATTACGGCGCGAACCAGTGGTTGACTCCTCCATCTTGTCGAACGACATATTCTTTCCAGCCCTCACCGCAGCGCCCCCCGAGATCATGCTCACTCTGGCGGGGCCTGCCGCATCTGAAGTAGGTCCACTAGAGACCTTGCGCAAGCTGGCCCTGGCATACCAGACATGTTTCTGGCAGCTGTTTTTTTGGGGGGCCGGCTGGGTATGGGCAAGAGTGAGAAGAGCTCCTGCGTGAGTTCGGGTTTATGCCTTCCTAAGGACTTCTGCGGCGAGGCTATTGCTGTTTGGAGTAGTATATAGGGCAGACATTTCTTCTTCTAGCGGCTTTATGAGATTTGGGATGTACTGGAGTTGCATTGTAACGCGCCTCGTCAATCCGTGATGACAGAGACCTGTTGACAAGCTGTACCCAGTGCCATGATATATTGCACTGTCCGTGAAAGTCTACGTATGATTAAAGTCTAACGGGTACAGTCCAAATCCCGATACCCTCCTCTCTTTCACCCATTGCATGGAGGAGCCTGGGTCTTCCCGAGCCTCGGCGCATCATCAACATCGCAGATGACCCCACGAATGTCTTCCCTGACGAGTTAGGATGACAGCATCAGCATATATATTCGGGGTATACGGTGCTTGAGGCAACAAGCATGGCTCTTACCCCCTTCGTCACCGAAACGATTGCACGCAACAACCACTAGATCTTTGGGCTCTATTGAAGATCCATTGATTTGAGGCTCTGTCCGCTGATCCCCGTTCTCTTTCTCTGTAATAGTAGGGTGGTGGTGTGCCCACGTCGGACGGAGACGCTGCGCCCACCAGTTGAGGGTTTCCCAATTCGGCTCTAGCTCGACATCATCGTCACCATTATCTTCTCCTTCCTCCGTCCTCTTCGCTTCTCCCTCATCTCCACCTTCATCATCTTCATTGCGAGCTTTCAACCACGCATTCAGCAGCACGAGTAACCTCGTTTCCTCCCGCACACAATGTCTAGCAAGTTCATACGGTCCATCCTCGAGAGAGTTCCATACCGCAGAATTATGCACGTTTAAATCGTTGCATATGGCAATGGTCGTCTTCCCCAGTGGGGGTGGGAGATCAAGCACGGTAAACCCGCTTCCGGGAGCTGCCCAGCTCAGATCGGTCTCGAACAGGTTGGACTTGCGGTATAGAGTGAGAGGTTCACCAGTAGGGCTGTATAGGACAGCGCTGTTGAAGCCGATAGGGCCAGTGTGATTGTGTGGAGAACTGGTGGGAGTCGAGGTCGGAGGCGCCGTTGTGGCTGGTGATGGTAGTGGCAGTGGTAATGGTGCGGCTAAGGAGTTGGAGTCGTGCTCTGAATGTTCAGGGAATCCAGCTGTGACATAGCATTCGAGGCGGCGCGCCAACTCAGCGCAGAAAGTAGAAGTGGGACCCGTCCTCGGGTGTTCTAGATAGGGGGATATTGAAGCAGCATCGGGGAACACGTAACCTGGGTTGTTGGATCGGTGTCGCTCCAAATCACCGGACCATGTGTTTTGCATGATGCGCTTTCAAGGAGAACTGACAGGTAACGATGAACGTACCTGTGAAGATCATCTCGGGGAAGCACAAAAGGTCCACACATCGAGGTGTCAATCTGTCAAAATACATTGAAACCAGAGATCAGTGGACTGCGAGGCCAATCACAAAAGTGTGTAGGACGACGATACAAGCACCTACGAGGCTTACCCTTTGCACAACTCGCGAGCCTTGGCAATGTTGGCTTGAACCTTGCCGATCTTGAATCGAAAATTTTGTCATCATGGTCGCGCTAATGCTCAGTTATGTGGTCCGTTGCACATACCCTGGGCGCAAACTGGACAACTCCCACCCTCAGCGTTGTCGTTGTCGCCATCTAGTACACGGGTGCTTTGGGAGAATAAGGTGAGATGCGGTAACTGCCCATCGCTGGTTTATAGGTCTTCCAGCCCCGTAAGGTAGGAAGTTGTTACTTTATTAGCGTACTGTGAATAGTACAATTAAAAGATGGTCTAATCAACTTCAGGGTCCCAATAAACTTTATGAATCATTTATCCAATCGTTCATCCTATTCTCTAACCTGTCGCGTTGTCCATTCATCCAACGCTTCCTTCACAGCCAACACTACATCCGTCTCGTCCTCGTCCTCGTCCCCGTCCCCATCGACCTTGTCCGTTACGGCTCCCAATCTCTGTATCGCACGCAGCTTCTGGTTCACTCGGTCATCGTATCCAGATCGCGTCGCCGACATTGTCTGTGCACAGAATTCGATGGTTTTCGCGGCATTTGCGAGCACAGATGCTCTGCATTCATTAGCACCAGTGAATCATATCTGAATGTAGGGCATACCTTGCTTCCGTATTAGTGGGTAGGGCGGACCCCTGAAATTTATTGCAACAGCTGCCGTCGCTTAGTACCTGATACAAGGCTTTGCATATGGAGCCAAACGCTTTCATGCGCACTGGAAGCTGCAGGGTATAATGAGCGCTACGAAGTAACAGCTAAAACTATACGAAACTGGAATCTTCTGCGAGAAGTTGGCTTCGAGCTCGACGGCTACCTCTGGGAGTGGTGCTGGTTCCGGTCATTCGACTAAGTAGAAGCCTTGCGAAGAGTGATATCGACGTACGTTGGTCGGTAGGTTGGCTCAAACTCTCGATGTTGCTGTCGTTACTTCCACGGTACTCTTCCGCAGTGTTCGACATCTGCACGTCATCTGAATCTGGCAGATCTTCATCTTTCTGAGCAAGCGAACCGCCAGCACCACCATTATCTATGTTGCAAGATTGAAGATCGACTTTGGCAGTCTCTGAACTAGCCTTGAATGGCGTTCTAAACGGCACTTTGAATGGTTTCTTGAGGCTGCTAGCAGAGCTATACGCCCTTGTCACTTAAGAAGTCACTACTGTGAACAGCCATCGACATTCGCACAAGCGCCAAACCCACCTAGAGGCACGGGAGGCTTCGGCACGCTGTGTTTCATCCTCTTCGAGTCGGGAAGCACCTCCCCGCCACTACATGCTCGTTTAGCACTTTGGAAACCGACAGATCCGGCATCGGTGTTGATGCTGATGTTGTGGGAAGCGGGTGAGCGTGACTCTTCCACTTCTCGAGCCGTCTGATCAGCTGGGAACTGAAAATAGTCAGCCAGTTCATCTTCGTCTTCGTAACCGTCATCCATCCAAGCAGAGGTGTCGACGCTGGAGAGATTTGCCTTGCGTTGCCGCACCTTTCCTGGGTATCTGCAAACCTAATCAAGCGTACACACGCTGTCAGATGGACCAGGTAATGTGAGCCACCTACATCGCACATCTTGTCACATAAACTCTTCATCAGCCCCTCATCCGCAGTATCAATCGTTTCACCCAAGTATTTGCATATCAACTACCCCAAGTTATTCCCCGCGAGGACAGTCGTCAGCGCTTCAACAAAAATATCTTACAATACACTGACAACATGCCGACAAGTTGTGGTATCTTCGGCGTAATCGACGAGCTGTGGTACGGGTCAGAAACCGATTGTGGGCCCAGATGTTGGGATATGGCTTGTAACGGACCCCTTGGAAACTGTCTCCAGTCCGCTGGCTGGGTTCTGGAGCACCGATCATTCTGGCAGTATCTTGCCTTTTTGCATGTGATCTTGACAAGAGACCGCGCACCCGCAAGGCGTCTTCTCGTGCTATTCCGACGAGGCATAGATAAGTAGGGTACATGGTAACGTGGGAGGTAATCGTCACGTACTGTAGTACAAAACACATCTCGATGGCTGAGGCATCAGAAGTCAGTTATGACTCAGACGTCGAGAACGAGAAGAGAAAGTACCAAACCATCGCGACCTGCTCGACCTGCGTGGATACTGAATTCAAATACTCAAGTCGCGGGGGCTACATCGTACCCGTTTCCTGGTAGTACCCTGGACGCCACTGAGCGTAAGGTGACAGACACAGGGTGTCCATGCTCACCTTCGAAACTCTTGGGGAGGTCATAATGTATGATGTAACTTGCATAATCTGTGAGGCGCGCCCTCCTGAGAACAGTTTAGATAGAGTCCTCACCGGACGTCGCCCTTGTCGATACCCATCCCAAATGCAATGGTAGCACAAACCTGGCACGCTTAGCACACGGAAAGCACTAACAATGGACAACCAACCACATCGACATTGCCTTTCTCCGCTCCCCCGGCCTGCCATTGTTTCAACGTCTCGTCAAGCTCCGACGACCTATGACGGGTATGAGCCTCCTACGATATCCACGGAGCGGCGACAGACTTGATTCCACGGTGATAAGAGCTGGCTTTGAGACCTTTTGCTCTCAAGAAGTGCGATAGCTCGTCACACATATTTCGCAGTCGACAGTATATGATCCCAGATGATGGACGGCCACGACGCTTGTATAACGTACTGATAAATTCGAATATATCTGACTTTCGCGCAAGGGAATCTTGGCCGGACGTGTACCGTATCTAATTGCATGACAATACGGAAGAATATCAGTGTTTCTCTTCTCACCTCGTAAAAGAGATTGGCACGATTGGCTGGATGGATAGCCGTGTATAGACGGTCCTCGACCATTTTGAGACTGCAAAGAATATCGTCCCGTACACTGAACGCTAGTTAGTCCATTACTACGGTGTCATCGTTGAGAAGATGTGTACTTGTCCGTTGCCGTCGCCGTCAGAGCCATGACGGGGACACGGGGGAAGTTGTCTCGAAAAGTCCCTAGCTTTCTGTACTCTTCCCGGAAGTCGTGTCCCCATTCCTGATCCTTTATTAGTCGGCGCCACGAGTCGTGTAGCAGTGGCTCACTGATATGCAATGGGCCTATCGAGCACTGTGAGCTACTTAAGAATGGAGATTGCAGATGCTACCTCATCAACCACCAGTCTATTCAGAAACCCGTGTTTATAAACCATCGCGAGCAGTTGCATGACATCCTGTGTGCAGAGCCTTTCCGGGGTAGCTTTAGGCATTTTTAGCGTGTGCTGAGCCAATACGTTAGCGGACATACTGTACAGCAGGCGAATCCTCGGCCTTGGAGAGGATAGATCGGCGAAAATCTATGGAGACAATAGCCTTAATCTCCAATTCCAGAACGTGGGCCGCGGCGAGATACCTTTGCCTTATCTTTTTTGCCCGTATCCGAAGTCAGAGAGACAGCGGAGACGCCTTTTTCACGGAGACTAGCAACTTCTATGCGATTGTTTGAATGCCATTCACAGCGTAGTTAAAGAATACTTGCGGTTCTTCATGAGCGCTGCACACCACGTGAACTCGGCGTTTGCGCTTGTATCAATCAACTTCCTTCCTACTCACCTAGCAGAGGAGATACCACGACGGACAACCCGTACTGGGTACCTGCAGGATCACAAGGTTTTAGCCAACATAAATGCACACATGACTGACCTCTGATGCGATAGATGGCAATTGGAAGCATAGGCTCTGTGCAGATGGTCAACCCCGAACTCTGGCAACGGATGCTATATAATACCTTTCCCATGCCTGTCGGTGCAAGGACAAATACGTCCAACCCTTCGCACTCGCAAGTCAGTGTTGGCCAGTAGAAGGTTTGGGATGGTCAGGAGCACCTGATATTGCGGCTTCGATGATTTCTTTCTGCTTCCCTTTGTAATCCGAGTGGCCAAATTCTCCAAAAGGTTCAGGTAACAAACCACCGACATATCCAGTCAGACGTACTTTCATGCAACAACCTAGGTGCGATGGCAAAGTGAGAAGTGGCAACATACGAGACGACTTTCTTACCTATCGCATTTTTTCATCAGAACCTCGCGTGTTGCTGTTGGGGCAGAAGTTGGTTTGTAGTATGCAAAAAGACCATCTCCATGATTGCGTTTGCGCTGCACAAGGGGTTCCATGATGGTGGGGGGACTGCAGTTGAACGCGCTGAGATCGACGCGGTCACGTGTGGGAATAGCATTGTGTCCTTTTGCCGCCGACGTTACCACCACTCGATTTCTGGCATCGGGTTCAATAGTATTGATGTAAAGGTGAAATATATCATTGATTGGAACCAAGCCTACCTCTAGGACATTCAATACACGAAGTGAGTTGCCTAGAGCATTTCGAAGACAATTTTATTACTGTAAATAATACAATCTCGCAGAAGTTTGGCTGATGAACAGTGCGGCGGCATCAGGGTGCATCAGCCATCAACCTGCCATTAATGTGAATTCCGCCGCCCCAGTGGTGACGACGAGTACACCCACCTACCGTTGACGCGGTGCAGCTCTGCACAATTTTTTCCATTTCTCCTGCAGAGAATTCAGCGAACAGCCATGAAGTAAGCAGCGAATCCGTGCCTAGGGCTTTCGGGGGAAGCCTGGTTCCGGAAAGTATTAGATCTTCATAACCTTCGCAATCGCACTCATAGCCACGAATATAGGTTGAATCGCAACGCTTGCAACGCTCACTGCTTCCTTCTCCAGTAAGTTGTGTACCCTGACTCCGCATACGTGCAGTCGATCCGGTATAGCCGCCGGCTTGCCCGGTGCCGCTGCCACCATGTTCCTGCGATTCTGCTCCCTCTTCTGCGGCGGGTACTCTCCCTCCAGGATAGTTTGCATCCTCGTTGTAGTCCCCTATTTCACCTCGGTTTAGGCCACGGCGTGCGAAAGAAGTCATTGGACAGATACTAACTGCGAGACATGTTACGTCCGCTGCGGTGGTCCTCGCCTCTCCTAGTAGACATAGTGATAAGCTCCAAGTTTGTTGCCCCAAGTGCAACAAGTTTTGCGTGAAGGCGCGACTCAAAGACTACACATATAACAGTTGTTTTCGACAATGACGTCGAGATGACCGAACGACTTGAAATTTGTAAATGGACGCGTTCAGCTGACCTCGACTCTGTACATGCATCCCGCAGTTGGGATGGTCGATGAGGGCGAGTTTTGCCCCGTTCTCCATCTCTCGTGAGTAGCAAAATAAGATATTGTTTTGATCAGATGTAGAACATCCCTGAGAATGCCTGGTCACCCAAACACGTTTTAGCATGTCTGATGGCATGCGATGCAGGGCATCGTGGGCGCACAACCTGTGCTCTACAGACCACAGCATCTCCTTCCCTTTCACATTCAGAATCCAGACGTCCACCAGGCATTCAATAGTACTGGTGAGCTTATTACCAGTTGTGCGATCTCTAACTTACTCTCGCCGATCATAGCGACTTGCGTTTACCGGTGAAGTTCCCCATGAACTCTCGTTGTGCAACTTATACTAACATCTAGGTAGCGGAAACTACACTTCGTTCTCATCGACCATCCAGGATACTCCCTGTTTAGCTCGGTCGCGCAGTTTGATTCACACTGTTAGCATTCTGACAGTCTGGATTGCTTGAACGTGGTTCTTTCTCGTTCAAGGATAATGTATAGTTCTACTATTCTTGTTTTGTTCCGAACTGATCGCTGAATCAACCAGAATCATTCCCACCGTGTATCCTCCCACCGCAACTGTATTCAATGAATTCAACGGACGAGGTTTCCCGCGAAGCGAGCAGAGTTGGAAGGCTGTCCTGCGGGACACGATGGCCAGGGATGTTACCTTCAGCGACCTAGCAACGGCCCTCTATGAGAGATTCCAGACAGAGGGGAAAGTTGACGACGTGGACGAGGCAATCACATTACACAATGCAGCATTGGAACTTCGCCCATATGGACATCCTGACCGATCCTTTCTCGCTCCATGGGCTTGCGGTATGTTCTGCAAGCAGATATGACAATCAGGGAGTGGTTCACCGACTTGGAAGAAGCCATCACACTTGGGCGTGCAGCGCTAGAGCTCTATCCACCCGGTCGTCCTGGTCGTGGTATGGCTCTCTGCAATCTTGCTTCTTACCTTCGGAAGAGGTTCGAGAAACAAGCTGTGATGCATGATTTAGACGAGGCATTTGAACTGCACCGTGCAGCATTGGAACTCCATCCCTCTGGCCATCCTTGGCGGCCTTGCTCGCTCTATGGGCTTGCTCTCTGCTTTTCGAACAGATATGATAGTCATGGAGTAGTTGCTAACTTGGAAGAAGCCATCACACTCGAACGTGCAGCACTAGAGCTCCGTCCACCTGGCCATCCTGATCATGGCATATCTCTCAACTATCTCGCCCGTGACCTCTGGAGGAGGTTCGTGAAACAATTTACAATGCACGACCTAGATGAGGCAATTGAGCTGCACCGTGCAGCATTGGAACTCTATCCCTCTGGCCATTTTTGGCGGCTTTTCTCGCTCCATGGGCTTGCTCTCTGTTTTTCGAACAGATATGATAGTCAGGGAGTAGTTGCTGACTTGGAAGAAGCCATTACACTCGGACGTGCAGCACTGGAGCTTCATCCACCTGGCCATCCTGATCGTGGCATATCTCTCAACAATCTCGCCCATGACCTCTGGAGGAGGTTCATGAAACAATCTGTGATGCACGACCTAGATGAGGCAATTGAGCTGCACCGTGCAGCCTTGGAACTTCATCCCTCTGGCCATTCTCAGCAGCCATTCTCGCTCCATGGGCTTGCTCTCTGTCACTCGAACAGATATGATAATCAGGGAGTAGTTGCTGACTTGGAAGAAGCTATCACACTCGGACGTGCGGCACTAGAGCTTCGTCCACCTGGCCATCCTGATCGTGGCATATCTCTCAACAATCTCGCCCATGACCTCCAGAGGAGGTTCGTGAAACAATTTACAATGCACGACCTAGATGAGGCAATTGAGCTGCACCGTGCAGCATTGGAACTTCATCCCTCTGGCCATTCTCGGCGGCCTTTCTCGCTCCATGGGCTTGCTCTCTGTCATTCGAACAGATATGATAATCAGGGAGTAGTTGCTGACTTGGAAGAAGCCATCACACTCGGACATGCGGCACTAGAGCTTCGTCCACCCGGCCATCCTGATCGTGGCATATCTTTCTATGATCTCGCTCATGACCTCCGGAAGAGGTTCATGAAACAATCTATGATTTATGACCTAGATGAGGCAATTGAGCTGCTCCGCGCAGCAAAACTCCATCCCTCTGGACATCTTAATCGCTTTTCATCCCTCCACTTACTTGCTCTTTGTCTCTCGCATAGATATGACAATCAGGGGGTAGTCGCCGACATAGAAGAGGCTGCCGCACTCGGACACATGGTACCAGAGCTTCGTCCACCAGGGGATCCCCATCGTGCTGTATCCCTTTATAACCTCAGTTGCGGCCTCTTGACAATGTTTCAACGACAAGTTTTGATACCCGGGTTGGGCGGGGTAAAGTTTGTTCGCAGAGCTGCATCTGTACTCCGCCCAGCAAATAACGCTAACGCTGCCTCTGTATTCCATGTCCTCTCACTACGCCTCAACGACAAGTTCCGGAAACTGGCTGCAATAGCCGACTTGGACGAAGCTATTTGTTTTGCTACGTATGCTTTGGAGCTCCAACTACCAGAACGCCGTCGTTATGCTTTCTCCGTTGAAAAGCTTGCTGTATTCGTCAGAGCGCGCGCTCGGAGACTCGGTCAAGGGACGCACTCGAATGAGTCCGTCATGCTTGGCCGAGCGGTAGACAATTTATGTGGCCTTGGGCACCTCCTCATGGACAGATTTCGAAACCAACACGCAATTACCGACCTGAATGCAGCAATCACGTTGTACAGATACGTGCTGCAACTCCGTCGAGCTGGACATGCCAGTCACCCCTCGAACCTTCATAACCTTGCACTATGCTTAATAGAGAGGTTTCATGACACAGCTATAGTTGGTGATTTGGACGAAGCCATCTCACTCGAACAAAAAGCCCTGGAACTATCTGTTCCTGGAGACCCAGGTTACGACGTATCCAAGGACTGTCTTGCAACCTATCTCCAAATGAAGATCAGCCCGCAGGTTACGAGGGTATCTTCAATCCGATCGGTCGCTACGGAATATGAGGTTAGCCAAGTCATCCGACATGTCATTTCTGAGACCCTCGAAGCCGTGCCGACTAGACTGCTGAACACGCAAACAGGCACCTTGTGTAACCGGGATGCGCAGATATTGCAATTCACGCGTAGCCCGCAATACAACCAGCTCTTGTCATCAGCTATGTTATACGACCCCGTGGAGCGAGTTGGCCGTATACATGCTGTTATCTCGAGATACTTCGGGTTTGCCATGTTTTCTCACTGCTGGGGAGAAGGTGAACTATTACTGCGCGATATCCAAGGTCGCCCAATATATGACATGACACAGAGTGGGGGTGTGAAGAAGCTCCAGAAGTTTTGTCTCACTGCTTTCAAGCAAGGTTACCTATGGGCGTGGAGCGATACTTGCTGCATAGACAAAGATAGCAGCACTGAGTTGCAAGAGGCGATAGGATCGATGTTTGGATAGTATCGGAGGTCTGCCTTAACAATCGTGTATCTTGCCGACGTTCCGGACACTGCATCATTTGCTACGAGCCAATGGTTCAGACGCGGATGGACCCTTCAGGAACTGCTGGCTCCTCGCACCATTTTGTTCTACACTCGAACCTGGTCGCTCTACAAAAACATCGAATCATCGAATCATAAAGCAAACGGTGTTGTACTAGAAGAACTTGCGAAGGCAACCGGAATAGCGTCTCATTTCCTAGCTGACTTTATGCCAGGTATGGAGGACGCACGCTCGAGACTTCAATGGGCATCGTCACGTCGTACCACTCGCCCCGAGGACATTGCCTATTCGCTTTTTGGCATTTTCAATCTCCATTTACCTGTCCTCTATGGGGAATCTGCCGAATTCTCCCTGGGTCGCCTCCTAGCAGAAGTCATATCACAGTCTGGGGATATCTCAATTCTAGACTGGGTTGGGGAGGCATCGATGTTTCATAGTTGTTTCCCGGCACGCATCACCTCGTACCAAACGTTGCCTGTTCCACCATCAGATACGGAAGAGCAGTCGTCGACAGCGAGTCGACAGCCTACATCATCCAAAGCACTGCGAAAGCTGTATCGGTCTCCCCAACCACGATTCATGAACCGCCGCCTCACGTTGTCATGTTTCTCCCATCGTGTTACAACGGTCTTGCTGAAGAGCACAGATCCGTCCTCGTCAAGTTATACGTATGAAATCCACGCATCCGGCTTGCAGCCACTTGAGATTACACTGTCGGAAGAGCTTGAAAATACGGCATGGTCGCCAGGAGAGCCAGAAAGTGCGACTGGTGCCCTGCAGCTTGTTCGCCCTTTGCATTCGAAGTCGCTTAGTCGATCCGCCAAGCTAGACGCCGCTGCTACGGAACAGTTGCTCGTAACACTGGGACGACCATTTAACGCCCTTCTGTTAACTGAACTGCCTCACAACGAGTACAAAAGGATTGCGTCCTCCACACTTATCGCCGCTCAGCCCGTAGACTCGACCAGCATCCTTCAAAGCAAAATCAGGACATTCAATATTGTATAGGTAGTCACAGTGTTGTGATATCAGGGCGAGTACATCACGACAGCATGACAAATGTTGATACGATAGATCGGTGGTCCGTCTCTTGTATTGTCGTTTGTACCTTCTCATCTGTTGTTGCACAACACGATATGATGAATTAGGATATGCATCTTTGAGCATTCAACTTCACAAATGTCAGCCAGGATGCCGGAAAAACGCCCGCAAACCCAGACCTGAGGCCCCCCGGCGTGAGCACTGAGTACCGAGTGGTCGTTGACGCCTTGGCTGTAAGCTAAATGATCCGGCCAACCCAGAATGCCACCAATTACCACTCTCCATCGAGAAATAAATAGCACCTCACTGATTCAGTGAATCAATTCTGCAATTTATGATACACATGTAATAGAGCCTTGTTTCAGTAGTCAATTTTAGGCTGTGAAGGATTTTTGCCATCCTTGCGCTCAATGGTACATGGTGCTTCGAGTCTCTGCGTCCGTAGACTGAAACTTGAGTTCGTCTCAAATTTCCGCTACTGTAGGTCAGTTCACAGCGAGAACGTGGTTTCAAACGTACCGTTTCTTGGCCAATGTTAACAGCTATAGGCAACTTTGCAGGTGACACCACCCGGCTGGATAACTGGCGTCGAGGGCTTTGGCTACGTATTACGTGGTCACCAGTCCGTGCTTCCTGCGGGCGAGCAGTATGTCATGTAGCCGGAGAACAACGTAATCTGCGCCCGGAATGAAAAGACATGAAGGAGCGGAATCGGACTTCCGGTGGAACGTTTCCAGGCTCTTCTGCAAAATGGTTCAGCCGGTAGGGACAACTGATCTTTTAAATGCTTTCTATTTCGTTTTGTATCCGATCTGATCGCTCTACGTTACGGCTGTTCGCTCATACCTTCTGGAATTATCAAGACAAGAGCCATTTCAGGCGTTCCACGACGCAAGTTCTGAAGAAGATTTTCTCCGTGCAAATACGTGAATATGTGCCAACCCAGGGATACTTTGCAACCTCTATGAAAGCAGATATTAAAACGATGCCGCAAAGAAACTCGAGAAAGCGAGCTTACGGGTGGGTTGACAAACCAGGCGGTTTCCCACTTGCTCTCCTGCCACCGCCGCTTCACGAAACCATCTACCTCCTGCCCCACCTGGCGCACCATCTCCTCTTCTTCATAGCTACCTTTCGGGCTACGAATCATGCTTTCTATAGTTACGCCCCAGTCAGCCAAAGCTAGCAAGCATGATTCGAGTGAAGGAAGTTCCTCAATGGGAGTGTTGGAGCCTGTAAAGCCCCACACGCCATCTTGTTGGATTCGAGCCTCGATGGCACTGGGAATTAATGAGGGATAAAAAATAGGTACGCGTGACCAGATAACTGTATGTTCAATTGCAAGGGGTACTGAGGGCGAGGTAACGTGAGCGGATCACCCAGTAAGTGTCCAGCAAGAGTACCTGAATAAGGCCAATCATTTTGCATAATGTAGATCAGACCAGAGTTGAATGGCAAGTCAGCCGTGAAGTATTGGGGCACGACGCCGGACACTTCTGAGCTATTCGTCGTAGTTTCCTCGCATTCCTCGAGTTCCGAAGGAAGGAGGGAAAGTGTGTCTGGTTTGCCCCACTGCAGGCGGTAATCCAGGAGATAGTTGACTGTCGCCTTCGCACCACTCATTTTCCTCATTGGTATGCAAATGTTACCCACCAGTCGAACCATGCCTCTTCCTGATGTCCGCTGACCAGACATTGTACCTGTGTTGCAAAGCTTTGTCGCGCTTGAGAAGGCCTAGATCTCTTTATGGTTCTTAATAACGGCAGTAAGACTGTCATAAGAGAACACACCCAGAATTAATGAATGCCTTTAACTGCGGCCATGTGAATCGCGCCGGATAGTGTTCTAGAAGCTCCTGCCTCGTTGGTGGACCGTAACCAGTCCTATTACAGCTGTGTGAGTCCAAATCCTGCTTGGGGTTAGCCTCGATAGCCATGGCACTATGAGACGGATGACGTGGTGCTGGTGATAGTCAAGATCAAGCCGGGTTTGGGGGTGGAGGTGGCTCGTGGACCGTTCTCGGTGGAGAGCGGGAACACGCGGACTGCTTAATGCGACCCACAAAAAGTTTCTTCCGCCGCCCTCCGTGCTCACCGCCGGGCCGGCTTCTCGCACACCGAGTTCTGTCCTGTTCTGAGCCACGCGAAAACCGTTGTCTTTGGCGTTTGCAGGGCTAACGGGGCTGACTGTCCCCAGACTACGCAAAAGTATCTCTGATTGTCGAGTAATAGCGCAAGGTTGGGCTCAAAGCGGGGGCCCGTTTAAGAATACCAAATCCACCACTAGCCGCCTTGTCAGGCAGCCCATGGCCAAAGCTTGGTCTGGGATGGATGGATAACTCGCTGGGATAAGTTAAATTAGCCTCCCCTTCAAGGGATACGTACCACTTTGCCACACTCTTCTCGGATCCTACGTTCCGACTCCAGAGCCAGGATTCTTGCGCACTCGTAACTTACATCTTGTCCCACTCACATGACTATACTCACCACTGCCCCGTAGTTTGACATTATTAGGACGACGCAGGTATATATACCTAATGGACTTTGCGGAGAGTCAACAATCTAAACCCCTTTCAATCAGCCTCGTTCCGCCAAGAAATTCAAGACTGATGGAATCCAAGAAGCACATCAATTATCAAACCGATAGCGTCGTTGGCAGTGCCGTCGTTACGTGTATGACTGGGTACCCTAATGCTACAAAAAAAGACCATATCCCAAAAGGCAGAATCGTAAGAGAAGGACCAGTGGGACGACTTTGGTAGCAAGACCAATATCTAAAAACCTAACCCAGAATAACTGATAGCATGAGGGGCCCGGGTAGATGGAGACCGGGGGGGAAAAAAACCCCCTAGAAAAACAGCTCTTGGTTTCGTGAATGTCAAGTGCCCTGTCTTGGGATGGAGAAATGATCGGAGAGAGAAATGGATGGCGTGAAAAGGAGCGTGAATGGTTGAAAAGCCGTGTGTATAACCTAGAGAATCCGTATGTCGTGTTTTGCCCTTTAGGAGAATGCGATCGTTCTAAGACAGTTCCATACCGACCAAGTATGGTGGATGATAAAATGAGAGAAAGGGGAAGGTTGCATTTCAATTTTCAGGTTGAGATGGCACTGGTTCTTAGCCTTTTGTAGAAGGCCCATCCGTGGCCATCGGAGGGGCGACAGTTGACTTCCCAGACCGCTTGGGCGCACCATGAACGCGACTCTCTTCCGCTGTAGCCGCGAGGGTCGCCCACCCGTCGATCAGTTGTTGTCCAACACTCGGTTCGAGCTCAGTGCCATCTCGTGAGACCTTGATTTCCCGATCGTGATTCCAGGGGTTTCGCAGCTGCCGCGTCTTTTGAAAGGAGAGAGGTTGCGTGCATAGCCATTCAACCTTGAACGTTTGACCCCAGCTATCAGTAGCATCGTGTCCCTCGGTAGCCGCCCCTTTAGGAAACCGAGCCGGCTCGGGAGCATCGTCATCTCCAACAGCATTCTCAGTGAGATTTTCTTCCTGCACGGCCTGGAGCAGGGAGGACTCATCGGCGTTCAGCGTATTCCTCACCGCCTTCGCGGGCGCATTCCTATCAAGCACGATATCGGCCCTGGCAGGAATGCTCGCAGCAACAGAAGGTGAAATTTTAGACCAGAGCGGAGCACGGCGTGCTTTGCTCCCCTCGGCCAAACTGAACGTCTTTGTGGGGACTGTGGGAGAGAATTCCAGTGGGGGTGATGGTCCAAATCTTGCAGGCGCCGATTGCAGTTCTTGCTGTGCACGTTCTTCCCCGGCAGGTGACTTCGCACCGATGCGATCCCATTCTAGGGACGAAATCGGCAAGGGTGACTCCTCGACCAGGCGATGCTCCGATGGGCTAAAATAGTTGGCCGAGTTTTCCCTCGAATATGTTGACGCAGCGGGACTCCCTGGAGGCTCGCCAGTTGTCTGCGACTGTTTGCGATTCTGCGAAGATGATACAGAACAAGGGGACACGTCAGAGCGGGAGGCCCACGAGACGCTGCTTTCGCCACGTAGTACTCGGCTGGCCATGCTGCAATTAATCGCAACGTGTCAGACCAGGCACGATTGGCGGCAGTCGAATTTTCGAAATCGACGTACCGTGCATACCCGTAAAATTCTCCGCTCTTGTTCACGCCAAAGATAAGAATAACATCCTTGCTCGTACGGTACGCCTGATCCAAGACCACTTCATTATGTTTCTGCGTTGCCCAAAGCCCTCGTTCTACACTTAAGTCCAAATCGTACTGTCCGAAAACCCCAATTAAGTAACCCCATATCGTCCGGTGCAACCTGTCAAAGTCACACGTACCCGAGTTAAAGACTTCAGTATGAAGAACCGCTTGGGGAAGTGGCGAGCCAAGAAACTCGAATTCGTCGATGCGTACGAACTGACCGAGCGAGCCTTGACGGTAGACGACTTCGCTTTTGTCGTGTCCTCATCACTTGGCGCGGGCGGCACTTGGGATTGAATCGATATCTCACTCGCTGCATCAGATACGATGGAGCTGTTATCCTCCGTCGACGATGACGGCTGCTCCTTTGCCTCTTCGCGCTCTTTCTGACGCAGCTTCCTGATATACTCTGTGTGCACACCCATTCCACGCTGTCCTCCGACACCAGCACGCAGATCATCCTCTCTCCGACGTGCCCTGCATACCAAGCGAGGGCACTTTCTGTCTTGAGGGCGCAACTGCTGTCCGTTGAACTTCGTTATGGCACGCTGCAGATTCTCTCCCGTGTCAAAGTTCACGAACGCACAGTTTGATCGAGAAATGAGGAAGATGGATGTTACCCCGTTGCATGCGACATCTGCGGTTTCATTCTTTCCAGGTTCTGGAGACAATGGACGTTTGAGGAATCGCCAAAGCTCGTCATGAGTCGTATCCCCTGGGACGTTACCAACCCACATGACCCATTCTGATCGGTTAGAAGGCGGATTTGGGTGATAAGGACGACGAATGGCGGGACGCTCAGTTTGTGCGCGTGGCGGGGGTCCTCCAAGTGCTACGCTTCCTTTCTCACTGCGAGTACTGGCAGTGGGCGAACTTGGAACGGTAGAGGGTGGCGCTGATGGTACCACAGGTGGAGCTGGCAAATGCACGGGAATGGGCACCGGCTGCGAGAAAGTAGGTTTCCTTCCTTGAGCTCCGGCTGTGGAGCTCTGTTGCACGGGCGACGCGGGTAACGGACGTTCCGAAGATTGCCCGGGAAGCCCCTCCACTTCGGCATGCCTATGGTGCTGGTGCTGATGTGGCGGGTAACCCATGAGATGATGTCCGGGGTACTGCATTTGCATTCCCTCGCTAAACGGGGCACTCGCCATGTAATACCATTGGTATGGGCCGGGCTGGAAATGCTGGGAGTACGGAAAGGGGCTAGATGGACTTCCGTAGTGCAGAGGCTGATAGTGTTGAGCGCTATATGGGGGAGTATGCGACGACCGGGAGTTTCCAAATACAGACTGGGGCGATATGGAGGTATGAGGGGGCGGCGGGTAAGGACTACCTTCAGGAGTAGAATGAGGCTGGTAGTAAGGCTGAACGGGATGGTGCACCACAGGAAGGTAACTCTGCTGATATTGGCTGCCATCAAATCCTGTACGGGCGTGGTATCTGTGAGGATTAAACGCATATGGCTGGTGCAGTGGATTCGGATAAGGTTGGGGATGCTGAGAGGACATTGTGAACGGTCCGCCAAAGCCTGTCCTGGGCGGATAGGGAGAAGGTGAAGAATACGATTGTGCTAGAGGTGGACTTGCAGAGAAAACGGGAGACGGCCCGACAGCACTGCGTGATAGCGGTGCAGATAAATTGGTGGTGTTGTTAGGGTCCTGCTGAGTGAGATTACCACGAGCCGGAGACTGCGTAAAGCAACGGGGCACCGGAGCTGCTTGGGGCAACCGGTTCTGCATCCGAACGGAGGGTGGGGCAGCAGTGACCTGATGTTGCTGCTGCTGGGACGAGCCACGGCGACTCATTCCTCCCGACGGTGATCTGTCATACTTGTCCGGCGGGCACCCATCAGATGACATGAACGCAGGGTGGAATGGCGGGAAAGTTGGAGAAGGGTACGAAGGGAGTGCAGATTCATAAAAACCTGCAGAAGAGGTGGAGACAAGGTGTCAGTAAGACCTGCGCCTTTAAACGAATGTGAGGAGTGAGATACGGGTAGAAGGGTCTAGAAAGCAGGCAGAAGTAGCATACCCAGACACCTGCTAGAAAGTCGCCAAACGAAGGGTGAAAAATCAAAGCCTGACCATGACTGTAACGAATGAATGGCAGAATGGCAAGAGCTTAACAGACAAAAACCAAGTGCAAGTATATAGGCAACGAGTCAACTTGGCCTGTTCTTGAAACAAGAAAACAGGCGCGTAGCTAAACTCACGTGGACGACAAGATGAATGACACATACCTGTTCCGGAGGGCTTATTACGGCTCATTCCAGTACCGTTCGTCTTCTGGAATGGGGTAGGTGTTGGAGTTATATCATGATGAGAATGCTTCACGGTGTCTTCAACAGCCATATAGAACCTTGAGGAGGATGAAATAAATATGGCGTGCGGTAACTATCAACGGCCAGCCCCTGTGCTGTTTTAGCGAGTGTGGAACTTGAGAGACCAACTGCATAACATACCTCGTAATAAAGCCCCGTGTTTGCGCTTTGTACAGGTATCAAGGCAAGTGGGTGGAATGGGGGCACCGCAAAAGCGGCAGAATAATCACTTCCTCCTCATTCCAGCAGTCGATTAAGACTGTGTGAAGGCGTGAGAATTATGACATCACAACCGACATCCCAGTGCATAGTTTCATCGAGTGCGTACACTTAAATACTCTGCGACAGGGGTTGGCACACCTGAGCTAGAACTTGTCGGAACCTTCTGGCACGGGCCCTACCGGCCGCAAACGTTCTGCTCAGTTCCAGCAACCCCTGGACTTACTAGGAGTTTCACAGTGACCTTCCTAGTTCGGTAACTGTGTTCTCGCGACCTCCTCCAGTTACGACGTGCGCAGTCACTATTGGAGCCAGCGAAAAGCCTGGGACAGTTCTTCGCCGTGGTTAGCCACCAAGTGGAGAGAAAACCTACCGAACTCCTCCGGAGACAGTCGGAGCATCATCGCAGGCACACAGGATAAGCGCCACTTACAATCATGTGGGTAGCAGGTGAGTGTTTTTCTAAGGGAAGGAGATGTGTTGCAAGGGTTTGGGCAGAAAAAGTAGCACGGGTGGAGCCCCGGAACTTATAACTCGCCGGCGGCATATACAGACGCTCTATGATGACGAGTTTGATATATCAAAGATCTTTTTTTTTTCGCAAGTTGAACATTCTGTTCCTATGACTTGTTCTTATGTCACTCCAAGTTCATGGTCTCAAGAGGGTAGTATAATAGATCCTAGGAGTACTAGTCTGGTTGTTTGAACTGTGATAAGAGTGTGTAAAAAGTTTTTACTTACTAGAAGGTGATAGAAAGACCCTCAATATCCGAGTCACACGGCATGAACAACGGGATGGTACAATAAGGGAGGCATCAATTGAGCAGTGTGCATCTGCATTCAGTAGATTCCTTGGGACGAATGAATGGTCGCAATATAAGCAGTACCCGTCTTGTAGCTAGCCAAATCACAGTGTTGTTCAGGAGTATAAAGTAGATGACTGATCGAGGTGGTCAAGCCAAAAACTTCACAGCACCATGAAACAGAGTCTCGTAAGACATTCCCTCTGCAGGGGGTTCGTAGTCAAACGCGTGCTCAACCCCGTCTACTTCCCAGAGTACCACGTCTACGTTGGCGGACGCTAGCAAGGAACGCAGGTGCCGAGACTCCTCAATAAGAATAGCCGTATCTGATGATCCATGAACAAGGCACGTAGGAGGCCAGACGGACGAGACTCCGAATTGAGGGAAGAGTCGACGGTGCTGTTCCGGAATAGGATCGGGATTGGGATACAATCGGAAAGTCGCATCTACGGGTAGGGTGCGTAAGTGGGCACTTAAACTGGGTTCGTGCATGCCGGTATAGTAGTCCAAATACGTTCCGAGCTGCAAGTAAAGCGGGCCGAGGAGCATGCGTGGGTTGCTGGGGTATCCTGGAATAACGTACGTGGGTGGGTGGTATGCAGGAGGGGAATCCGACGTGAATTCCAATTCAGAACTCTGAGGATAAAGAAATGAAGGAAACTGCTGAGGGTCCAGTAACTCCCGGCCGCGGAAGAAAGGTTCGGACCTATGCGTGAAGTAATGAGGGTTCTGAACGGGGGATGCATTAAAAGAACACAAGCTACTAATGTGAAGCTCTGCCACGCACGTAAAGCTTCCCGCCCATACCGTACATGCTGAGGACCGCTCTCGGCTTAGGGTCCGCATGCATGCACGCGAGGTATGCACATAGACCACCCGCGCTTGACCCAGCGACGCCTATCGCCCCAGGGTCTATGCGGTAGGGATTCCACGGTGGTAGCTTACCACCAGAATCTGCCCACCCTGTATTGGACATGGCCTCGTCCAGCCGGCCGTTCAACGAAGTCGCCACGAAACGGAAGACATCCTGAATATCTTCCACGATATCGTGCCCAGTGGCAGGAGGCATCAACCTATAGTCGGCGCTAATGATGATAAATCTCTTTGCAGACAAGCGCGCTTGATAGCGATAGTGCGAGCGGGTCAAGCTGGTGGCAACGAACAGCAGAAGTCAGGGAGGTAAACTCACTCTGTAGCCAAGTTGGCAGCCAACTTCGCCTATTCCCAACAGTGAGTGCCCCTCCGTGGAAGTAGATGATGGTGGGTCGTCTGATAGGAGGCTGCGTGGCACAATCGCGGAGGCTAGGAAGATGCACATCTAAGACGACTGGTTTGCCGTCGATTTGCTTGTATTCAAAGGAATAGGTGCATGTTGCATCTGACTCCATGGTTTAATTTATGACGAGGAGCAGAGCGACGAATATCTCCGAGTCAGTCGTCGTCACTTGATGAGAGATATGTACCTTCTTCCCATCAACCACCATCATCATCAGTGTGTCTGCGACAACGAGACACACTGAGGTGCAATTCACAATTCCCGTCCCTTGGTCAGCGTGAAAATAAAACGCTGGCAGGTACATCCACTCCGTTGTCCATGGCTGATTGTCGAGGCTGGTGTGAAATGAATTGTCCTTAGATAATGGCCATCGCTCCTGCGTTGGTCCTGGTATGTAGTCAGTATAGGAAAGTTCAAGTTAGCAACATCAACGTCAAGTTTGATGAACGAGGACTCAGGAGTATGTTTGCACTGAAGTTCCGTGCACAAGTACATGTATAGTACGACTCGAGGCATGACAAAATTTACTGTAATCTCTTTTTCCTGGGAACTGTGTCGTGCATGTTGCGCTGTGCCATCCATCTGAGTCGGGGAGGATGTCTGTCTTCTGTGGTTCCTCCACGACATCCACGAGCACCCCGTCTTCGCCGCTGCAACGCGACTAGCAGCACCACAGAGAAACCGTTCTACATCACCACACCCATATTCTACCCAAATGCTCGTCAGTAGCCTTCAATCATATCCCTCATTGGTTTCTAAGTTCGCTCTGCAGGTCCGCACATCGGCCATCTGTACTCTCTCGTCACCGCGGACATCATAGCACGGTACCAGCGTATTCTAAACCCCACTCGACCAGTCGTCTTCTTGACTGGAACGGACGAACACGGTCTCAAAATGCAGCAGACAGCTCTAGCCAAGGGTGTGGACCCACTCGAGTGGTGCGATACCATTTCCTCAGATTTCCATGTGGGTGGTTATGTCTTGCCATGTCTATCCGAATGTCCGACTTCCCTGCCAGAAATTAGCAGAAAGGGCGGATGTCAGCGGTACGGTCTTCATGCGTACGACTCGGGAATCCCATAAGCAGGCGGTCAGGCATGTGTGGGTATGTCGTACGTTCTCATTCTACGCCTTGTCTAACGCGTCCAGCGTTCGCTCGTCGCTCGAGGCCTCATATACAAAGATACCTATGAGGGATATTATTCCACGACCGATGAATGCTTCTATCCCCCTTCTCGTATCTCCCCACACCCTACCCTTCCGGATACCATGACCGCGACGGAGACAGGTTCAGTCGTCGAATGGTCCCGCGAGGTCAACTACAAGTTCCGCATGTCCATGTTCCGTGATGCGTTGCTCACTCACTACAGCCACGCTGCTGCTTCAAACGCGCAGGCGGAGGACGGGTTAACCGTGCGGGGCGTTCATCCCGACAGCCACCAGCTCCGCATCATCCGAGATTTAGAGACGGAACCTCTCGAAGATCTGTCGATATCTCGGCCCCGCGAGAGGATTGGGTGGGGCATTGGTGTTCCGGATGATCCGACGCAGACGGTGTATGTGTGGTTCGACGCGTTGTTGGTGTACCTCAGTGGGATCGGATATCCGGATACAGGGTATGCATGGCCTCCAGACATACAGGTGATCGGCAAGGATATTGTCCGGTTCGTGTCCATTCCGTCGTCTGCTAAATACTCGTTCGGTTTAAGCGTATATACATTGCAAGGTTTCACGCTATTTACCTGCCCGCTATCCTTCTGGCGCTGAAGCTCCCCCTGCCGACCACGCTTCTCGCGCATGCCCATTGGACCGCAAACCAGAAAAAGATGTCTAAATCTCTCGGGAACGTGACAGATCCCATGCAAGCCATGGACGATTATGGTGTAGATGCTGTGCGTTTCTATCTCGCTCGCGTCGGGGGTCGGTTTAGGGATGACGTCGGTAAGAGTCTTTCATTTTTACCTATTAGTATCGGGGATGGACTTATAGGCTGTCGAAGACTGGTCTGAAGAACAGCTTCGCAAGCATGCGGACGAAATTCGGAATTTGCTGGGGAATTATTTTCTGCGGATGACGTCGAGAGTAATCAAGAAACGTGTTAGAGACGCCGTTTCTGTTGCCCAAGACAAGTCCTTCCGCGGACTATTATCACAGCAACTCGCGAATGTCGATTTATCGAAAACCTTCGATATTTCGGCATATGCAGAGTTGGACGCGCCTCGCACAGTTGAGGCCTTCCTCCCCCTTCTTGACTAACCTCGGTGGAGTAGGTGTCGGATTGCATGAAGAATTTGGAAATGGCGGAAGGGCCTCCATGCAATAGTACAAGTTCTTCGATACGTGAGAATATCCACCTCGTTCTGGTTACACTATACTAAAATCTTCCACGAAATCAGGCAAACACCCTCCTTACGAACCTCGCGCCCTGGTCCGAGGGCCAGTCAGTAGCGATCGCTCTATCCTCGTACCTCACTGCGCTTGAAACACTCCGTATCGTCGGAATCCTGCTTCAGCCATTCTTACCTTGTACGGCTGCGAAGCTTCTTTGTGCGTTGGGTGTGCCCGAGGTGGAGAGGAGCATGACATTCGCGCGTGTCGGGAGGGGTTCTATAGGCGGGGAGGATGTTTTGGGTGTCAAGGGCGTCAAGTTATTTAGCATTAGCAAATGAAATTACATAATAATGTCCTGCATGTGATCCACGTGACGAAAACGCGCTGATCGATGCCACCGCGTTGTGGCAGTGCTGTCCTCGAATTGTCACGTGAACCCATACACGCCTATAAAATGCTCGCGTCCCCTTTGTTGGATGGGCATTTCCGCTTTCTTCCCTACTACCACCTCGTCGCTACGTGCTAGTTAGCTCGTAAAATCGCGTTTCTCGCTAATCGACATATTCCGGATATTTTCGACAAGAAATGGCCCGCACCAAGCAGACTGCTCGTAAGACTACCGGTGGCAAAGCACCCCGTAAACAGGTATGTCGTGGTCGTGGTCGTCACATGGTCCGTGCACTCACCTTTGCACGTTTCCAGCTTGCTACCAAGGCTGCCCGTAAGACCGCTGCAGTAAGTCCGTCCGGTGATCACGTGTAGATAACACCAGTCACACCACACCAGCAAGCACCTACAGGAGGTGTAAAGAAGCCTCATCGCTTCCGCCCTGGTACCGTCGCTCTCCGCGAGATTCCGTCGTTACCAGAAGTCGACGGAGCTTCTGATCCGAAAGCTGCCCTTCCAACGGCTGGTGAGGGAGATTGCGCAAGATTTCAAGGTGCGCCAATCTCAGGACTGTTGTAAGCGAACGGAAGACTGATTACGTGGTGTGCAGACGGATTTGCGCTTTCCAGTCATCAGCGGTGATGGCGCTCCAGGAAGCCGCTGAGGCATACCTCGTCTCGTTATTCGAGGACACTAACTTGGCTGCTATTCATGCCAAGCGTGTCACCATGTACGTCCCACCTTTAATCTAGGTGGATTGTGAGTAACCATGATAATTGTAGACAACCCAAAGATCTTGCACTGGCTCGCCGCCTGAGAGGCGAGAGGAATTAGGATATTTTTGTCTGTGTACCTATGATATCATTTATTTATACGGAAATCATGTAGTGTGTCCATCGTATGAGCACTGAGGCAGTATGTTATCATGTACGTGTACTAGTACTGGCAGGATCCTGTGTTCACAACTAAACAGATAAGTTAAGGGGACCCAAATGCGGTAAGTTGGGTGTACGGGGCTCGCTATTAGAACCCTGAGAGGCATGAGTGCACAGGCATCCGTCCACCCGTGGCAACACAGCAGTTTGAGAAGCATATCGTTGCCATCCAGTGAGCTGCTGCGTCATACCCTTCGTCCTCATTGATTTTTTTACCCTTTCTTTCTTCAGGTGTTACGGGGTTTATGTACATGAAAACAAGGCATTTTTGTTTGGCGTGTGAAGGTGGTCCTATTAGTACATTTCTTAGACGTTCCTACTACATGGCGTCTTGAAGCAACTAAACCTTCTCTTTTCTGGTGGAACTCTCCCGTAATGCGAAGCCAAGTGCGCATTCAGTTGGCTACATACGTTTCCCCAACTGGGCGACCCCTTGAGAACAAGAGGGTACTTGTTACATTATAAGCCTTATGTACAGTATGGACAGCTGCCAGCAATCGGTAGTGGGGAAGTGGGGCCAGCTTGGCGCAGTACAACATACTGATCATTCATTTCACTCACAGGTGTTACCAGGGCAGCATGCCACCTGGCTAATCAAAGACCTCTCTGATATGATGAGATAAGCTTAGAAGAAAATGTACCTGCTCCACCAATGAAAATTAATTTGTCTTCGTCAGGAACCGGTGTCTATTGAGGTCACAGGCCCGGAAGTCGAGGGGTATTGGTAAGTATAATAACGCAGGGGAGTGTGCTTGGCCCATGGTCTGAATGTCGATTCAAGGCACATTAAATGTCGTTGGCTGCGTGTGGGCGCGCGCATTGTACGGGTACATTCGGGCACCTAGTGCTCTAGTAGGGGCGTTTGGAGGGGGTCGAAATTTGAAACAGGGACCGAGATAACGCAACCAAGTATCAGTATTCCGTACGTTAGGGTTATCGGTTAACCGGTTACCAGTCACTTGGCGTGTCACTCACTGTTGGCACGCATTCGTATGATAAAAGTGTCTTCCACTTTGACAGCTATCTTTCTTTCCCCTCTCTTGACGAGTCATGCCGGAGTTCGCGGATTCTACCATTCAACTCTTCGGCCGCTTCACGAAGAGGGCTGAGGTCCAGAGTCAGGTACTTACTTACCCCTATTTGCTTGGAGACATCGTCACGACTTCGTTGTTCATTTGCAGGGCGGCCTTCTAAATGGCGAGGATCCCACTGCCTACAATACCGCTGATCCTTTGCGAATATGGATCGTTCAAGTTGGTAAGCGTGGACTTTCCAACAAAAAATTCCACCTCTGCTCACTTCAAAACATTCAGGGATTATTATCATGATGACCCAACTGCTTTATCTGGGTTTGCGAAAGATTAAGCAGCCCAGGGTCATTTCTGAAATCCTTGGCGGTATTTTGCTTGGTATGTGCAGTCTCCTCCGTTTTTCAGGATGGGCCAAAAAAAAAAGGCAGATCAGCTCATTGTTTCCCAGGTCCCACCGCGTTCGGTCGCATCCCAGGTTTCACGAATCACATATTCCCCGCTGCATCCATCCCTTATCTCACGCTCGTCGCTAACATCGGGCTCTGTCTCTTCCTGTTCATCATTGGACTCGAAATAGATGCCAGCATCATACGGCGCAACGCCCGTCTCTCCGTAGTGGTATCCCTCGCTGGTATCCTCCTCCCTTTTGGCGTTGGCGCGGCGATATCCAAACCGCTCTACGAGCACTTCAGCGATTCATCAGTCCACTATCCATACTTTATGCTCTTCGTGGGCGTGTCGTACTCCATCACAGCTTTCCCTGTTCTCTGTCGTATTCTGACAGAGCTTCAGCTTCTTGATACCACCGTCGGCCTTATCGTTCTTTCTGCTGGAGTCGCCAACGATGTCGTCGCCTGGACACTGCTCGCCCTTAGCATCGCCCTCGTTAACGCAACATCGGGGCTCACCGCCCTGTGGACCTTCCTCGTCTGTGTGGCGTTCGCGTTGTTCCTACTCTTCCCTGTAAAGAGGATCATGCTATGGCTCGCACACAAAACAGGGAGCACGGTGAATGGGCCTACCATGTTTTACATGACGGTGGTTATGATCGTCCTATGGGCAAGTTCTTTCTTCACCGACATCGTCGGCGTAAACGCCATATTCGGTGAGTTTTCGAGTCATATGCACATGCCAACTTTCATGAGTAGAATGACAAACGTGATGGCTCCTAATATTCCTGTCTAAGGTGCCTTCCTGGTCGGCGTCATCATTCCGAGAGAGGGCGGGCTTGCGATTGCACTTACCGAAAAACTCGAGGATATGGTCTCTATCATTTTCTTACCCTTGGTTGGTGCTGTCAATTTTATTCCATGGTTGGTGTTGTCTCACCTTCCGCACAGTATTTCACTCTTTCCGGTCTAAAGACAGACCTCGGATTGCTTAATGACGGTAAGAAGGTGCTTCGAAGGTATTTTTCGTTCCTGATTTTCGTTCAGGTGCTGCATGGGGATTCATGTTTGTCCTCGCCGCACTCGACTTCACCGGAAAGTTTACTTCATGCACGCTCTCTTCGCGGTACTTGGGGTTCAGTTGGAGGGAATCTAGTACTGTCGGGGGGCTCATGAGTTGTAAAGGGTACGCGAGCATGTCGATGGGTTGTACTTGACTTGACCCCTGTCACAGTCTCGTCGAATTGATCGTGCTTAATGCCGGCCTGTCGGCTGGCATCCTCAACGAACGAGTTTTTTCGATGTTCGTTCTTGATGCACTGATACTCACTTTCTTGACAACGCCAATTGTCAACCTCCTCTACCCTCCAGAGCGTCGAACTCGACCTGGTGATGCACAGGTTACGGAGACGGCCACACCTCCAGATGAAGGTGACAAAGTAGTAGACGATGATCAGGCTTCCCTGGTCGCCCCCAATCAGTCACCCGTCCCGCCGCAAGTTCGCTGTCATCCTCGACACCTTTGACCACATGCCTGGCATCATGGCCCTTACGCAGCTCGCGGTCCCGCCTGCTTACGATGACTCTAACACTTCGTCCGCGAGGAAGCCCGAGTACCATGTAGATGCACTCCGACTGATTGAGTTGTCGCAACGTACATCCGCCGTTATGAAATCGTCCGTCGCCGACAGGCTCATATCCACAGGACCCGTTGTTGAGCGTGTTCAAAATGTTTGGGGAGGAGAGCGACATACCGGTATCGACGAGTTTGGCAGTCGTGCCTTACGATGAAATGGCTGCTTCAGTCGCTGATCATGCAAGGAGAAATGGTTCGCAACTTGTACTCATTCCATGGCTAGCACCAATTGCGGGCTCGACGACTTCTGCTATGGACGCTGCAGTCCCCGGCACACTCCCTGCGGCCAAACTGGAGAGCAGCAATCCTTTCGAGGCCCTTTTCGGCAGTGGCTCAAAGGCGAATGAGTCCGCCGCCGCCTTGCGATCGCAGTTCATACGAGGTGTGTTTTCACAGAGTAGGATAGACGTTGCCGTTTTCGTCGATACGGGTGATAGGGTCGGAACGCGGGGGCCCCAACACATTCTTTGCCCGTTCTTCGGTGGACCCGACGATCGGCTTGCGTTAGATTTTGTCGTGCAGCTGTGCGCAAATCCAAGGATCAGTGCAACTATTGTGAGAGCGACTATGGGTCCAGTTGAGGTAGCAGGGTTACAGAAGCCTGTCGAGGCTATCATAAATGATGGACTTCCTGTGATATCCGTGAGTACGAGAAATTCGTGGCTTTGATTCCCGTAATTGACGATCGTGGTAGACTATTGGTTTAGAGGACTCTATATACCCGTACCAGAATACCGAGTCAAGGCTGCAGTCCGACACTGCGGATAGTGTGTTGTGGGCTCGGTACGCCGGCCTGGAGAAATATACCGTCGGGACCCATCTTCAAGCCGCGCTCTCCCGAATCACATTCGAAGAGTTGACGACGCCTGTACCTCTGCAAAGCCTCATTCAACGTGTGCACGAGTTTCGCGAGGTACACAGACGTGTGTTAGTGGTCACTGGCCGGTCGCGCAGTCGCACCACAATGAGTGGGGTGACTCGGTACGAAGAAGTGAAGACGGTCGCGGAGAAGTATGGATGTGCAGGTGGGGGGAACTTTGAGCTGGTGAGGAAGACCGTGGGTGATGTTGGGTGTGCGTTGTTGGTGTCGGGCGCGCCTAATGCGATGGTGGTCGTGCAGGCGGGGGTTACACCTGTGGGTGAGGCGTGATGTACGAGTTTGTGGATATGATATGTTGTATATTTCGGCACTCTTACTTGGCTACCGATGCGCGTTCTTGTAATGATATTACCGTAGGATATTTCACTACGGTCACCGTGTCTGTCATGAGCGGACCGAGCGGACCGCCGCCACGTCGAGTTCGAAAATTCCAAAAGCTGGAACTTGCCAACCGGGAATAATTTTCAATAGATACATAACGAAATGAAAGTGGTTCCGTTCACTTTTTTCTTCTTTCTCTCGGCTCATCGCAGGACTTCTTTCCAACCCGTTTTTCTCCTCGCTTGGAGACAAACGTGGTCGAGACTGAGCCGCCACCATCAGCGAAGCTATACCATTCCGAAGAGTTCCACACACAGACGTTTTCTAAGAAGTGCGACAAGCCGGCGCAAGTCGATTACGGGCACTGTTGCTCGTGACTGGAGTGAACACAGGGGATCCCTCGGATATTAATCTACCACTACCATGAGCGTTGTACGACGACTCTTCTCACGACGTACTCTAGCTTATGTTGGCGCTACGACGCTCGGAGTTGCAGGTGGGGGATACTACTACCTCAACTCGGGCCCACCCTACCCCGCCTCTGTGCTGGAGACGCGTCGACCACCCCCACCATGGACACCACCGTCTCGGCAGGCCATGCTGGATGCTCTCGAGAACAGCGGAAAAACTCATCCTGACTCGGAGCAGTTCGATCTCTTAATCGTCGGAGGTGGGGCTACTGGGGCTGGTGTTGCGGTTGACGCGGCAAGTCGGGGCCTTAGAGTTGCCTTGGTGGAAAGAAGTGATTTCAGCTCTGGTAAGTGATACAGGGTACAGGATACTTTTGCACATAGGTAACGTCCGAAGGTACATCTTCCAAATCGACTAAGTTGGTCCACGGTGGTGTTCGCTACCTCCAAAAAGCTGTGATGGAGCTCGACTACGAGCAATACAAACTAGTGCGTGAAGCGCTCCACGAACGCAAGATATTCCTCCAGACCGCGCCCTACCTGTCGCACATGCTTCCCATCATGTTACCCATCTACAAGTACGCTTTTCTTTCCTTTGAGGCTCCCGCTCTCTCCTTCGCATTCGGGGTTTGGCTGAGATGTGATTCATGTTGTTGTACATTTTTAGGTATTGGCAGGTGCCATATTATTGGGCGGGATGCAAGTTGTATGATTTACTTGCTGGAAAAGGAAAACATGGAGAGTTCCTATTTGATGTCCAAGGGGAAGGCTCTCGAGATATTCCCTATGCTGAAAAGGGACGGTTTGGTCGGCGCCGTCGTATATTACGATGGTAAGTCTTCATTCATTCTAAGTTCGGTCCGCACCAACTGTCAACAACAATACACACTCGCAACCCAGGCCAGCACAACGATGCACGCATGAATGTAGCATTGATCATGACTGCCGTCAAACTTGGTGCAACGGTCGTTAATTATTGTGGCGTTACCGATCTCCATAAGAACGCAGATGGCAAACTCATAGGTGCCAAAGTTCGGGATCAACTCACGGGCCGCGAGTTCGATGTTCGTGCCAAGGTCAGGTTTCGGTGTAGTGTGCTGCAAACGTGTCAAGTGCTGAAACATTCTTGACACTAGGGGATCATCAACGCAACCGGGCCGTATGCAGACACCCTTCTCAAGCTCAACTCCCCCGATCACAAATCCATCGTTCGTCCCTCTTCCGGTATCCACATCACTCTCCCCGCCTACTACGCACCATCTCGAATGGGTTTGTTGGATCCTGCAACTTCTGATGGTCGCGTCATTTTCTTCCTGCCATGGGAGGGCGGTGTTGTTGCTGGTACAACTGATACTCCCACCAAGGTGAATGCGGAAAATGAAGAGGTTACTGCTAACGAAGACGAGGTGAACTGGGTGTTGGATGAGGTGCGGAGGTATCTATCCCGCGATATCCGTGTGCGGCGTGGGGACGTTTTGAGCGCGTGGGCGGGCCTGCGACCGCTGATAGCTGCTAGGAGTGAAGGTGGTACGGAGGGCCTGGTCAGGAATCATTTAGTGAGCGTCGAGGAGTCGGGTCTTGTGACGATAGCCGGGGGGAAGTGGACGACGTACCGCGCGATGGCGGAAGAGACAGTCAATACAGCTGTGGAGGTATTTGGATTGCAGGATAAGGTGAATGGACCATGCCGTACGGAGGAACTGAGGCTTGTCGGTAGCGACGGATGGAGCCCGACCATGTTCATTGGACTTATCCAGCGGGCGAGTACAAATGCTAGCCTACCTTGTACACGGGAGCTTACCTTGCTTGACAGTTTGGCTTGGACACAGATGTCGCGACCCAATTGTCGGATAACTATGGTGACCGGGCATGGACTGTGTGTGCGCTTGCCCAGCCAACGGGTGAGCAATGGCCGCTGCATGGGGTTCGTCTTAGTCCCAACTATTCCTGTAAGTTCCCCTGCTCCGATATCTACTTTCACTTTGCTGACGTGCCATAATGCAGATCTGGAGGCAGAGATACTGTATGCAACACGACATGAATACGCATGCACGGCAGTCGACGTCCTCGCCCGACGCACTCGTCTCGCATTTGTCAATGCCCAAGCTGCACTTTCTGCCCTCCCGCGCGTCATCGAGATCATGAGCGAGGAGCTTGGATGGGATCGCGCGCGTCAACGGCAAGAGTTCGAACGTAGTGTCAAGTTCTTACAAAGCATGGGCCTTCCGCCAACCATCGCAAACAACAATGGCAACGGCACCGCGAGTTGGGCTGGATGGGTAAAGAATGGGTTCTGGTGTATTGTCGGAATGCATCCACCGGTTATTCCGACTATCCAGGCAGTCAAGGGTATTCCGCATTCGTATAGCCGTGCCAAGTTCGAACCCGGCGAAATTGAATCCTTGAGGGATGTTTTTGACCGATATGCAGTGCCATCTGCTGAGGATGCTGGACCGCAGCAGGAGGGATCCTTAGCAGGCGACGACAAACGGTTGAAAAAGGACCGGATTAAGGATGTACTGAGGGAATATGCGAAGGAATGGTCGGGGTCGGGATATGATAGATTCAGAGATGCGGACTATAGGTATGTCCTTGCAGAAACGGGACTTCAGGACCGCGAAGACGTTGACTTTGATGAGTTCGTCGAGGTGGGTTTGGTCCGTGTTCCGACCTCACATAGGGGCTGATTAATTTTGCCCTCGAAAAGGTTTGCGAAAATCTAAAGGACGTTTCCCTCGTCCCTGTGGCTGCTAGAAAGGTCAAGGTCGAGCGCAGAGGAATCCCAGTAGAGAAGAGTGGCGGTGGTGTTTAGGCAGAACTTGCTCAACCTCCAAAGTTTCTCCGCTGAATTGCTCCTCTGACCTGACCGAAATGTGACTTCGCAGAGAGGAATACCACCCGTTGCAGATACTTCTATCTGGCTAAAGAGATGGAATAAACAAAAGGTCGTTAGGAGACATGAGGATAAGTAAACTGGACAATAACATCTGTAGTCATGATTGTTCCAGTACACGTGTCGTGAAAGTTCTGTAATATCTAGAGTCTAGCCATCGTCGTCCGTGTTGCTTCATATTGGTCAACAAGCTCCCTTCTTAGTACTTTGCCCGCGCACGATTTGGGTATCTGTGACAAAACGGTTTAGCCAATCTTGTTTACACCCCGTATCGGACAACGGCAACCGACCTCATCAATGACTGCGATTCCTCCCCTGAGCCATTTATACCGGCTAAGGCATGCCTGTACCCAAGCCTCTATTCGTTGCACGGCTCGTGCACTGCCGAGCTCCTTCCCCGCTGGGGACAAGACAATCCACGCCCGCGGGACACGTTCATCCGAGGTGCGACCACCGCTGACACCCGCAACGGTAACATCATCAACCAACTTGTCCGGGTGACTGAAAATGGTATTCTCAATTTCCATCGGCGACACCTGCATCCCCGATACCTTGAGAGTATCCTTGGATTCCAATTAGATCATCAATTCGGGAATATCAAAATGAAGGGGTCGCTCACTTTTGTTCTGTCTTCGAAGCTGCAAGAAAAGAAAGCGATGCAACCGTTCAGCGACCTGCATCACGATGTTGTTAGTGAAGCACATACTAGAGAACCCCATCTGCATCTATTCGTATTCGATCCCCCGTGCGGAGCCATCCGTCTACAAACGCTGCCTTCGTGGCCGCCTCGTCCTTCCAGTACCCTGGTGAAACGCAATCTCCTCGCACATGCAGTTCTCCTGCTTCATTGACGGCTGCCAACGTTCCATCATCGCGCACTACACGGGCTTCCATACCGGGTAATAGCATTCCTGCGGATCCAGGTACATCTTTGGCACGCCCCCCGAGCATTCCTGGTACCGGCTTCCGGGAAATTGCGAGCGTCTGATGGTGGAGAGATTGGTTTCAGGACTAAGACATTTTAGCATCGTCGCGAACGCCACTTACGCACTCAGACATGCCATATCCTAACCGGAAATAGAAACGGGCATCAGGGTCTGTTGAAGGCCATTGATATATGGAGAAACTCACCCTCCCCAACCCTTTCCACGCCGGGGAACTGTGATTGCAAACGTTCCGCTAAGTGAACGGGAAGATATGCAGCGCCGCATTGTATTGCTTGGACAGTGCTCACATCAGCAGCGTTAAATCGAGGGTGATGGAGGAGCTGATAGACCAGTGAAGGTACGAGGTACAGAGTCGTAACACGATATCTGCAAGAAAATTGGTAGGTATGGGATGGTTAACGCAAGACTGAGATTTACGAGAGCACCAACTTAGGGATCGCGTCCAGGAATGTTTCCGAATTCCATTTGGAAAGGAAGAGTACTGTCACGGGCTCAGAAAAGCATCGGAGAGTTGCGATATTAAGACCATATGTGTGGTGGATTGGTAGGACATTGAATAGGACTTGCATTCCTCCCGGGCCGTTCCATTTCTGCCGCTTTAATGTCGGCCTAATTAACGGCGCCCGTAGCGGTTCCGCATGGGAAACAACCTACTTTTTGGACTTTGGCCACCTCTTGGCCGGCAACTGCATATTGATAGAGTGAAGCAAGCAGGTTCCCATGGGTGATCATCACCGCTAAAATGACGAAAATTGATAAGAATCACGCGGGCAGCAAAATTTCAACCAGTGGTTTGGCACTGCATACCCTTTGGTAGGCCAGTCGTTCCGCTTGAGAAGACCAAGTAGGCTAGAGTATCATTCTGTGCTGGCCTTATTGGCAAGCGGGGCATGCCCTTCCGCCGTACCCGGTTCACAAGCGCAGAGTAGCTCGTATAACCCTCTACTTCTCCTTCGAGTATGTATATACGATCGTCGGGAAGGCCGGAGACGTGAGCTAGGTGCAAAAGAGTTGGACTGACGAACAAGCGGGTTGCCCCTGAGACCTTTGCAGCATGCTGGAGCTCGAATGTGGTAGAGTAACATGAAAATGTGACGAATGGTACTGTGATGGCCAACAGAGAGTGTACCAAGGCCACATAGTCCTAGAAGGGCGGTCAAGTTATTGTAAATGATATTGTGAACTGGCGGAACATCATACAAGGCAATTCTCGCTGAGGATGCCGACGATTTCGTCGTTTTCTCGTAGGACGCCCAGACCACCGTGCTCGGCGTCGGTCCCGAGGGCGGTCGCACCGTCACGAACTCGTTCAAGGAATTCTTTGAACGTACGCCGCCGACTCGTAGGGACGTCTACCTGGAAAGTGAAATCAGGCCATGATTTTTGGTCTTGCCGGTCGAGTAGAAAGTGATGGACGTTCTGCTCGGGGATTTGGGGTAGAGGGGGGAATAGGGACTTGTGATACATAGCGTTTATCCGCTAGTATATATGTAACTGATAACTGTTACTTGGGTATCGTGAGCGGCTGGTCGGATTCTGTAGACTGATTTCCCGCTTTAAAAGACCTCTGCGCCGGGCTAGCTTACTGGCTCCGGGGTACGGGAGACCATTGGGCTTCCGCATAACCGGTCAGGGATGGGAACACGTCTTAATTTCAGGTGACAATTACATCGCAACGCGGGTTCAGCACGCACATAGGCACTTGCTTACATCGGAAGTCTTTTTTCAGTGGCCTATGTACGATAAACGCTAACGGGTACTGGCACGACCCTTAGTATGAAAAATCCGGCTAGACCTAACTAGGCCATCAGAGGCCTCCAGCCCTTCTTCAAAAGAATTTTCTGATCGTCCAAGTTGTGTATAGTAGATCAACTGGACCCGGAAAACGTTTAGTCACCGAACTGAGGTAGCGGAAGCAGTTGGCGAACCGCCCTAATCTTCTTCCATCGCAGCCAAGGATGGGCCTCCGAGGGCCTGCGGCTGATGACAGTCCGTTGTGCGCAGCGATTCTACTTTGTAGCGGACCCGGCAACGGCTTATGGGCTATCCGTCCATTTTCTCGGACGGAACATGGCAGCACCAACAACCGGTTTGCCCTGGAATTCGTAGCTACATGTTAGCGGCGCCGTCAGAGGGGAGGCCCAAGCGCGCAGTCTGTCATCTTTTAGGAAATTTTGTCTCGGGATTTTCTACTTTCCCATGAAGGTTGTCTGTTTGGTCCCGCGCTTGAATACCATTCGGGAATCGGATCAGTTTGCTGTCCGGGTTCTCGATTGTCCCGGCGGGTATGCTTAGTACCATCAGCTGGTGCATCACACTTGGTCGTTTTCTGGTGCCGGCTCCGTGAGGTTTATGGCTTGCTCAGCGTTCGCAAGCTGGGGTATGGGATGAATAATACATCCGCCATCTCGCTCTCCACAAGTCGCCGAAGATTTCCCACCTGTCGGCCGTCCTCACCGAACCATCCTTATCGATCCGACTCTCCGAGCCAAACCGGCTACCGAGAATACTTGTATGGGCACTCACCACATCATTCATCATGGAACAAGTGCTTCTACGTATAACGGCTTCCGTGTTACAGGTTTATGTGCTGCATCAAAGTGCCGCAAGGAACCGGACACATGTATTCGCAGCATGCCGACTCGCCTCGTCTGATGCATTTACCTAACGTTTTGTGCGTTTCTAGTGCGTGCTGCCATCCCTACAACCCTGCTCCATGCAGCACTTATGCGTTGCTCTACTTAATATGTACTAACCATCGACGGATCACTGTAAGCTATGTCGGCTACCAGCAGAGCGGTCTGTGGACCAAGCACTAACCCTTGACCTCCTATGAAACCTCATCGTTATGGCGTAGTTTTTGATGGAATGTCGCACCCTATTAGCAAGGTCCGTATGATCCCAGCATCAACTAGACACATACGAACTCCACAACACGCAAAAACTGGCTACTCACATTCTCTTCCTCACCTCCGCTGTACTGGGAGGGGTGTCAACAATTCTGCTTCCTGTGCGTGACCGCACGGTTTGGGCACAGTTTTTGTATGTCTGAGGACCCAGTTCATATTTTGGGGAGGTAATTGCAACTGACATGTAGGTGTGAGTGCTTGACATTGTATCGATGTCCTCCAAATGACCCCTCCTAGCGAATGATACAGCATGTAATGCGAGATTGCTATGCAATTGGTACGTATAATATAAGAGACAAATATGAAGCCCCGGCACCATTAACTGTTGATATGGGCACAACAGGGATGATATCGGAAAAGCTGAATGCAATGGATACAAGGCACAAGGAAGAGACACTCAAGGATAAGGAAAAGATGCCGATGGTTTGCTATGTTTGATGAGGTACATCGAAAGTGACTCGCCCTTTTGAGGAATCATCATCTGCTGGGGATTGATGCCATTGATCATTTGCAGAGAAACTGCGAGGAGTGATAGTGCCAGATCTGGCCCCTTCGTCAGCGAAGCGCACTGAACGAGCTGGCGACACGTCGCGGGAGACCGGGTCCAACTTCAGGGACTCCAACCGTCGGTGCTTGAGGGACCGGCGGACAGCGTGGTCGGTGTTCGGACGTTCGGAGCGAACGCTACGCCCACGATGACCTTCTGCTTCTTGACCTTGTTCCGCTCTCATGGTAGGCGCTGGGTCTTGCTCTGCTGGTTGTTTGATAGACTCTTCGCTGGTAGACGCGATGGAAGCGCGTCGGCGAGTCTTTCCACCCAACCTAGTCCGCCTATGGCTTCCTGTGTGCTTAAGCGCTGATTTGACGTCTCCAGATCGTGGGCGTTTTCTGCGGTCACCATGTTGTCCTGCGGTTGAACCAGTACCTGTGTCACCATCACTCCTATCTGACAGCCACTCTTCTTCGCCATCAGCACCGTCCGCGGGCGACGTCGCGCCGTTATTGCCGTCGTGGAGAATCCGTTCTTCTGTACCACAGATATCGCGTTTTACTGTTCCGCTAATTTCTTTCAATCCACCCTCGACGCATTCAGCAGCATGTTGAAGCCCCTGGAGGTGGTCATGCACTGACTGTATTACGGCGTGCTTTTGACCTCTGAAGAAGGAAGAAACACTCTTTTGTTGGGTATCATAAGCATTGCGGACAACTTCGATCTCGACCTAGGGCATAAGTGTTAATTCAAATTGCACAGTCAAACGATGGGATCCTACCAACCTCTTGCCCAGGTCCATGACGCCTTTCGATAACCTTATGTGGTCCTTCTCTCCATTCTAACTCGGTCTCTGAGCCATCCGGCGGGTTTTCTTCAATACATTCTTCTGCCGTTAGCGTTCCGCTCGGCGAGACCTTGTCTTCCTCAACGACATCTGTGGATCTTATATCTGTGACGACCGGAGGAACAGCCGTGGCTACGCTTGTTCGTTTGCTGGCTGTTCCGGAGCTCTCCGCAGCTTCGCCTTTCTCCATTTCACTGATGCGGTCCCGATTGATAACAATATCCTCCGGACGTGCAACCAACCTAGCTTGGGACGTCCAGTCAGCTGCGGCATGACGAGACCATGTCCGCGACGATACAGAATGGACACGACGGCTGAGAGAAAAGAAGGGAATCGATAGACCATGAGTGGCAACGCTGCAAAGGACCATAAAGGAGACGATCGGCTGAATCGTAAGTGCCAAGAACTCTGTCTGATTGGTTGGTGGGTAATTTGGCTTGGGGAGCATTTCAACAGCCAAGGTAGAGATGTACACAGCTCCTGAGGGACATGTGAATTATCCTGAGTCCAAGGGTTACTTTGCGCCGCTTACCGATACCTATGGGCCCAAAATGGCCACTGAAGACAGCCTCCCGAAAGGTCTTCACGTCAGGTATGAACTTGTACAACATGATCATGATGGGAAGCCTCCTCAGCAGCAACACCAATATGGCGATCACGATAAGCCGCCATACACTCAGCTTCAACGTTGCGTTGGTGAAGCTATCGAAGGGCATCCATGCACCCACGTAAATGAAAGCAGCGACGTTGAAAAGCAAATCGATGACGGAACTAAACACCGATTCCGCTGTCTGTCGATTGAAGAATCCGTCCCATGCAAAGGCAGTACCGCAGCAAAATGCTGCCAGCAGGTCGTCCGACCCCAGCATTGTCATAATGCCGATGGTCAGAAACGCAAGAGAGACGTACTGAGCAACATAGGACTGACGGTCGATCAAGTCGTTGCGTTCACAGAATTTCATGAGGTGACGGAAACCAAAGCCAATGAGCGATCCGAATACCACACTCAACAAGATTTGATCTGAAGGGGGTCAGGCTGGGTACAGGAGAAGAGGATGCACAATGACTTACAGAGCCACAGGAAAAGGAACCAGTCCCGTACAGCGGCTCCCGGTGTGGCTTCCAGAATAAGATATAATGATATGAACAGAAAGGGATAAGCCGCGCCGTCGTTGCAACCACTTTCTGCAGCTAAGAGATGTCGAATATGAGCAGGGACATGTTTGTCAGCATACTTGCCGCCAACCACGGCGGCGGCCAAAATCGGATCAGTGGGAGTCAGACATGCCGCTACGGCGAGGCTGCACAAGAAGGTCATCCCGGGAATGAACGCGTAAATCAGCCCTGCGGATACAAACCACCCCTATCAATTGTGAGCACGTGAAGGTGGAACTTAACTAGACGCCACGGGCTCACCCAAGTCATCACCGGGAAAAGAAGAAAGAACAGACTCTTCCAGTGACGTGCCATATACGCCTTCGGAAGCTCCACGCCAATAGCAAATACGCCAATAGCCAATACGACTCTTGTGAACTCCAGGGTGATGGTATTGTCCGCGTCTCCGTTATTACCTGCCCACACACGGGGATCGATAAGATTGGCACCATACGGACCTACGATATGGGAATGACAGGTAAGTGGATATGGGGCTGTGTCCATGCGAAATGGGCACACCAATTATGACGCCAAAAAGGAATGCCCAGCATGCCTCGCCGATGTACAACTAGACGGCAATGAGCAACTTCCCGGAAACATGTGGACTTCAAACTAACCTTCTCCCGGATGAACAGAGAAAACATCCCAAACTGAGTGGTTTTCGGTCACTGCTATCCCGAATGTGAGGAAAGAGCCTACCATGACGACGAAGCCACCTAGGCATGCATAGATAATATGAGGGTTCGTTATACTGAGCTATATTCACGGGGAGAATAAGATGGTGAACGGCCAAAACGGAAGACGGAGCACACGACCCACCGGATGAAAGATCATGGTAGTTATTAGTGGGCCACAAAGAGGAGGAAGAGGGCGTGCGCGACGTTCGGGTCGTGATTGTTATTCCAGAACGTTGGCGTAAGCTATTAGACGGGTAGAGCCGTCGCCGTCGAACTAGTGGTTGGGGGTAGTCGACGGGGAAAGCTGGATGCGATATGTAATGGTGCTTTAAAGCTTTAAATCCAAGCCAGGCACCTGCGGACAGAAATGTAAATTGCGACATAAGCGAGTCGTTATTACAGTGTTACAAGTTTATTATGTCAGCACGTCGCAACTTGAGATTGCAAAGTGCCGAAACACAGGGTTCCCTTGTCTTGTTTGGGAGAAAAATCACAGAAAAGTTACTGGGCTGGGCAGGGTCACAGCCGGTTTCGTGAGAGACTTTGGACCTGAACAGAATGAACAAGGATAGATATCCGCACCCGCGCTACAGCTTTCGAACATATTTAGGAGCGTCGGCTTATCGTCTGAGCAAGATATCGATCTATTGGAAGTCCTGTGGAGCATCTTGTCTTTCTGAATGCGTCCCGACGACTGCGATAATCGAACCGCGTCGCGGTGACCCGGTATCTGTCTTTTTTTAAACCCTCTAATAGACAGCGCCGATTCCATCGGTTGCAAGCCTCAAGGCATTACCGACTGTTGAAAAATTGCATCGGACTCGACCTTTTCCCCCACTCAAACCCCCACCCCCACCGCTTACATGGTCTATATGGGGTTAGACACTCGTTGTGGAGCCCTTGGAGGGGATATTTTGGGAAGAACGAGGGCACCACATAGGTTATCTACGAATATTAGAACCTTCCAATCAAACACTTCCGCCGAAGACTTTGACTTCACCATATTGTTCTCTGGTAAATTGGAGGCCGGCGTGGCTGGGTGCCGCTGCTTCCTTCCACGACCCCGGGCCCGCGTATCTGAAAGGACAGCGAACCTCGGTGAACGCAGAGAAGGGTACATGACTGTTGACGTAATAAGTCTTGCGGTGACTAGGATCGGTTCACGGCCGGAACTACGACGGCCTTCGCAGGCAATATCATTCACAGTACTTGCGCCAGTCAGACGGTTTCACGGAGGGGAAAAACCACCCGCAACCCCGCCTCACAGGACTCTGATGTCGATCAATTGATCAGCTGTGTGTTGACTTTGTCCAGCGTCATTGGTCCCTGACACTTCGAAAGATTTTTAAGTTCTTTCGATCCGAGCGTCCGAAAGCCAGCCCACGCTTCGTGCACGTTTCTGACAGAAATTCATCAACCCTGGATCACTGGGCGCCTAACCCTGGCTGGGTTGCCTGGTCTTTTCCCCAAGTGAACACCAATAATGTCCTCCCGCGACACCCAGGTAACGTGCGACGCGTACAAGGTCATGGAGACAAGGCTAGGTCTATCTGTCCTAAGGCCATTCATCATCACTGGCACTACAACCACTGACGACTATAAGCGGGATATCCATAGGCCGATGGAACTCTTAACATGAAACTTCGATTACACACCTAATTCATCATGGGAATCCGGGATCACCGGCACATGGGCGGCATGCATCAGCTCAGTCGGCCACACAACGATTTGACGTATGAGTATTTACCCAATTTTTTTGCGTGCAACGCACTTTTGAACTGGCATTTTTCGGATCCTCGATACTGGAGCTGAATAACTAAGACAACAATCGCCCTCACAAAACAGCCGGACACTCATTCACCCAACCGCGGACTTCACTCCTCTGTCGTTTACAGCTTTACGATGATTCATCAACTACTAATTTCGTTCGGGTTAAGAGCAACCTCGGTTGATTTTGGGAGTTCAGGTAAAGCTATTCATACACCAACTGTATGGTTCTACTCGTGCATCGTCAATCACGCATCGGACATCACAGTGTCGCCCCGGCCAGCCATCTGTTTACCATTTCCAGAGCTTCTTCAGGTTTATCATACGGCACCTTGAAAAATCTTCAGCTCTCGATTGCGTAATCTCCGCGCGAAGGAACCCACCATGTGTCCTGCCTCGTTGACAGTGGCGTAGGTGAACCCAGCAGCACTTCGTGTTCTTCCAGCGACAGCGCCGTTGACGTACCGCTCTGTCAAAGGCTGATTGGCGAATTGTTCTTGTCCCGACCACGGCAACGCTAGTGTCCACCTCTCATTACCAATCCAGTTGCAAATCCAATCGTATGCTCCGACATAAACGAGCACTCGAATCCCGCGTTCAAGCAACTCGGCGACGTAGGAGTCACTCGGGTGGTATTCATCCATCGTTGCCTCGAACGCGGCACCAACATCATTGCTGCAGGAATTGAATTTGCCAAGAGAAGGACTAACGTTAAGAGCCGCACGAATATCAGGATCATCGAGGTATTCCCTGATGTACCTGATGACATCAAACACTTCAATCAAAATGTTTGCTCGGATAATCGAGCCACGTACCTGGTGACTGGGTAGCACAAATCCTCTGGATCGCCCTCGCATTTTTTACTAATATCGTACGGGTTCATGCCTGACGGGGGAAAGTATAAGCCCCCTTATCCACACCCGGTTCCGCACTAGTACCTGTTGCGTCAAAGGGCGCGACAAGTTGATTGTTACAGAAATCTGTAGCGGCTCTGCAGCCTAGGGCATCGAATTTGTCGATACACGCTACTTTGGTCCATCTCTCACATTTGGGAAACTGGCACAAGATGGTTATAATAGATGCACTGTATCGTGAATCGCAATCTTACAGCCTCTTTCATGGCGACGCACGAACTTGTGGCCAATGAGCAAACGACCCGAGGAAACGCGAGTGACTGAGCCTCACCCGATGGACATAATAGGAGGAAGCGGATGCACTCGTGCAAAGCATATCGACATACGTGGGGACCATTCTATACCAATCAGTCAAACCATCGCCTGTGATAGTTCGGCGAATTCAATACCAACGCACATTCGCCGTTGAAACCCGTTTAAGTCTACTTACCCATCATGATGGACGTTAAATTGATGGGGGTAATGCCTGCTTCGACCAGTCTGGCGTTCTGGTCATAGACCTCAGAGGCAAAAACGGGGAGATAGCGCCCCTAATTGTTGAAACAGTTACACAAATCGTTTCGTGGCAATCTCTTGTTGGACATACCCCGTAGGATTCTCCAGCCATGTGAAAACCGCGGGTCTGGAAATCAGGGAAGTTTTGGAAGAATATGGCAACGAACGCGGCTATATCCTTTGCCGCCTCTTCAGTAGTACTCTGTGGATGTCATTGGACAAACGCATCTTCTAGTACAAGTGAACTGTGGCTTACCACGATCTCATCGTAGTCGGCATAGGAAAAGCCAACACCGATAGGCTGATCAACGAAGAATATGCTTGCATTGGAGTTCCACGAGTACGGATTGAATACCGGGCCTTCATCGCTGAAGACGTGACAAGGACCCAGTTCCATGAAGAGACCAAGGCCCGATGAACAACCAGGACCTATGAAAGCATGAGGGGATTGTTGGGTAGTGTGCCAATTTCTTCCACACCTCCGTTAGTCCAAAATATGACATCGTCATTTGCCGGATCATTTCTGCTCTCAAAGAAGTAGAAGAACAGATGCTTGGCCCCAGTAACATCTATATATCCTGTGTAGGTCCTACATTGCAGGGGCAATGAGAAGTTTACCCTCCATTTTTTGCATTGCTTACTTGACCGTGGGGTCACATGTGAAGACCGCGGGATCCGCTCGCTTGATCCTTACGCTGTAGGCTGGGAACGCTGGATGACCGAGGGTGGTAAATTGTTCAACAGAGAGGGCATCGAGACTTCCAATAGGTGTAAACGACGACTGGTCCCAAGGAACGGGGTGAATTGCCTGGGACTTGAAAGTTGCTTGTCTTTCGCGACTGGCATGATTGAATCGCTTGTTCAAGCCCGGGAAAGTCTGTGAAATGGCAGCAGCCACCGATGAAAGTAGTGCTGGCAGTAATAGCGCCTGAGTTATATGCATCTCTGGGGAAGGGATGCCACTTGGTTCTGTCGGGTCATCTTCGCTGCTACTTATATCTTTCCCTCTCGTACAGGTTGAATATTTTTGGCTGAGATCAGGAAAATAATCCTTGTCAGCTGGACGCGGGATATCACCCGATTTGATCGCGATCAGTGTGCTCTTGTAGTCGCAGAACAAGAATAAGTGCAACTTGAGGCGAAATAGCTGCGATGACGGTATGCAGTGGACATGATGGCAGGCGACGCAGTTGGACGGGGAAAATAGCTACATGCTTCTGTAATGGTGTGGTATCTATCAATCAAAAGCTTTCCTTTATCAGTGATCGTACCAGACGCAGTTAGCTCGGTCGAGACTCGAGATGATCTGCGGCAGTAGAAGGCATATGTGAACCAATATCTGGGAACGGTGTGTATTCAGGGGCTATGAGAGTCTCTGCCTGGTCGGTACAACCTACCTCTGGGGGGAGAAAAGCCTATACGTGCCAGACTGACTCGGAAAGATTGGGCTTGCCTTGTTGAATTTGTGGTCATGAGCTTTAGGAAGAAAAAATTGGATGCGCAGGGGATTGAACCCTGGACCTTATACAAGTTTCAATTGCTTGAATGCAAAGCATACGCGCTACCACTGCGCTACGCACCCTTGCTGTGAATTCACTCTCCTGCCTATCAGACACGGTCATCACCGCCACTGAAAAAATGTGACACCTACTATAGCGACTCGCCATCACTGCTCCTAAACTGATGGATGACATACTCGAACGACCTCAATCACATCCAAAATCACCCGGGGATCATGCCGGAGATGAGGAGCAGTCGTCGGGCGACGAGGACGGTGGACTGGACTGGACGAAGCTTCCGTAAGTGTAGCGATCTCAAAAACTTCTTGGTGTGTTTCAATGGATCATACAGGAAATATGCCTCAGCACGCCCAGTGATTCCAAAGAGAGGAGAAAAGGATTTCGAACCAGCACATGGACATGGCTCTGGGTTGCAGCTGCACATCCTCGACCGGGCGCGCGGTGCCATGTTCGAGGCTCTTCGAGCAGAACGCAGCATTTCGAGGTAAGCTCTCATTATTTTTGTACGAGTCGAAGACCGAGGCAGAGTTTTCGGTTGCGGCCCTCGTAGCAAATCTGTAAGTTATGGTATTTGGTATCCTTCCATCGCGCGGGTACACGTCGTAACATCACGCGGCGTGCACTTCGCGAACATGGGACACTCAATTTCTCGTCCCGTCTGGAGATTCCTGGGGACACAGAACCCGAGTTGGAGTTGCCGAAGAATTCCAAGACTCAAAAGCGCCTCGAACTCCTCCCAGAAGAATCTATTTATCTAATCGAGCGCGGGGCATTGTTCTGCTACAAGAGTATACCAGATAATTCATCTCATTTAAACCTAGTAAATATCGAGGAGACAAGCCCGGGCGCGCCAATGACTGTCCAGCAGGCATACACTGAAATGATCGGCCGTGAAGATATGACACTGGAACGTTACCAGGTGTGTAATACTGTGGCACTGCCGCCAAGTTCTCGAAGTTGTGCTTGTAGATCGCCCAATGACTCCGTAATAGGTGTACGCTTATCTGAAGCGTCTCGGCTTTGTCCTGAGGCGCGCAGAACCTCCTACGCCAGATTTCCCTGTTGCTCCGTCTCCATTGCATTCCCTACGTCCTGCGACGGGGGCTCCGAACGTATGGCAAAGGATCTCCATATTGTTCTCGAACCTCGTTTTGAAGATTTTGAGCGCCGTCGGCTTGGTGTTTCATAGAGGTCCATGGGGACCCCTTATGTTTCGTGGCATCAAGTCGAGTGGTTCGTCATTGCTACCCACACAGTTACTCTTTCAGTTAACTATCATTGTAGGTGACATATTCAAAGCTCTACGTTTTCTTCCGTGCGGTCATAGTACCCCATTGTGCAACTGCTCGAGAATAGACGAGGGAGCTACAGCAGTATCATCACCTCTTTCGACGGCCTTATCTTCTTCCCCTTATAGCATCTTCTTCCACGTGTACAAACCCTCCACGCCATTCCGCAAGACTGCCCCACCACCACCAGATTTTTACCTGGTAATTATAAAGTCGGTCATCCATAATTTCTATTGGTGTGAACCCGCTGATTGGGCTTCGATAGCGCACGTACGACCGCTATGCCTAACTTGTATGAGCTTACGGCCCTCTTCGAGGGTCTTCCGGAGATGCCTCTTCCACCACCGCGGAAGCGGAGAACTCAAACCGCCGCCAAGGAGGCGAATAATGCTACAGTGGCCAACGCATCTCCTGAACTCCCAGCACCACCCATTTCACCACCACGGACGTTGATTCAATACTTACTCTCTTATCTTCGATTGAAGTCCCACACAACAGCGGTACCGTCGCCTGATGTTTCCCGCAACCTGGCCCCTCCTAAGCCAAATCCGTTTGTACGTCTCAAAGCTGGGAAGAAATCAGTTGTTGTTGCTGCCGTGGATTCGGGAAACATTAGCTTCTTCAGATTTGGCGAGGGAGCCTTCCATGACTGGCCCATGATATGATGAGCAGGGTAAATGTATCGACTGAGCCAACACCCTTTACGAAGTTGTCCTTCTAACTACGTACATTGCGCCACTCGTACAGACTGCTATTCAGCCTGACGCACTTCTCTGAATCCACCAGACTTTGGTAGAGTTGCATGAGAGAGACAACCTCCAGAGGAAGCAAGAAATTGTTGACGCATAGTACCTGGTTGATTTATCTGAGATCAATGTTTCGATAGTGAGTAAAGGCTTGCCTACAAGTAGCCATGTTCTGAGAGCCGCTATTCCTGCTGCCTGACGAATGAGTTTCCAATTCTCAGTCACGAATGTTCTTGCGCCATTGAAATAACTTGCAATGAATACGTTCCTGGTGGAACAAAATATGAGGAGTGTATCTTATCAGTGTTGGCGATACCACATACCGGTTCAAGAATATCCACCGGTACCACAATGCAAGCATGACTTTATCTTCATCCAAGACATCATCCAGCTCAAACAGCTCCTCTTCTCTGTCTACTATCACCCATGAAAGTACCCCAAAAGGTTCAAGCGGCAGCCTATTCAAGATATCATACAGTCGTGGCCCACCGGGACGACATGAATACATGTCACCTGACTCAGGTAAATATGGATATCTTGCTGTTGGCCCAAAGTCTTCGACCACACAAGGAGTCAGCTTTGTTTCCACCAAAGGTATGAACTTCGGCTTTACATCCTCCTTTATGATGGGTACTGCAACTGCAGCCGGTCTTGCAGTTGTGCTTATAAACATGAAAAGGAGTTGCTAAGCAGTGTCTCAAAGATGTGTGAATGCAACATACTGGTTTACAGGTACATCAGTTGGATTAATACCAAGCATCTTGGATCTGAGATTGAATCCTCGTCGCACATTTCGCTGGAGGAAGGGTAATCTCAGTCGTGTAGAGTGGGTGGGTTCCTTCACATCATCGTCATCATCCATTATACCGTGCACCGTGCTGTGGTCTCCAGTGTCATACAGAGACATGGTTTCTTTCTCTGAGTCGTCGCATAAGTTCTCATGTTCATCTTGCGGTGTTGTGCACCTCACAACCACTTCAGGCCGATTGGTTTTGACGCCGAACTGTAATTTTCTCGCAGCCTTTAGCCGCCTACAAGACTTGAGCTTGGCATAACGGGTGATTGGACTCTCGACCTACTCTGGTAGTTCCTCAATCGATTCCTCAGACTCGTCGGTTCTAGTTGTATCGTTAGGGTCCAAAGACACGTCTGGCCCCAGTGACACAAATTTTCCATCCACAAGGTAGGTTTTCCGCTGCGAAACCCTGACGTGGTGACGCGCAGTGTGTTCCTGTTGTTTTGCCGGAGTCGGCTTAGACTGACGCCCAGCAGCGATCCGCGAGACACGTTGCCTAGTGGCGCCACCCTCCGGGATAAATTCCTTAGAAGTACGTCTACTCATCCATTTCCTCCGCTCTACGGTGCGAATATCAATGGTAGTTGCTGAGCGAGTTGGGCGGTAATAGCCAAGGTCCCCTAGAAAAAGTTCCGTCAGTACTTGGTGCTCCAATACCTCTAAGCAGGATGGTTGAATGTGATACTCACGTACACCTTGATTTGCAGTGCGAGTTACCTGACTTCGACCTAAGAACATGGATGTAACATCGATCAGTTTAACAATAGGGAATTGATAGTGATCGTTAGTGGGAGATTGATAACGATACATACCTCCTCTTTGATCTGCACTGCCCAGAGTTGCATTGGCCCTATCCTTCGGGCGATGCATAGGCGATTCGTCTGACGCCAGCATCCGGCCTTGATGGCCAGATGGCGAGTCAACAGTCGGACGTTGGGATGCTGGAGGAGGGTCGCGGAAGGCAACCTTCCGCGACGCTTTCATTGCTATGGATAGCGGACGGCTGTTGCTTGGCATGGACGTGTCCGTCAAGGTTACACTCCTAGTCGATGTTGATGGATCTGAATCGTCATCGGCGGTCGAGTGCCTACTAGGCGCCGATCGATAGTCAGCGGCAACTTTCCTTGCGCATTTCGTCGCTAAAAGTTTCGGGCGGACGCTACCGCCCATGGGGATGTTTGTCAAATTTAGACCCCCCGTCGACGGAGTATCCGAGGAGTCTTCAGAGGCGGAAGGTCCAGAGGTAGATATCGCATGTGTACTGGTATCGTCTGCTGGCAAGGTGTAGGACTTCCTGGCAGCCTTCTTTGCTAATCTTGAGGGATCGTTCGCCATTGCGCGAGGCCGAGTGGTTGGTTCTCTGCGAAGTCAGTTTCAGTACTGACTCTGGTGGTTGTCGATACGTAGGGGATGTAGAGCAGACGATAGGGCTATGCCCATGAGTCTAGGCCGCGGCAACATTCGATTAGAACACGTTGCACCGTTGTCCAAAAGAAGTTCTGAGCAACATCGAATTCAATGATTATCCGCTCCAAGCCTTCAATTAGGGGTGAGTTGTGGCTGACACAAACAGGCTACTGCCTACGCGTAATAGACTCATAGACGTAGCGCAAACATGTACACTGCCATCAACGTCGCTACTTCTTCGCGTTCCTTTTGCTCAAACTCTTCTCACTGCGGACCCTCCCCTTCTTCCGCGCGGGTGCAGCACCCGACTTCCGCGCTGCGACCGACTTGCGCACCCTTTCCCTACCCTTGCTCTGGTGATGCACCCCTTGCTTATCCAACGCCATACGCGCTTTCTTCTTTGCCAATCGCCGTTCTCGTCGATCAGCATCTGCCGCTTTGACCTGTTTACGCTCCTCCTTGGACAAGTGCGCCAGCTTTTCGCCGAGCGAGGGGTCACCTTTCGGAACGGCATTTGATATTGAAGAGCTGGCATGTATCTGCGGAGGTTTCGACGACTGTGACGATGCGGCCGGTGTAACGGAGCTGGGTATCGTTTTGCATCGGTGAACGCGGAGCTTCCGCTTTGCGAATTTGAGCCTGTCGGGTTCAAGTGCTAGAATTTCGTCTACGCAAGAACGATCCTAGGAACAGTATCACCTACTGATGCTTAGGGCATACACATACTGCGGACGTACCACAAACTGAACGTATGCGAAACCTTTACCTAGTTGAGTATCCTTATCACGTATCATGCGGACACGTGTCACCCAGGTGCCGTGCTTTGTGCCGTCCGAACCCAAATCTTGTGGTGGCGGTCCTCGTTCTGCGTGAATGAGTGTTTCAAAGAAAATGCGCAAATCGTCTTCTTTGCTAGCAAAATCAAGGTTCCCGACGAAGACAGTGAGTTTGGGATCTCCAATAGCCAGCTTGGTAGTTGCAGTAGCAGCATTCGGCGACGAGTCAGAGTGACCGGCTGAATCCACCTTGAGCATCCGATCCATGAATATCGTTCCGTCGCATTTCTCCACGGCAAGGCGGGCAGCTTCGAACGGGTCCATGACAGGTGAGAGAGGAGGTAAATTTGCGGGCCGTAATTCTGCAGGCTTAGGATACGCGAAAACGACATATGCATGGACTGAGTCTGCGCTGGAATGGATATGGTCGTTGATAAACGCGATTTTCTTCTTTTGACTGGGAGTGAGGAATTTCTTTGCGTCTGTCTTTGACGTGTCGTCATCGTTAGGATTTGCTTCACGCCACGATGCAGCGCGATCACGATCGTGCTGACGAGCCTTCGCCTTCTTCTTATCGCCCGAGGCATCCTGGCTGAGGGAAAGATTTGACGTGGGGATTTGGAAAGGGATAGAACGAAAACGCATAGACTCGATTTTTGCGGTTGGAACGGACGCTAAGACGTGTTGTCGTAGTCGTTTCTGCAAGGGCTGAAAGGAAGGCGAGGTGCAATCAGTGAGGAGTGGGTTGGTCGCATGCCCGACTTACGCGTTTTTGTGCGACCTCGGGAGGTACGTTCCCGATGAATATAGTGCGAGCATCCCTTTGCTCCTGAGTCTCGTCAGCTGGCACATACTTTTTCTTCCCCTCGCCTTTTTGCGGTGAGGAGCCGTCTCTGTGAAGGGTTTCGTGAACCAAATGCGATGGGCCATCACTGTCCTCTCCGTCCGTAACCAGTCCACCGCCCATTGAAACTTTTGAACTCTCTGCCTTGTCCGCTTCGACGTCTGAATCCAGATCTGCCTCGACCGCCTTCCGACTAACTTTTCGGGCTTTCTTGTCGCGTGCTACGGTCTCCTTTTCATTCACCTCTGTATCAGACGACTTGGATCGTTTTCTCTTGTTCTCTTCGTCATCCTTTTTCGACTTGCGTTTCTTTTTGTTCTCTTTCGATGCGACGTGTGCAGCGGAAGACGGCCCGTCCTCAGCTTTTTGGACCTTCTTGTCATGCACTACAGTCTCTTCGTTCACCCCCGCATCGGACGATTTGGTTCGTTTCTTCTTGCGCTCCTCGTCATGCTTTTTTGATTTGCGTTTCTTTTCGTTCTCGTTCTCGTTCGATGCGACGCGTGTGGTAGAAGATGGCCGGTCGTCCTCACGCACCTGCTGAGCGTGTCGGTCACTGCTGGTTACGGATACCCATGACCTGAGTTATACCTGTGATTTGAGCAAGCCGTCTAGCTCCTTGTCTATGGGCTGTTTCTTGCCAGCTCCCAGAAGAAAAGATGCCAGACTCATGGCGATGGGAGACACTGAGTATTGTTTTTACTCCAAAGTCCGATCGGAAAAGAGCAGGTTTCGCGCAGAAACACGTCGCGTTTTGATCCAAACGCGTATTTTTCCTCCCAAACTCATTCCCCGACTTTGTCCCATGGCGGCAGAACGCAGGCCGTCCTTTGGACAGTCTTTGATAGTGCGCGCGCGTGTTTTTCTGTTTTAAAAATCTGCGAACCAAATGTGACGACAGGCGGGAGGCGCAGCTGGCACGGCTGTCGACCTGCTCTTCTTCCCGATCGACACCGTCAAAACCCGGCTGCAGTCGGCACAGGGATTCGTCAAGGCGGGCGGATTTGCAGGGATATACAAGGGCGTCGGGAGCGTCGTAGTAGGGAGTGCGCCGGGCGGTGAGTCTCTCCGGGTTGTTTTCTTTGTGTCGGATCTCACACCGCACATAGCTGCTGTCTTCTTCTCGACGTATGACTTGATGAAGAGGACATTACCCATGCAAGGCCAGCTTGCACCCTTAAACCACATGATATCAGCATCCGTGGGTGAGGTGGTGCGTTCCCAGTTTTATATACTAGAACTCGTGCCGTCGTGTTCACAAAATGATGTCGTTCTGTTAGGCGGCTTGTCTCATCCGTGTTCCCACTGAGGTTATCAAAACACGCGCGCAGACGTCGTCATATGGATCATCTGTGGCATCCTCTTTGGCCGCTGCGAAGCTGGTCCTTAAAATTGACGGTTTCAAGGGGTTCTATCGCGGATTCGGAATAACTGTCATGCGCGAGGTATGTCCGACTTGACCCTTACTCAGAGCCCTGTCTTCATTTTTCATCCACCAACCATACAGATACCTTTCACGTCTCTTCAATTCCCCTTATACGAATATCTCAAATATCGACTCTCCCTCGCTCTTGATTCTCGCTCGCTTCATGCCGCAGAAGCAGCTGTATGCGGGAGCATAGCTGGCGGTGTCGCAGCAGCACTCACGACGCCCCTTGACGTCCTCAAAACTCGCGTCATGCTTGACATGAGGGTTCGGGGTCTATTCTTCTACCATTCTAATCATGATACTTACCCATACGTAGGATCCTTCGTCTCGTTTTCCATCCCTCTTCACCCGTGCACGAGATATATATGTCGGTGAAGGTGCTCGTGCGTTGTTTGCAGGTGTCGTGCCTCGAACACTCTGGATATCGGCTGGCGGTGCCGTTTTCCTTGGTGTTTACGAGTGGGTAATAGGGACGTTAGTCGATAACTGAAGAATAAATTACACGTAAGGCTTCGTTCATCGTCATCATAGATTTTTCCAAATACCCCAAGGACTGGAATGCATACAGATGCGACGGAGTGGGTGTCATATTTCCCCCCTTGACATTATTACAATCGACTAGATAGCAAGGTAACGAAGCACGACGAACGGTAACTCCACTGACAAGCCAAATTGAACATACAGATTCAGTGAATGATGTCGTGGGTTAAGTGCTCACGCTTGCGACCAGGCCAGCAGCCCAACTCCGGTCGCCGCGACTGACCACTCGTGAAGTGAAGAATTCCCCTAGTAAATCACGCAACTGTGCAATGAGCCTAGCGTCCTCTTCTCTTGAGGAGTCTAACGTCTCCGGCATATCGGAAGGCGGTTGGAGTGTGTCTAGAGCCATCTATCCAGTAATTCAGTACGCCGTCGACTGCAAAGAATAGAAACTTAACCATTACGGCTTCAACAACACCGATCGCACCCTCCACCCCTGAAGCTGTAATTTCCTCTCCAACGATGCGCGCTCCTCCGCCTTCCAGTATGCCCTTCCGTACTGCCTCTTTTCCAATTCCAATAAGTCCTCGTATTGCACCTTCTCGGGTGCCAAGAGGTTTTGGCGGGCCTCGAGCACCGTCCCTGGTGGGGGTCCCGCTCGTATCCATTGCGAATCCATTGACAGTTGTTGAAATCGTGCTTTGGGCGGTTGGCGTGTTGCCCAGAAGGGCGACTAACAGGGTCTTCATGATGCGTGGCGATAGCGAAGGGTAGGTTGTCGAATGTTGTGTCAGGACCCTGCCCAGCATTTGAGCAGCTGCCGTCCTGAGATGTTTTGCATGGGAACTGGGCAAGCTTGCATGAAGGAGAACGGATAAAATAGATGGAAGCAACTGGTGGAGCTAGAAACGTAGAGCGGCGTGAGCGTAGTGAGATGTCATTCGTCAGAGGTCGACGTACATAAGGCTCAATGAACAAAGTCGAGTTCTCCAGGATAGCGCTTGTAACGTCCAACAAGATCTCGAGCATTCTTCCTTCCTGTTCAGCATCTGTTTCCTCTCGAAGGGCACTGACAACGCCCTCTCCGATCCATTTCACAAGGTAAGGCAGAAGTGCCTGCAGTCCTGCATCCGCGCGCAAGCTAGCAAGGGCTGCAGTTCGCTTGGCTGTCTCAGCTGGGGCAGTCGAAGGGGGCAGCAACGAGGACGTAAGCCTGCTATAATAGAGCTGCAGTTCTCGCGACAGGACCTGTTTGACGAGTTGATTCGGTTGAGTTTGTGGAGCAGAGGCCTGTTGTGATTTTGCGAGACCAAGTTGCGGCGATTTGCCGTTGAGAGCTGCTGAAGGTGGAGCAGCCGCGTCTTCTCGAGGGACGGCTGGAGGGTTTTCTGGAACGAGGGGCTGCACGCCCTCGACTGCAAGCCAGTGCGCTGTCCAATTCACGCCTTTCGGGATGATGATCTTCTCTTCTCGCAACACTTTGTCGAAGTCGATCTCCTCGTCTTCAACAAAGTACACGGTCCCTGCGGAGGGCGTGTTTGGGAACGGAAGGGCACGTCGGAAAGTAGTGGATGCGTGTGGTGTGTGACCGTAGAGGGGTTCGATGTTGAGCGTACGAAGGGCGAGGTCGATGTCGCTAGTAGTGAGCGTCGTTCTGCGAGCATGTCGCATAAATCTAGAGGCTTCCTGGGTGTCTTATAGCGGGTCATCCCATCCTCGAGTAACCACCAGCACGTACCTCGACTACCTGGTGCACCCTGTATTCTACATCGCTGGCGAGTGCGGATGCGACGGTTTCAGAAAGACTGGTGATTCCGAGTGACTCGGCGACATCCTGAAGTAGTACTAGGGATGAAGATGGGATGAGGTATGTAGATAAGACGTGTCCTTACTTTGACTGCATCGGCTTTGTATATCCCTGCATGGAGTGAAAGGGCCGACTTGGGTTTTGGCCCCGGCTTGCTCATCGCGACATAAGCTGGCTATGGGGATAAGAATGAGTGTGGAGGGTCCACGGCCGACTTGGTTGATGATCAATATCGATGTTTAGCCGACACGACTACAGCGTGCAACTCAGTGTGTACACTTGGACAACAAAGGGGGTTGCACTAGCCTAGACATGATTAGTAATACCCGTTAAGCGTCCATCCTGCCACTGCTAGCAGGGAACCCAGTGCTCGGTATCCTGGGGCTAGAAGCTGGTTCATTACAAGGTCCTCAGTCATGGAATCCGTGGCCGAACACCCTACCGCTACATGGGACGCGATGCCAGATGGCAACGTATTCTACCGCCGTTTGCAATTGTACTCGATTCCTGGGAAGCTTCCCAACCTGAACGACTACGTTATTGCAGGATGTCGCAATGGTGGCCCAGTTGGTATGTATGGCCAGTACATCTTTCAGCAAGCTATGACTCATTTCACGTGTAGCTTTAATGAGAGACCCGTCGAAGTTAGTAGCCATAGGTCGTGCCGGATCTGCGTCATCTAGATCGCAAATACAAGTATATTCTCCCGCTGGAGAGGGGATTCTGTTATTCAGCGTGACTATCTTCCAGTGAGTGTGCGAGGCTACAGAACTGACTAGTGCTTTACAGTGGGACCAAGGAAAGATCGTTCGTTTCGGATGGACGTCTGACGAGCGACTCGTCGTGCTGAATGAAGAAGGGACCTATCGACTTTACGACCTGCAAGGTGAATATCTCCAGTTTTCACTTGGTACCGAAGCTGCGGAGATAGGAATCATCGATGCTCGCATTCATGAAAACGGGCTTGTAGCCCTCTCGGGATCGCTCACGCTTTTGGAGGTCAAGGGCTGGGGAGGCGCTCGACCTCTCACACTAGCAAGTCCTGGTTTGTCCGACGTTTAAACTCTAAGCTAGAGGGGCTCAAGTAGTACAGGTGTGTCCGAGCCACCACATGCGTGGGCTGTCATTCCACCAGACCAGAACATATCACGACACGTAGAAGTCCTTCTCTCTGTAGACAACACCATCATCGCTGTCGACAATCTCGAAAGTGTTGATCAACGAATATCCCGTGGACCGTTCACACGCATTTCACCCTCGCCCAACGGCAGACTCTTGGGGCTGCTAAATTCTAGCGGCCTTCTTTGGGTCGTTTCGACTGACTTTCAGCGTAGTCTGGCCGAGTTTGACACCAAAACTGCAGGTGCAGACGTTCCTGTCAGTCAAGTTGAATGGTGCGGAAACGATGCTATTCTTGTTACATGGAACAATCTCGCATTGCTAGTTGGTCCTTCGGGTGATACCCTCCGGTACGTCTATGGTCACCCCTTTCACATCCTCACCGTGGAAGTGATGTGGCACATATGAGGTACCTATACTTCGGCGCTGTATTTGCGGTCACGGAAGTCGATAGCGTCCGTGTCATGAGTCAGGATGTGTGTGACCTGATTCAAAAAGTACCTGGTATGTGCGTTGCATCTCCGCTATGGTGGTTCCTCTTCCGACGTTCAATAGCATCCACTTTGTCTGTGTTCCGGCCTGGATCGACATCACCTTCGGCAATCCTCTTCGACGCATGGGAAAGTTTCACTCAACAATCCTCGAAAGCGGACGAAAGCATCCGAAGCATCCGGCCAGACCTTGCTGCTGCTGTTAATGAATGCATCGATGCTGCAGGTTGTGAATGGGAACCTTTCTGGCAGCGAAAACTCTTAAGTGTAAGTCTTCGGGAAACGCGCGTCCTCCAACTTCATCACATGCCACGGACAGGCCGCAAAATTTGGTTGGAGCTTTTTGGACTTATACAACCCAAACGATTTCGTTGCGATGGGTCAGTCACTGAGAGTTCTCAACGCAGTGCACTATTACGAAGTCGGCATGCCAATCACTTATTTACAGTGAGGCACAGCCGTTCACCGTTTATGATGGCTTACTGACTTTTTTGCCCTCTTGGCAGATACCAACTTGCGTCCCCTTTACATTTAATCTCTCGGCTGACGTCAAGGAACTTGCATTTGCTAGCATTACGCATATCTTCTTTTCTTTCTCTCAAACCAGATGTCGTTCTCAAGCATTGGGCGAGCATGAAAATCGCACGTTCGAAGGCCATAGCTGGAGACGATGAGGATCAAGAATTGTGCAATTTGATTGTGGACAAATTCGGGAAACTTGGAAATGGGGAAGTGAGTTATGCCGACATAGCACGGCGTGCTTGGGAGGTCGGTCGCGGAGGCTTAGCAACAAAGGTAAGCATAGGAGCCACATTGAAGTTCTCGTATTCCTTGGTTGATCGATATCTCCCCTCTTCGAACGATCCTCAGCTGCTCGATCACGAGTCAAGAGCATCTAATCAGGTGCCACTGTTGCTGACAATGAAAGAAGACCGACTTGCTTTGTTGAAGGCTGTGGACAGCGGCGATACCGATCTTGGTACCTTTTCACTTCTTGTTCCTTCTAGTATGTTTCTGATTGGCAGGCTAGTTTATCACGTCTTGCTTCACCTCCATAAACACCTCTCGCTCGGAGATTTCTTCCGCCTTATTGAGGATGGTGGACAGAGTCTAGCTCCGGCAAGCAAACTACTTCAAGTATATGCAAGAGAACAAAACAGGGAGATGCTTCGTGATTTCTATTATAGCGACGACAGACGTGTGGAAAGCGCGGTTCTCGCTTTGGGCGAAGCTAGCCGGATGACTGTACGTGAAGTAGGTTTAATGGCAAATGCCTTTCCAGCTCATACTGCGTGACAGGATCAGACCGCAATCATTACCTCGGTCAGGGCTGCAGAGAAGTTCTTTTCAGAAGACAAGGATCGGAGTTTTGAAGCTAAGGTTGGTGCCCTCCTCCCTTTATCCGTCTTGGTGATGAATGGGGTTGTATTAGATGATGGATGAGAATGCCCGCCTCTTGGCAGTGCAACAACAGCTCGAAAAGGATTCACAGGGAAATGCGAAGTTCTTTGGTTTGAGTGTCTCTGAGACGATACGAGCATGTATCATGAATGGCATGAGCAACAAGGCAGACCGCGTGAGGTCGGATTTCAAGGTTCCCGACAAGCGGTACGTGGCCATGCCGCACACCATGTCTAGCTCACGCATATTCAATACTAACCCACTGTAGCTTCTGGCATATTAAACTTCGAGCACTAATCGCTTTGCGAGATTTTGAGGCACTGGAAGTATTTGCACGGTCCAAACGGAGTCCCATAGGGTACGAAGTGTTCGTGAAGCAGCTTGTTGAAGCTGGCCACTCCAGAGAGGCAGCAATGTATGTCGTCAGGTGTGATGCGCCGAAACGAGTGGAGTTGTATGTGCTTTGTAACGATTGGCGGGCTGCTGGGAGGGAGTGCAAGGAGAGAGGAGATAAGAATGGTTTAGAGTGAGTCCTCACTAGCTTTGTCGCGCTATTTTAATGGGTGCTTACGGTCGTCGATAGGCAGTTGAAGAGACGGTGCCCGAACTCACTGATTACTCGGGAACTCGAGCAGCTAGCTGCGTCTATGAAGTAAGTTCGGGCAGAGCGACAATACAGCTCATTTTCCGTTCCAGCATGGACGGTTGCGGAGGTACGCGCTCATGCTATCTTGGTCAAAGGAGTTATGGTTGTATATCTCATCTGACTTTTGTAGGTAGGCGAAGCTTTAGAGTGCCTAATGTAATCTAACTATTTCTAATTGAACTGGTAGTGAGCAACGCTTGTCGATTCTTTCTATAACCCGATACAATGGTGTCTTCATTCCGCACGTACCTGTGCTATTGCGTGAGGGGAGCATCCTGCTAACGGGTCGAAGCACTCGAGGCAAAGACGGGATACAGATAGCGCTTGGAGCATGAGTAAGCACGCTGGCTCGGACAGGTACAGAAAAGGGCGGCGACTAGGGCAGCGCTACGAATGAAGAGTGAAACTGGTAGAAATACAGATTGGTAGCTGAAACGCGAGAGCGACGAAACTGGAACCCTTCTGAAAGGCGAAACCTCATAACACTGAGAAGACTAAAAATACATGGACGAGGACCGAGAAGCCAGTGGCTTCTCGGTCCTCGTTTCAGCATATACACTTTTGACAGTTTTTGAATTGTTCAAGAGCTTGGCAAATACTGTTATTCAACTCGGCAAATGCTAAGTGCTCTAAGAGCACTAAGCGTTTTGTAGATAGCTGATAATGACTAGTTGCTGCTGGCACTGCTTATTTTGCGTAACAAAAGATAGTTGTTTACGTGACGACCATTATTACGGTAAATCATTCTGGTGTTGTCAACCTATCCATGAATTCCTGTATCGACTTCTGCGGTTTGTTATTGGCGCAACGGCAATGACGATTTCGTACGTTAGCAATGCCGCAAACACGCTGCTTCCACCAAGTTTTCCACATGCGCGCTAAGTCCAATGCCGACGGATATATATATTTGGCGACTCGCATTTTCATTCCAAGTTCAAGTATTCCCCACTTCCCCACATTCGAGTAGTGAACTTCTCAGCCCTTCAACTACACCGGACCTGGAGCGTGCTTACTACTAAGAAGCGTTATCTCAACGATGGCAGACTGCGGTGTTCAGCTACAGTCATTTTTGCCGTCCTCTGTGACAAGGTTGGCATCGGCGGGTTTCAGGTGAACAACTTTCTTTCATTCCTCTCAGTATAAGGAGTCGACGGTGACTTGTTGCTGTTCCGCTGTTAGCCCATCCCCTTCACGAACGGCCTCTCTGGGCGGGAGCTGGCACCCAGGACTGTCAGTTCCAATATGTTCGTGCCTGACATATCAGACGTTAATCTGGACACAGTAATTGCCATGGCATCGGCTGGAAGCAAATAATTCACCCAGATGCTGGGTGTTACTACGTCTATCCGGAGCAGGTAATCTTGTTTATCAACGGCAGATCATTGAGGTTGAGGCTGTGTCAGAACATATATACTTGGTCTAACATCTCTGACACAAGAGTACGCTGTCTTGTGATGGAAGCCGTGCAACAGTTGGATAGAAGCTCCGAGCTGCAATCCTGGCTTCAGGGAGACAAAGATATCTGTGTCGTGCTGAATGTGGAAGACTACTCGTCGCAAACTTGTCTTTATTACTTTGTATCTCATATTGACCAACGCATCTTCTGGTTGAGGGAGCATAGCGAAGTGAAGCTGCGCTGTGCGTCGAAACAGTGTCGACGGCATCCATCCCAATCACATTGTACGTCTCGGTCTTCATATTTCTAGTGGGGCTTTACATGGCTTACGCACCGTCCCAGGTATATTGGATCAATACTGGTGAGCAGCGGTCAGGGTGAAATATCTGCGTATTCAACAGGGGTGTGTAGGAAGCATTGCGAATTATTCCCAACACCACATTCCCTCACTCACGATGTCATTAACTATATGAAGGACGTTTTGATACAAGCATCGGGAGGTATGGGCTATCAGCGGTGGCGACGACGCAGTACTGACACTCACTTTGTGGATAGAACGTATGACGGTGAAATACTCCACATCGCCTTACACCATGGATGATCTATCCCATATGCTTTGCCTTGTCAAGGAGATCGAAGGTAGCAGACGTTTTCCTTCGAAGCGTGTCATTAACCATCGCCGCAGCGGACAGTAAAATGCGATGTAGTGACCATTCTGCATGGGTTATTGGTGAGTCCGGCGTGCCGTCGCTGCATTAGTTTAACATGCTTAGCCTGAGACTGCTAGCCAAGTTAATGTCTCTCCATGGTAAGATGCCGTAGACCTGGCAAAGGAATCGCCTAACCGTTTCCCCCTGTTTCTGTAGTCAATGGTGTCCTCCGAAGCTCTTATGGTCAAATCGACGACTATTTTGATATCGACTACTCGGGGACGACTGGCAGAGGGCCCTACGAACGAAGCTGGCTTATGATTTTACTCGACCCACTTCTCTTTAGATGTGCGGACGCATACGCGGAGCAACTCTATGCTTTCTACGACAGTTTCAGCCCAGTAAGTTGGTCGCGTTTCGTAAGAAAAGTGGACGTGAGTATCCGCGACTCCAACCTGCTGGTGCGTTGTGGTTTGCTAGCACGATACCTTGGCTAAACCAACTTTCTGAAGGCGACTGTTCTCCTTAGCACGAGTGTGGGCTTTCTTCAGATCGGCAGTATTGACGCAGCAACGGGCCCGGGAAAGAGATCTGCTGTACAAATCATTGTTTATACCTCGATCATATGTAGTATCGGCAGCATCATCGTTGGGCTGCTCATGACGCAACAATATCGTGCCAAGGGAGCGGATACGCCGTTGCGTGCGGTGAGTTGGTATTTGAATTATATATTGTTTGTGCCGCCAACTCTGTATAGGTGGCTCTCCTCAAACGCATCCTCAAAAAACCTTACGGTCTGGAAAGACTTGCCATCGCATGCTGTCTTCCCACCGTCCTACTCATGTGGAGGTGCGCGGCATGACGTTATCATGACCTCTATGTACTCAAACTTATCAGTCTTGTTACATTTCTGACTGCACTCTGTGTCGTATTCTATTACCAAACAGGCATTGCCGTTCGGATCCCGGTCACTGTTGCCCTCGGTGTGATCTTCCTTTCACTAATTGGCTGTCTGCATACATCGGGTATGCAGTTATTCCCACGCGAGGCTCGAAACGGACGACACAAAGAGGAGACTACTACTGTCACTGGCTAGCATTGCTCTTCTGGTACGACGCCTCCGCGCGACTTCTTACCGGGACTTTTGAAACGTGTTACCACCTAACTGCTTAATTCCATACCTCGAACTTGGTGTCCTTTGGAGGTCAGATTATTGTATTAGTATCTCAACCCGAGGCTGCAGGTTCAATGACTTTTGGCAATCTATATCCGCTTTCCTAAACTTTGACAGCCATCCACCTACAGCCCTCCTCACACGATGCCTCTGTCAAATATCTAAATCCCATCTTGGTGTAAAGCGTGCACGCGTTCTTGTTATGATCGTGAACCATTAGCACCACTACTTTTTCCTTCTCCCCGCTCTCATGGGCGGACTGGGGATCGGAGAACGTTCTTGCCCATTCCAACCCCCGCTTCACCAATTCCTTCGCAACACCCCTTCCCCTGTGTTCAGGGTGGACCCACATTGCCACCAGGAAATAGGGTTCCCAGTTTGCACTCAAACCGGCCCTTTCTAAGGGTCCCAGAGTGGCTGAGGGAATTTCCGAAGGCGCAAGGATAGTAACCATTCCGATCCCCGAATTCCCATCGGGGACCCCGCTTTCTGAATCCGGGGATATATCAGTGGCTTTGGCCACAACAAACGTCCGTTTGCACGGCGAACTAAGACGCCTGTACCAGAATTCGTCTGTGTAAGCGGCTTCACGAACGTAGTTAGAACTGAAGTGGGCAGCATCCACCCTGAGAGAAGTGAGTCGGAGCGACTTGTAAGCTGCTATCGCAGATGGGGTAGCAGGCACTGGAAGAGAGAAGTATTTGTACATGTTGATCAAGAGGTGGCCCAATCAGTGTTCTGTTTTACTGGCAACTCGTTGAGTGGTGAGGTAATTATACTGGATGCTGACATAGAGTGAGTCAGAAGGAAGGCGCCATTTCTGACTCGAGGCCCATGAAGTCCAACAGTATACATGGATATAGCTTTACATAGCTTTACAGCTTGATCAGTAAACTGCTTTGTGCACCGGCAGCCGTGGGGAATTTTTTTTCTCCAGTGCTGGACAGCACTGGATAGCAAAAGTGATTTGCTGATCGGCGCCGCCCGCCCACCAATGTTATATAAAGCCACTACAATGGTGAACCCAAGCATGGCCAACGGAAATTTTGCGAGGGATACCAAGGTATAAGGTCAGTAGTGATAGTGGCCTTGTACTTACCAATAATCTGGATTTGAAGATATAAGATATCATGATTCTTCTGTTACCGGTCAGCGGACAACTGTAATGAAAAAAAAAAAAAGCCACCCTGTAATGCAGCAGGCCCACAAGACGTATGAAACTGGGACAGGCGGTTCAACGTTGCCTCCAGGAGTTGCAAAAAAAATATCACCTGGCCAGGTGTAAAGATTTAGTATCTCAGGGAAACGCAGCGACATACCATAGCCTTCCGTGCTTCAAGTTCCAACCAACTGGCCACTGGTTAGCCCTTCTCTTGGTTTATTCAATTATTCGCGAGTGCAAGATAATGGCTGTACCCGATGGGGGTTTCAAACGGGTTATTGATGAGATGTCGTTCTACTCCAGGCAAGTCACAGCTAAGGTAAAACCAGACAACACTTTCCAGTGAATCCCCGCTCGTACCTGGATAGTCGAGGCGATGAGCCTTCTCAAACTGCCGGAGCCACTTGTGTGGCTTTGTAGCCATAAACACGATATGGCGAGCGTGCGGAGCGTTTCTTAGACGGATGGCATGTTCGGGCTCACAGTGTTCTGGAATCGAGGAAGGATGCCATTTGTTTCGTAAAGTACCTGTGGTAGGGAAGGGGAAGTCAGGGAGTTTTGTGTAAAACGTCCAAGTTCAAGTCTGCTTGAACATGCGATTTGTGCACTAAACCGACGAGCTACTGCCATGCACCACCAGTTCCTTGAAGTGCAAGTTGTTGACGATGAGAGCATTCATCGTATTCTTTGCATTACCTCCAGTTTCGACTCTCGGTCCCCCATGGAGAGGCTGGCTTCAACTGGACAGTACATACACAGCATGATGCAAACAGTTCCCACTTCGTCTTGCCTACATAACAATGCTCAATGACTGCCAAGTCCTCACACTTGAGTGGGTCTGGACTCGGGGAAAGATGGCAATTCTCAGTAGCGGAGGCACGTAGCGTACCGAGAATTAGCCGGTCGTCTCTCTCCTTCGTACTCTCACCTGCCCCTCGAGGCTCAGCTGAGCCGCATTCTAGTCTCTCGTTTTTTCTTCGCTCCCGCCCACCACTCCCTCTCACGGTCCGTCCAAAGCAGCTGAGTCAACAGCCGTTTGTCCAACGCAGCTCGACGACTCGGGTCCTGGTTTCGGGCCAGAAAACCTACCGGTTTTCACCCAGTCCTTTCGAACATCAACTCTTGAGTTACCTTAGCATACTACGTACAAGTACACCCCCTTTCCCACAAGCACCACGCTCTTCCCTTAGCTAACTGGTTGAACGCGTAGATCGAAAATATCTAGATAGAAGTGCATAACGAGTGATGCGTGCACTGGAAGGACGGTAACTCTCTAACTTATCTGGCTGACCATGCAGGGTTGTTAGTGTGGATTTTTCCCACACCTCCCTCGTAGACGGCCTTAGCGGTTAGCTTCAGTGTCGGGGATATAGGGATTGACTCCATGGCCCACAGAGCCACCACTACCGTACTGACAGTTCGGTCAGCTGCGATGAGCAAAGTCTGACATTAGCAAGTAACTTACTTGATTCCATTGTAATCAAGAATACCCTGGTGGACTGGGAAGTCGTACTGGGGCCTGGTGAAACAAAAATGGAGACACGGTCAACCGATAGAGAAGTACAGATACCTACCCGAGGTTCGCCACTCTTTTGCCCATCATCCAACCATTGACAAATAAGAGTGCACGATACGGCTGAGTGGACCCATCAAATGTGAACGATATCGGTACATCGAAGTCTTCTGGGATGCTGAGCTTAAATTGTGGTCACGAAGAACCCAACTCCTGCAGAAGAGGATGGCAGTCCCTCGGACAAGTCTCTTGCCATCCACAAAGAAGTGTTAAACCCAGGCAAATGCCATCCCTGGCGTTCGCCGTACAAACCACCTTCATTCAGAACGCCTCGGACTTTATCCGGGAAACTTTGTCGATGTCGTCAGCTATGCGATATGCTTAAGACGCAAATCGTACTTTGTGTACCCTCCTAGCTTGCCCTGCACCTTCCATTCGTTGAAGTTACCTGCGTTCAACATGAAACCGCGAATGCCGCGGGGGGACTTTTCATCATCGACGTGGTCCTCTGCAGACAATCAAGTATAAGGCAAGAAGTCGCAGCCGCTCACTCACCTCCGTTTTCGTCTAACCCCATGTTATCCTACAACGGTTGTATGAGTATTCCGTTCCGCGAAGGGTAAACATCTCGAGTACCTGAACGACGGTTATCACGTTGTCTTCGCCATATTTCAAAGACCCAGGCGGAAAATAGAAAACCTCGTCTGTCTCCGCAACGACATTTTTGTTGTTCGTAGAACTGCATCCATATCATGAGCATGTTACTCCGCAAGCGTCACAGAAACCCTACTTTCCATACGACGTCTTCAAGAAGACATCGTTGACCCAAACACTTGCGGCAAAAGCTAGCAACATAATCAGGTACCAAGCATGCTTTCACGAGCCGCCAAAAACCGACCTTCGCCGCCATTGATGGACAAATTGACAGACTTGGTTTCCTCGGTAGCGTTAAAATGTCCGTGCCACAGGACAATATTTTCGCAACTGAAGGGAGGCGTGAGCTATACCGTGGAACAAAGAAACAGATTTACAATTCGTAGTCACAGCCATAGAGTACCCGGCCATCGCCGTAGTACGGCTTGAAGGGAATATTCGTCGAAGTGTGGTTGGCGATCGTCCAGTTGACATCAGAAAAGTTCCCTTGGATTTCTGGCAAACTATCGGCATATTTCCAATTAGAAAGTTTGGGCAGTCCAAGTCCGAGACCAGAAAGCGACGGTGACAGATCGGCTGAAAATCCGCCTACTGTGGTGATAGTACTGGCGGCATTCACATCAGGAGAGACGGGGAACCCATTCCAGGTCACCATCCTGACGTTGTCAGGGGCAATAACCGTCAACCTCACGCCCTCGTCTAGATCGCCACGGAGCTCGAGCTTCGAACCTACCATGGTCGCATTACGCACGAGGTAGGGTCCGCCAACAAGAATCGACGCGTTGGTGCCAAACTGCCAGTAGCTTGCGAAATCGCCTCCATCGTTCGAGGGTATCTCTGGGGACCAAAAAGTACCCGCTGTTGCGGTATCGCTATAGAGAACCAACTGTTGGTCTGAGTCCCACAAAGTAACCAACCCTTCAATGCCGGTTAACAACGATACGGTTGTGATACCCTTCAAGGTATTCCATTGGAAGCTGGAACTCTGAGCGCGAATGCGTGGTGTGCCATTAAGAGCTAGCGCCACCTCGTGTTCTTGCAGGGGATCCCCATACAGATATAGGACATCCCTACTACCAATCCGACCCGTATAGAGTACCTGTGCTGTTGCATACCACACCTTGGATGAGCCGAAGGAATAGTCAGTAACAATGATCTTGGACTGTCGGCCACTCAAGGTAATTGCTGACGCCACACGTGGGACTTGAATTGCCTCGGACTCTATTGTGATATTCATCTTGAAGTTGATGGTACTCCTACAGTGGTTCAGTTCAGGCGAGCCTGGATAAATGAGTGAACTCACATCGACGTCGAATCGTTGTGCCTTGCAATGTAAAACGAAGTACCAGTGTCAGGATTGCGCAACATGGTAACATGCACAAAAGGACTTGTGGTTGTGACGGCGCTTGTAGTGGTATCTCCAACATGATCTGTTTTGTAGAACTCAGGGGAGCTTCGTAGGAAGAGCCCTTGACGCTTGAGCTCGGGATACTTAGTTGTAAGTTGTCGATCTTCAGCAATCGCACCACCGTAGTCATATGATGCTGTTGTACAGTGGGCTCCTGATCATAGAGAAAACAGTATAGTAGAAACTCACTGTATACTCCAGGGAATGGCAGCGCACTCCAGGAAGTCCCGCTACGGGAAGAGAGGAAAGGTCAGTGTCCGAAAGACGAGCCAAAAAAGTTGGATGTACCCGTAAAGCATGTAGTAGTTGATGAGCTTAGCGTTTGAAGCCCAAAGGTTCAGGTAGAAAACACTTTCAAAGTCAGGCCCCGTGAGTTCTCGACATTGCTCGTAACCTGATATCGCATTGAATAAATCGTTAATGTGTAGCAATAGGCCGTACCTGGAGCAGTCGGTCCCCAGGCATCAAACGAGCCGCCTTGAAACTTTACGACGTCAGCTTTAGAGACGCATGGGTATTCCGCTGAAACGAACTTCCGGGAAGTACCAAGGTTGCCCAGGGTCCACGCCTGCCCCCGAATTAGAATATATGGACAGAGACAGACTGGCCATTACATACTCTCGTGATAACTGTAATAATTAGTTACCACAGGACTCCAAACCGTTGGGTTAGAGCAATCGAAACCTTGAGGGTATGAGTCTAGCCTAATTACGTCTGACGTCACTGACAGCGTGATGGTCAACAAGCGAGACGAAATTACCCATATATGTCCACGGCGCCCTACCAAGTGTGAAGTTTGCATTCGCCCCACCTTAAAAAAGCGGCCAACTTACTGTTCCATTGATCCAATTCTGACCCTCTACTGGATCGTTAGCCGTGAGAGGCACTACAATGCCGGAATTGTGGTAGACATCTTCGAGTTCTTGGAAGTATGCAGCATGGGTAGCCGGAGACTGCGTGTACTCGTTGTCTAGGGCGACAACGTCAGCAACGTCCAAGCTCGAAATACAACTCCACCGACCAATCTGAACCGCTAAACACTCAAACCTCAGTGAGATGCAGAAGGGAAATCGAAGCGATATTGCCTACCAATAACTGGGCCACCATGATCAATTTGGTACGGAATAGTCTCGGTTATAATACCGTGTATGTAGTCCTGCCACGCTGCATTCCAGTCTGTTGCATTGGTTCTCAGTTCACCTGCAACTTGAGACGTAACCCAGTGGGCAATTCCACCAGCGGTTGTTTCAGCATTTATATAGGGTCCTAGAGACGATGAATACACGGACGGCTGAAGACGCACGCACGTACCGGGCCTCAGGACGATCCATACTCCAACATGTTTAGCAGCTTCGTAAAGAGGTTTCAATGCACGATAGTCATTGAAGTCAACCACGCCGGGTGACGGGTTGATTAGACCCATGTGCGTGTATACACTAATAGCATTGAAACCTGCAGCCTTGACCTTCTGCAGGATGTCAAGCCAGAGGTCGGGGACCGGCAAACGGAAAGTATGGAATTCTCCTGAACTGTCCACGAACATTTTGAATGTACATGAACGTGGAGCGAAAACATCCACTCACTGTATGAAAACTCGCTGACCTTTGATGACCAGGCTGTACTTATCCCATAGTACGTCAGTGGTGCGCCCATTGCCCGTAAGATTTGTTGCTGTAGTTGACTGGGTATCTCGGAGGTGAAGCAGAGTGGACGGGGACGTGTGCAGTATGCTTGCAACCGTCGCAAGGGCAGAGGACCATGATCCCATTGGCCCGACCGGTGATGCGAGAACGCACAACGCTGCAACAAATGCGAGCAGTAGTCCCGGTGCCCTGTGACGCTTCGTGCTCTTGTGCGCGCGCATTCCGGTAGTAGAGAATGAGAGCTCGTCTTCCACGAGCTTTAACTTTTCTCCTGAAGCCATGGTTTTCCTGCGTTCGGGGACTTATAGTCTTCGGAGTCCCTACTGGGGACCGGCTGGGAACTTGGTTGTGCCAGGGCTACCACCTGACTTCGAAGTCGAACAGCGGAAGCAATGCGCGTGGAAGTCAACTCGGCTCCCCATGCCAGCAAAGGTAGCATCATGATTCAGTCACCAAGTCAATTGTCAATTTGTCTCGAACCACAGACCTGAGTACTTGATATATGTACTTCTACAATGGACTCGACAGTAGGGCTAACACGCGTATTTATCCGCGAATACGGCGAAGGCAAAACTTGAACTCCTCTTTGGTTTATCCAGCTTGCATGGCATGGATGTACATGTGATGCAGAAAGTATTACCCATGCCCCTGTTATGCGGTCCGCGGAGGGAGGAAACTTGCAATTCGGGGTGGGTGCGGCATGTGATTCCCCGCTTCAAGTCGGTTTCGTCAGCCTTCTGATGGAATGAAAGGTAGCCCCGCAGACTGGGATGTCGTGGACCGAACGCCGCAATGCGGAGAACGGTTACTATCGGTATGTGCGGAGGGGTTCGCGGGGTTACAGTTACTTGGGTTCTTCTTTCACCGGTGTCAGTTCTGTGACTCCTTCAGTATCAGGGGATTTTCGTCCAAGACTCCTCTGGCGCCCAAAGTCATGGGGATAAACCAAGTCGAGCAAGACACAATGCCAAAGCTTGTTTTGTCGTGATGTCCCGCATAGCCTGCGCGTCTGCACCTGCCCGAGGCGGTGTAAAACCCGATTGCACTCCCCGTAAGATATGACTTGGTGTCAGCACAAACGGCACCTTTTTCGGCCTAGGTGGTCGACTGCCTTTACCCTTGGTTGTAGGAGCGTTGCTACTGGTCACGACGAGTAGATCGCGCTTTGCGACTTCCAGAGCGGGACGAATAAGAGCGGATATGAAGGGTTTCAGTACTGCTGACAATAAAGCCGATGGGGCGAGATTTTGCTCCACGACTTCTTTCGACGCCAGGAAACCTCGGTTGGAAGATTCGCATGGAAAGTGTGAAAGACGAATCTCTCCGACACTTTTTTGAACAGCCAGAATGAGCTCGGGGGGTGAGAGAGTTATTATATCGCGTGGCGAATACCGGAAAGCAGGTAACGTATGTAGAGCAACACTGTTGCTCTGCTCTGCATTCTCATTGCCGGCAGGTGACGGCGGACCATAAATGGCCTGCTCGAGTTCATCTCGAGGTGCAAAGGCCGCACTTAAATCGACCAGGGGAGGTTTTTCGAGCCGCTCTTGATCACGGCGGGGAACGACTGCACATGTCCAGCCGCGAGCGTCCTCTTCAGGCTTGACCTCATACTCCGGGTGCAACCGCTGTTTGATACCACAGACAGGACATGGAAGGTCGCCAGCCATTGGTGTTCCTTCCTTCTCCTTCTCTTTCGCCTTCTTTTTCACCTCGATCGGTACCGCCAAGGAAGTTGGCCTCGGAAAGAGGGGCGTATCTTCCAGCCAGGCGTACACATCACCAACAGTTAGTGGGATATGTGGAGATGAAGTTGAGGCAGCATGTTCCATGTAAAGGTCATGCAGTGTACGCGCCCGTGCCCACTTGATTCCTCGATCAATACAACATCCCAGGTATCAGAATTATCAACCCACCTCGATGGCTTTCCGCTTCCCCGGTAAGAGAGCCAAAAGGTGGCCTGGGCTTGGTACTAGTTTGTAAGGTACACGAATGTTGCTCCTCGGTTTCACATCTGAGAGAAAGTGAACTTCAAGCGTATCGGGATGCGAGAGACTCACGGACCTTTCGCAGTCATCGGTGCCCTTGGGAGTAAGGACCTCAGGATCTGTTCATGGGCTACGGCATGGAAGATTGGTTAGTGTTTTATAGCTATGGAGTGATTTACTTACGGTATTCACTCGGGCCAACGCTAGCTCGGCTTCCAGACAGGTCAGGAGGTGCTATAAATGAATCAGGACTGAGCTGCCGATCGAGTGAGGGTAATGGTGGCAGAGCTCCGCTGGACACAGGGAGAAGAGTGACGTTGCGGTCAACTTCGACATCAATCATCTCGTCAGAACCCAAGACTGAGGTGGAAGACTTGGATGGATCAAGCTAGGGGCGTGATGAGCACCAATAGGATACGGACCGTAACGTCTGACATACATCGACCCAGTGTTCAATCTCCAATCTCCCACCCCCGATCCATTCCAAGAATACCTTAGCTAAGAAGGGATCGTCCGCGGTGCCAATGACCGCAAAGGGTTGCTTATCTACAGTTAGCGGCACTGGAGATACAGCGACAGGTGGAAAGACAGTAACACGAGTCAAGTAGGAGGCTAAGGGCAAAGCCTACATAACAGTTATATCGGGCCAGAGGTCATCGGGTGAGCATACATACATATGAAGGAGCTGTCACCGCAATCATCCATCGATACTGGTGTGGAGAATTAAGCTTTGTCTGACGGTCTGTATGAAGGGTAAAGTAACCGAACACTGTCTAGAAGACATAGAAACTCACCCTTAGTAAGGTAAAGGCTACGGTCTTCAACACGGACGCGGGCCGTGATGTGAAAACGAGACGCTAAGGTATTAGGCAAAAGACCGGCAGCGCCTGTATTTTCGGTCTCAGCTGCTACCTTTGTCTCTAAGTCAATAGCAAGGTCGAGTTCTGGCCGTGCTGCACTTCGGTGGGGATAGGTCATACGGAACTGTGGCCGTTGTCGTTCTGTACTAATGTGTGGCATGGTAACTTGTCGATGAGGATGCTCATCGATACTGGTTATATCTACGTCTTGTGCTTCATTGTGAACGTGAATACATCGTCTCTTTGGCGCTCTACCGAGGAATGGCGCAAGCGATGGGGAGTCAGCGTGAAGGCCCAGAGTACGAGAGAGAAGGGTACTGGGTATTACGGCCGCATCTTGCGAAGTGAACTGTTGCTGATCGGCGTCGGGTGGTGAGATGAAATGCCCCTCGACGCCCACTGCACGTTCGAAGAGCCTCCTAAGCCCGACCACGTTACCACCCCAAGGTACCTCTACACCTTCTTGTTGATACGTCTTCCAAACGTCGTCGTCGGGGGTAACGGGGAGAGCGCATGCTGTTATACACACATCATGACTAGCCCATTCTATACCATGTGCCAAGCGCGCATGATTGAGAAGGCCTTGAAGGGTTGTGAATTGTGTGCGAGAACAGGTTGGGCACGCAAGGATCGCTAACTGATTCGCTTCTGGGCCGTCGGGGGCCAAGCGAATGTAGAGTAGTTTCTTGGGTTGCGAGAGCTTCGGGACGCGAGATGCTCGCGTTTTCGAAACTCGCTGAGGCGGCGGCGGCGGCGGCACAGAGACTAAGGGAGAGAATGAACGAGGGGTCATTTCTGGTTCTTCCGGAGCAGCTGTGTCGAATATGATGGATGAGGGTGCCTCCAGGGCGTCGAGGGCATCGAGTGCGGCTTCCTGGAATTCATCGACCTCCGTTGCTGGTGTGGACACCTCGGTCTCTTTCTGGCTCTCCAAAGAGTTCAGTAAGAGGGTAGCCCATTGAATACGCCCCTCAATAGTTGCCAAAAGGCGCTGTCGCAAAGCAACTTCGAGGTCCACCTCATCGTAAAGCGGTTGATATGACCGAATGTCTGGTGAGGCTGGCGTTTCAGCGTTGGCCAACGTGAGCACCCACACGAACGCACGACAATGCGCGCTGGACGTACCCGGATCCGCCAAGGACTCGCTTTCAGCATCGCTGGATGACACATCATAAGAAAGGCGCTGTCTCTTCCGACTGCTGGACTCGAGGCCTGCCTGACCCGTGATTGTCGAATAATTCATACGGTCCCATCAGTACCTTCTGGCGTCAGCCAAGTCTCGTATAGAGAGCAAGTGAACAACCACCCAACGTAACGACCCCCCGTCCAGGGGTGGACAACCCCTGTCATTTCATTATGTATGAGAACTGAATGTCTAGTACGTAACACGTAGTACATGAAATCTCCACTCGTCATACCCAGCTCACTGTTCAAGAAGATCCCGCCGTATAAACACGTCCTAAAGCAATCTCCTGGAATCTATGCAAAACATTAAGTACACGGGTGTTCAAAGCCCGACGCTACTTACTTGTCGTACAATGACAATGCACCTGCAGCTGCGACACCTCGCAAGATATTCGCACCAGCGCCATCTGAGGTTTATGCGTCAATAACAACCGTTGCATGGTACATGCTTCACAGAACGTACTAAAGAGAGCCTTTGCCCCTTCTTTCGCAACAATGTGTCTTCCAGCGTCAACAAACGACTTGTAATGGACCTGAGTGCAAAAAAGGAGAGCGGAAGTTATCAGGAGTGGAGGGTATTTTACAGCAAGAGATGCAAACCTTCTCTCCGCTTGTCATCATCATCCGACGTCTAATAGTGTCCATGGGGTATGAAGCCAAGGCTGCTCCCTGAGTGATCATATAAACCTTCTTGTTATTCTAACAACACAAAACACCGACCGTCGTGCACATCCAGCCCACCGCGAAAGACGCCAGAAAGTTGCCTTTCAAAGGACCAACGAGTACAGTGTCTTTGACCGTATCGTAGCCGCCGAAGCTTGTGCGCTACGTCTTCAGCAGTCTAACGCACGCAGGAGACGAACTTACTAGAGACCACGGTAAACGATGATGCCAAGAACACTGGGAACGAATCCTCGATACAGTCCCACGATTCCATCAGAACGTAGGGTTTGTCTGTATACATCGATGAGGCCAGTATATTGACGTTGTCCTCCCTTTCCAACATTCTTCAGGTCAGCGGAAAGTCGAGTTCTGGCGCTGCAGAGAACGTCGGTCTTCCTCAAGACATAAAGAAGAAACATACTAGTCCAATGAATAGACGAAGAGTGAGCTTGATGCTCCTGCAGCGGCACCGCTGGCAACGTTCCCTATGTGGGACGACATCAGTACGCTGCATTTCATGTTTTACTATAGGACTCACCGAAGACCCACAAGCCAAACCCATCAGCCTTCTTGTATCCAAGTCTCCGTTTGAAATCATCTTTGAACGCGAAGTTCAAAGCCTGCGTGGGAAAGTACCTGATTACATTGGTACCATTCCCTCTCCAAACTAAATGGCCGAGTGGGTCGTGATCAGGAGGGTGGAATCAAAATTATTGCGTACAGCTGGCTAGCCCTTCTTCCGCATAAGTTTTCTTGAAGCAGTCTAGAATACCATTATAAGGAGAGCTTAAGCGGCCTGCCGCTATCATTGCGCCCTGGTTCTGTATCAATAACTTGACACGCTCGATAGGAGCGGCCGCTGTCTTTGATATGGTCGCAGCAACCCCGCCCATCAGGAAGTCGGCTGCATAGCAAATCAGAAGAAGACAACCGGGTTGTCGGAAGCAGTAGACCTACCGAGGAAAGTGCTGGACTGTGCCGGAGTTTTCTGTCCAGACATGGATGACGAAGCAATAGCCAATCACTTATAACTGAGTGAGGAGTGAGTGAAAGTGAATATTGTCAAACGACCACCACACCTTAATATGTAGTGCCCACAGCCCATAGGGAATTATCGGAAGGAATGCCAGAGGCGCCAAAGCCGTCAACGAGCAACTGTGCGAGGCTGTGAGACATCTTCTCTGGTTACGAGCAATCCCATTGGCCTTCCAATATTGAACGTTGATGCACGCTTGATTCATAGCTGTGGTCTTCCACGGAGCGCTGAGGAACACCTGTCCTACTGGTGAAGACTGATTGGTACCGTTCCGATCCGGTCACCACGACACGTCGATAGTTCATACTCGTAGTAGCAGTGTATCTTCCACCAGCATTTCAAAACACACTGATATTTGGGCGAGTGGCTGGTACCGTTACCTACAAGAAAAAGTACTGTGATCGCACGAACGGTTGTCGTTGTGGCATGCCCCAGGCCTAAGGGGGAGTGTTTCTGAGCGTGCCCTGCACAGAATCTCTCAACACCGATTGGCATGCGTTGATCCGGGCTGAAGGTTCCGGGGACTTGATGAACGGCGGAATCCGGAGCACGGGATTGTCACAGCGCGTCAGCGTCACACACGCGTGCCGTCACGCTTGGCTCGTTTATCCACTCGGCAGCGAGCTACATAGTGTCCCTACGTGCTCTGAACCCTCGGGCAACCGTCATTTATCATGGGTATCAAGGGTCTGACTGCGCTCATCTCAGAGCATGCACCCAAAGCAATCATCGAACACGACATCAAAACACTCTTCGGTCGCAAAGTCGCCATTGACGCGTCGATGTCCATCTACCAATTCCTCATTGCCGTGCGACAGAAGGACGGAGAATTGCTGACGAATGACGCAGGTGAAACGACAAGTCATTTGATGGGGTTCTTCTATAGGACTATCAGGATCGCCGAGAACGGTATTAAGCCAGCATATGTATTCGATGGGCGGCCTCCGGAACTGAAGGCTGGAGTGGTGGGTGGTATATATCATATGAAAGTGTCAATATTCTGACTGTCTCCAGCTGTCTAAACGACTTGAGAGGAGAGAAGAAGCCAAGGCGGAGGGGGAGGAAGCGAAGGAAACAGGCACAGCGGAGGATGTAGAGAGGTTTACCAGACGGACCGTCAAAGTTACTAGAGAACATAACGACGGAGTGTCAAAAGCTTCTAAGGTTGATGGGGATTCCCGTGGTCATCGTAGGCTTTCCGATTGTCGAAGCAACTAAGTGTTCATTGAGACATGTCCATTACAGGCCCCGTCAGAAGCAGAAGCACAGTGTGCGGAACTAGCACGAGGTGGAAAGGTCGGCCTGCGGATCTGATGTTACGTTTCTTGGTTATTGAGTAATGATTCAGGTTTATGCAGCTGGCTCGGAGGACATGGATACTCTAACATTCAACACTCCTATCCTATTCCGCCACCTTACCTTTTCCGAGGCTAAAAAGGCGCCCTATATCGGAAATTCAACTTCAGAAAGTCCTTGAAGGACTACAAATGAGCATGTCAGAAGTTCGTATTTCGATTCATCTATCTTTCTTGGCGAGGTGTTGATATTACGTGGGTGAACAGTTCATTGATCTGTGTATTCTGCTGGGTTGCGATTATTTGGAGCCTATAAGAGGCATTGGTCCGAAGAACGCATTAAAATTGATCAGGGAGTTCGGTGGACTAAAAGGCGTTGTCGAGCACCTGCGAGAAAAGTACGCACCCGAGCTGATCGAGGTCCAGCACTGATATATCCTTTCCCTTCGACCAGACAAGCTGAAAAAGAAGAAAAGGCAGCTGACGCCGAGGATGGAACAAAAAGGAAGAAAGGTGGGGTTCATGTCCCGGAAGACTGGCCATGGGAAGAAGCGAAGAAGTTGTTCGAGAGTCCGGACGTCATACCGGCTTCGGAAGTGGAGGTATTAATTCCGCTAGGGGTTATTCTTTTTAATATGCTAATTCCAGTACCCAGCTCGAGTGGAAGGATCCAGACATCGAGGGTCTAGTACAGTTCCTGGTGACCGAGAAGGGGTTCAAGTTCGTAGACGTATTTCTTCGTTCAGTGTTATTCCAATCTGATGTCCCTTGCAGTGAGGATCGCGTTCGAAAAGGAGCAGAGAAACTCCAGAAATGTCTTAGCTCCAAGCAACAAGGACGCCTCGACGGATTTTTCACCGTTAAACCCAAAGAGGCAGATGACAAGGAAGTCAAAGGTCGGGGAAAGAGTACCAAGAGTCAGAGTAAGACTACTGAGGGCAAGGGAAAAACTTCGAAAACGGGAACAAAACGTAAGGCTGAAGAGAAAGCGGAATCGTCGGGGAGCAAAAAGACCAAGAACAAGAAGTAGCCCATTTCTTGACACTTACGATTTTCATGTATCACTATTCTGCATTTGTACGTTATCTACATACGTTCTAGTTACATCCGCTAGTTATTGGTGTCTGGTCGTTTGCCCTTGGTTATAGTATATTGATATCTTCATAAACCAGAGCAACAAAAATCGGAATCATTCCAATCATGAAGAAACGTTCGTGTCATAGGAGGGGTGTAAGTACAGGTCCAGTTCATTAAGTCATCAAGATTGGATCATCTGAGGCATGCGAGCGGCGAAGCCAAACCAGTGGTAAATTTCAAGTCCCTTAGTGAAGAGCGGCTCCCGCATAGTTACATCTGGGATCACCTGCGCTTATTCTTCGTACTGGCTGAAGTAATTGTCGGAAGAACCGCTGGTCGATACACATGGAAGTCCTGCGTCTAGAGTCAGATGCTAAGGACAACCGGTTGGTTCTGTCTTGGAGTTCGGTGGTGGTTCCTGGTGAACGTCCACGAAATCCAGACTCGGAAACGGTGAACGCGCCGACACGTCAAATCTGAGCGTGAGAAACGTTCTGCGCTTTGGACCGGCAACTATTCGACAGAGCACGATCACTAGCTCGCCGGCTAACACCCTCGTTTTGATGGGAGCCAATTTCGTGGGTTCGAGGATGGCTAGGATGCAACTGTGGTTTACTGCCGGTAGCCGTTGAAGGGGACCGAACGCGAGATGTCATGCACGGTCTCGGCGAAGTGAAGGATGCTTTGGCAGGCGTACGCGGATGCTGTAGTCCAAGGCCTGAATTAATGCTCGCCCGTCTCGGTAGTAGCGGTGGAGTGTTCTCATCGATGTCCGTTCTACGCATTGAGGAAGGCTTCTTTGGATATTGGCACTCCGATAGGGCACCGGCCCGTCCCGCCAAAGGTGCACCCGTCCGCGTGTTAGATATAGGCTCCCGCTCAGCAAGGGGGCTTTGTGGAGGCGAAGCAGATGAACTGCGCGGTTGACGACAAGCGGCACATCCGCTCCGGTATTCGGAGCTGCTAGTTCGTCGATGTGGTAATCGGGAGTTAATTAAGCGGGGACTAATAGAGAGTCTTGGTTTGCTTTTGTGACTCGGATTAATGACGGCACGGGAGGACGGCGTATCTGCTAGCCCTGGCCACGGTATGTCTTCATTACGGTTAAGAGCTGTCATCTCGAGCGGTTTGGGGTTTTCCTTCTCGGTCTGCTCCAAATGAATTCCTTCGACATTTTGGTGAGGGGGATATATGGATGCCTCTTTCGAAGTGGCCTGGCGTGGTGCACCTTCCTGTCGAATGTTGGCTAACTCTAAGGCCAACGCACGAAGCCCTCGAGAGGTGCACCTGATCTTTTCGTCCAGGAGCCTCCATGGTCGTAGTTTAGATAGAACGCGAGGCATTATAGAGAGGACAGGACCATCCGCGTCGCCATTACCCTGAAGGGCATGACATATCCCAAACAGGAGTTCTGTCGGGATTGGTGCAGGGTATGGTCTGTGTTCCAAGCCAGCAGAGAGAACCTTCAGCACGCGTTCCACCACGTTTCCAAGTTCGGTTGGGAGCTCAACAATAGTAGGCTGAAGACAGGGACCAGATACAGCATGAAAGTTTTCAACGGCACATGTCCCTAACAACGGGAATGTGATACGACTTGTCTCCATCGACGGCTGGAGGCTGGTGCATAAACGGCTGGGCTGCCAATAGTCCACCTTAGTAGCTGATCTCACCTTTCAGATGGCGGTTACACAGAGTAAGTATCTTGAAATCGACTAATTGTACAGTTCAGCGACCCCGCTGTCCCCGATTTCCTTGTAGTGTGCGTGCTGGGCTTCGTGAAGTTTTCGGGGCTCCTTTCGGAGTGCTTCAATGTGTCCGCGTCTCGAGTAATACTGGTCCTTAAATTCCCGGAAAACCGACAAGGTAATAAGAAATGATGTCCTCTGGTACCTGAAATGCAGGCAGATGAAGACACAATTGATCTTGTCCGCGGGATGCGTACATACCTCCGGGTCGTGTGGGCACGTCTAGGGCTCTAGCGTGAAGGTCTGCCTCAGACCCCGGCTTATTCGACAACGTTCTTTTTTTATGTACGCGAACCTACTTATCGAGACATCTGATTTGGTCTGGTCTGGTTCCGAGTCGCGAGCGGCTCAGGGTAAAGTCGATTTTCAATCCGCTCGTCGGCTGCAACTTTAGCATCCTCCGAAATGACAAATGCCAAGTCCTGAAGTTTGTCGATTGCGCTTCCAGTCACTTACTAAACGAGTGTTGGGGTTTCAGCATGCGAGCTACTTCGACAGCGTTAGTCTCGTCAGGTGTCCTCAAACTAGAAGATTTCTGAACGTCTGACCGCCACAATCTTCACTCGGCTATGAATTCCATCAGACATGGGTGACAAGTGACTTACCTTTTCTGGCACGGAAAGCATATTTTGAGTTTGACATGACTATCAGGCACGTGACCAGTCCGACGCGTCTGCGCGTCGAAGAAGTTCCCAGGGTTGAGTGGACCTACGCCTGGCCGGTCAGTGCGAGGAAGAAATATCAACAAGCCAGTATGATTACGCCGTCGACATCCAAACTCGCCCGCGCCGTCCCCTTCACGCCCAGGCGGCCGGCATCCACTTCATCAAGCTCAGACATTCCCCGCGCTACCACACCATCCATCCTCGGAACAACAGCCAAAAAATACAAGGCAGCATTATCAGCAGAGTCGCGCCTCCGAACCAACAAGTCTTCCTCACCCGTATTGCTTTCCCCCGTTCCTGGGTCACCACCTAAATCATCATCCTACGATGGCACACGGCCAAAGACACCCTCCACGCCACGCGGCACGAGTCCAAATCCCGCCATTTTCATGAGTCCAGGCGACATGTCTATGGATGTCAGCAGAGTCGATCCGGAGGAGGTGCTCGTAGATTATCAGACTGTTGAGCCCGGAGATGTGTCAGGGGACTTGGAAGATGACAGTCAAACACCTGACTATGGAAAGGAAGACAAGGTTCTCGTATCTATTCGGTACATACGTCGTCTCGCTTTGAGAGACCGCGACGTTCTTACCCTTCTCCCAGCATTCGCCCTGCGACCGGTCACCAGGCCTGGGATGCATCAATACCGAAAAGCATCAAACTCCTTCCGCAACATGCAAAGTCAACGCTGAATGCCCCTCCCGAATTTCATTTTGATGAGGTCCTAACAGGATCAGAGAACAAACCTGTTTACAACGCTGTCGCAAGAAGTCACGTATGTGCCGCCATGGAGGGTTACAATGCAGTGATATTCGCCTACGGGCAAACTGCCAGTGGAAAGACATTTACCCTTGTGCGTTTTCACGCGTGCGCCCGCTCACTGCTCTGATACCTACACACGCGTACAGTCGGGAAATGAAGATCAGCCCGGTATCATTCCTCGTGCTATGAAGGACGTCTTTGCTCACATCCGTCGCACGTCCACACGTGAATATCTCCTTCGCTGCTCCTACCTCGAGATATACAACGAAACCATTTATGATCTGCTCGCGCCACCTTCCGTGGCCGCAACACAGCCTGTACAACTAATTGGACAGGGCATATTGTCTCCGCTAAGAGAAGAGGTAGTCACCAGCTTGAAGAGCGTACGGGAGGTGATGGAGAGAGGTGAAAGACATCGAAGAACCGCCAGCACGGACTGGAATGAGAGAAGTAGCAGAAGTCACAGCGTGTTCAGGCTTGTGATTGAGAGCAGGGAAAGAGGCGAGGGCAAGCCAGAGGCAAGCGGGCGACAAACCCCGGGCTTGCGACCACCTACTCCTGGCGGAACGCGGTTACAGACGATCGGCGGCCGGAGTGTTCAGATGTCTGTTCTGGTCAGCGTCACTTTCCCGGTAAACATTTCAGACAAGCTGATCCTTCACCACAGAGTTTGATTGATTTGGCGGGCTCGGAAAAAGCAACTTCAGACAAGGAGCGCACACGGGAAGGCAAATACATTAACACAAGGTCAGCCTGTCTATTCTCCTTGTATCCCATAACTTATTCAACGGACCACAGCTTGCTCACCTTAGGAAGCGTCATCGGCACATTAGCGGAGAACGCCGCAAAGAATAAAACGTAAGATCACCTGGTGCATGACTTAAGTGTTAACCTGACTTGTTAATAGCGACCACGTACCGTACCGCAACTCCAAACTTACCCGTCTACTCCAACCCTCCCTCTCGGGTGATGCACGCATCAGTGTCGTCTGTACCGTCAACCCAGACGCCAATGCTGTTACGGAGACGACTAGTACTCTCGGGTTCGCCGCACGAATCAAGCGCGTGCAATTACATGCGAAGAAGAAGGAGGTCGTAGACACAGAAGCCCTTATCGAGCGGTACCGCAAGGAGATCGAAGAATTGAAGCAGAAGCTTGCGGAACGTGAAGCAGAGGCACCAGCCCGGAACAGAAGACTGAGCGCAAGAGAAGTAGGTTGCCTCTTCTTTTTTCTCTGCCTTCGGTGTTTCCTCAAAGAACGGACGTGACATCTGCAGCAAGTCGACGAATCAAAGGCAATGAGGGATCTTAATTCGAGGATACAGCAACTTACCAAACTCATCCTGACGAGCCAATCCGTCGACGAGAACAAGGGAGATGAATCGAGGCCAGCAAGCCCTTCCAAAGTTGATTTCGACATGTCACCTTACCAGGTGGGTAGCACACAATGCTGCGCTTTTATTGTGTTTATTTAAAGATTAAATTTGTTTAAAGCTCCAGCAAGAGCTTCTAGCCACACGTCGGCAGATCGAATCTCAATCGAACCAGATCTTGTCTCTGGAGGCAGCCCTGCTGGCGCGTCCTGAAATCTCACCGGACGCACCTGAATCTGAAAAGGACAAGCTTATCGCCGAACAGCAGAAGACGATCAGAGAGCTCGAGATCGTCGTTCGCGGGTACGAAGATAACCTAGGAGAGCCCCTCCGACAAGTCAAGGAAGACGTTGAGCGGGAGTGGGGCGAGCGCCTGCAAGCCGAGGTGCAAAAACGAGAAGAAAAGGAGGCGTGGGCGACGGAATTGGTGCGTCAACTGGAGAAAGAGAAACGAGCGCGTACAAAGTTGGAGGAGGAACGACGTGCATTGGCAGCATTCGTCAGCAAATTCGATTCCCTAGGCTTGGGTGCCGGAAGCAACCTGAGTTCGAAGCTGAAGCCTGCGAAACCCACCCCGGGCGGCGCAACGACAGCCTTTGTTGAACGTCAACAGAACCGACACAGTATGAACCTCAACACTACTACCATCCTGGAAGAATCGCCGATGAGGATGGATGTGAAGAATCAGCCGAGGTTGCTGGATCAAACGCCGGAAGAGGATTGGAGCATTGTAGAAGATGCGAGCTTTGAGGTAGAAGCTAGCAAGCTAAAGGTTGGGGGGAAGAGAGCTGAGAGTCCCTTGAAAGAGGTATTTGGACGAAAGGAGAATATACCACTGTAGGGTATAGTTATGAGATTAATATTCTGTGTCTGTACGCATGTTTGTCTACTGCTTTGCTTTGTGTTGCCTATGATATCCAAGAATTGTTAAATGTTTTTATTGGCTGACTGGGTCTCACATGAGCAGCAAGTAGTACTAATTGGCAAACTGAGATTCCACAGAACATTGTATATGAGCACTTATGGACTCCTGTTTGGGAGTAGTTCAGGATGTGATATGTTAGCAGTGGGTTTCAGCTTATCTTCAGTTTAGCCAGACTAGATCTAGAGAAGTAATCTTATCAACCAACATTGGCTAAGAAGTCATTGTACATCAATCAATATGTAACCTCTTGTTGAGATAACAAGTTAAGCCCATGCCCCAACTAGAACATGGCCAGCACTGCCAGCAGGCACCTTGTTTACCATGCTGGAGTGCTGCCCTTGTTGTTGGTGTCAATGGTCACATGCTGTACACAGTTGTACTTATGGAGTTGTTTACATTAGTTCACACCTCAGCACTTGTGTCTATGATGCTGAGGTGGGTATGGTAGCCCCTGAGGACATGCATGTATACTTACTCTTTGTAGTGTGCCCAGTCAGGTATTGTCAATGTTAGTGCTTGTGTCTAGGACACTGAGTGTGTCTGGTCAGGTTTTACAACAGGTTATGAGCCCTCAAAGCTGATCTGCACTGACACAACTCTAAGTTCACCTGTTTTACAGCACATATATACACCTTTAACACATATCTTCACTACCCTTGGCTGCTCCAGACATTCCTGCCATTTGTCATGGGCAAATTTGATCATATCCCTGAGTTAACCAATGCCTCAACTTTCTTTGCCTGGAAGACTCAGGTGCTCCTGGCCTTAGATCATGAGGGTGCATATTTTGAAGGATGCTGTAGGTATCCTCAGTAGTGCAACAAGCTACTAATGTATTAGGCCAACCTGTAGGTATCTACAGGATATCAGTAAGTATAATACTGGTAGTGAAAGTGAGCTTACCCTCAGTAGTGCAACAAGCTACTGAGGGAACAGTGAATAAACTACTGTAAAATGTGCGCTCTAACGTGATTATGTAAGCACCCAAACATCGCACCAAAGTGAGCAGAACACAGGGGAGAATATATCTCCAACAGCATATAGCCATGTCAGCAATGGTACAGACCCACTGGACCCTGTTGAGTATGTGTCAGTAAAGCTGAAGCTTGCCAATCCCACTAAACTCACTGATGATGAGTGGAGAGTGATAGTTGATTGGTCTAAGGTGGACACTGTGGCAAAAGATGTTTTATGCTGATGTTTATTGCCAGCTGTTCTTTGCCTTATTCCCCAGGAGTGGTCTACCACTGCTCAGGATGTCTGGACCTCCCTTCATGATGATTTTGACCATGTTGATGTTGGCTCACAGCACCTTGTATGGGCAAGGATTTTGCACATGTGCATGAAGGATGCTGGTGATGTGGCTTGTTACTTGTCAGAACACTCTGCTGCTTGATGTGACCTCATTTGTATGGGAGCATCTTACTCTGATGAAGAGGCTGTTTTCCATCTTATTGATGGTCTCCCAGAGACTGGCACCTGGCCATCTTTCTGCCTTTTCTTGCAAAGCTCTTGCACCATTGTGAGTACCACCTCTGTGGGCACCTCTGTTTCCTCTGTGTTGGCCTCTGCCCCTGTGGCTTGTTTGTCCATCTCCATGGCACTGTCCATGAGCTTGGTGACCTTTGAAAGCATCTTGGTCAAGAGTGCAGCTGAGGCTCACTGCTTGATTCAACAACTTTCCCTCTCTTTGGTGGGGTCCAAGTACACCAATGATGTGACTTCACCTCCTGTTGGTCCTCCCAATGTGAACCTGGTGACAGGTCTCTGAAAGACACAAAATAATCCATCAGGTACCTACTGTGACACCCCCATCAGCAAAGGTCTTGTCTGTGGTGCCAGTAATCATGATAGGGCACACTGCTTTAAACCTGGAGGTGGCATGGCTGGTCAACAACCTTCCTGGCAGAAGGGCAAGGGAGATAAGGATAAGGACAAACCTACTTCAGTGGCAGCAACTACACCTACCTCTCCCACTTCTGCATTGGCTCCAGTGGCTGCAGCAGCACTTGATCCTCCCACAGTCTCTCCTTTGACTACACACCCTGGGGATCTCACTTGTGTGGTCATTACCAAACTCAGCAATGATGGGGGTGCACCCACCTTTGCACCATCACCAGCCCTAAATGCATGCCTCAGCACTCTCTTGGCCTCCAGTCTGTTGGAGTCTGGCACATCTTGCACTTTGGTTTGTGATTGTGCATTCTTCCACACCTATGTCCCAGACACTTCTGTCAATGTTCAAATGGCCAATCATGGACACTTACCCACTACTGGACGTGGTGAATGCCTGGTTTTTCTGTCTGTTGGCAGTGACAAGTACCAGGTTCAGCTCACCAATTGCTTGCATGCACCACAAGATGTGCTACATCTTGTCTTGGTCAGGTGGATGCTCTGTCAAGGCTGGGGTTGCAGTTTTCAGGGGGACCCTGCATGCTGCAAGCTCTCCTACTGTGGATGGCTGTTAGGCAGTGTGCAGCTCCAGTTGAACAACCTTTGCTTCCTAGACCTTGAGTTCATTCACTTTGATGACCCCTACCCCTTACCACTACTCCTGTCCTCACTGCCTTTGCTCAGGCTCCTGTCACCTATGACTTGTGGCATGCTAGATTTGGCCATGTAGGTGGCAAGGCAGTGAGTCAACTCTCTTCAATCACATTCAGTGTCACTGTTGGCTCCTCCACCCCACAGTCAGTTTGCAAGTCCTGCATGGTCAGGAAGCATGCATGCTCACCATTCAAACCTTCTAAGACTTGCACCACTGCCTTCCTTGAACTTGTGCACACTGATCTTGGGAGACCAATGCCAGTCCAGACCTTTCATGGCAAGCTGTACTTCATGGTTATACTCAATGACTATACCCATGTACTGGATGTACACCTGCTTGCTTGCAAAGACCAGGCACTTGAAGCCTGGGAGGTTACCTGAACCTGCTGGGAATGACAGCATGATGCAAAGGTTAAGGCCCTACAGTTGGACAATGGAGGAGAGTTTCTCAGTAATGCATTCATCCAGTCTCTGAACTCACAAGGTATTGTTCATTGCTTGTCCATGCCATACATGCACCAGCAGAATGGGGTTTCTGAACAGGTTATCCATACATTGGAGGGATGGTTCTTGGCCATGTTACACCTTGCTCAGCCCCCACTCATTTGCTGGGGTGAGGCGATGCTTACTGCCTCCTATCTACACGATCACATGGGGTCATGTGTCTTACTGAATGGGATCACACCCTATGAAATGTTGCATCATACATGACCTGATCTCAGCCACTTATGAGTTTGGGGCTGTCAAGCTTACATGCATATCCCTTTAGAACTCCAGCAGAAGTTAGGACCCAAGTCCAAACTGGTGCACTTTGTAGGTTATCCACCAGGGGTCAAGGCATACAGGGTGCACAATGTTAGTACTAGACAGTTTTTTAATTCCAGGGATGTTATCTTCAATGAAAACATTCACAAACTACCCTTTGAGGTAGTGTTGACTGGTGGACTGTCACCTGCTGCCAATGATGACTTGGACTCAGATGAAGACTTGCAGCCCCCATCTCCATCACCCCCACCATCTCAGTGTGTTTCACCTCTGGTACCCTTGGCTGTCAGCCAGCCCTCTACTCCTCCCACTGCTCCTTTATGTCATTCTGGCAGGGTCAGGGTACAGACTGAGGCAGGTAAGGTGTTTACAGAGTCTCTTCAGGTGACACCACCTCAGTGTCAGTGAGAAAAGGATGAGTGGGGTCCATGGGAAGATGTACCAGGTGGCAGTCAATGAGATCATACTCTTGGAGAAGATGAATTATGTACTCACTCTGGTGAAGCCATAGTTCATGGGTGTGATGATCACATTCAAATTGGATGCTGAGGTACTTTGTGACAGGTCCCATGTCCAAGATGCCAAAATGGAGGTGCAGGCAATGCTTGACCTCAGAGAGGAAACACTCATTATTGCTTCCACTGAGACCATCATTGATGTACCAGGCAGCCATGCAGACAACCTCTAACTGATGAAAAACAAACACTGCATGATCCACCTTGCTGTGCTGGAATCCCTGACTCTCAAGTTTGGAGAGAAGTGTTTTGTAAAAGTGGTAGGCTGCCTATTTAATCCCATAGAGGGTGGAGTGAAGCAACCTGACCAGCTCCTTGCCATTTGGGCCATATTCCTTGTACCTGGGTGGCTGTTTGGCATACACCTTCTCCTTGACCTTCCCATGGAGGAATGCTCTTTTTATATCAAGTGAATGTAACTCCCAGTCCTCCCTAGTGGCAATAGCAGCAAGGAGTTGGATGGAGCTCTGCCTTGCAACAGGTGCAAATGTCTGTCCAAAACCCTTGCCTGGTATCAACCCCATGTAGTCTATTTAGTCACAACGTATAGGTAGCCTGTGTGCCAAAATGCCAACACTTATATAGACCCTGCAATGGGCCCATCTAAATAGATTAGCCATGACACATGGACAGGCCTGAGGGCCTATAGTGAGAGCAACATATGTACAGGCCCATAAGCACAATTCCACAACATATGGGAGGGCCTGTGGAGGGTAAGGATGCTGCAACATATAGACAGGCCTGTGATCAAGTAAGTATGCTGAGCTACTGTAAGACATGGATGGGCCCATCCATGGTAGGGTGTGCCCCAGTCACAATATCAGGATGGGCCTGCCTATTGTATCATGAAGAAGGTTGCAACATATGGATGGGCCCACCTGTCATATGCTTTATAGGGTCACAACATAAAGAGGGGCCCCTCTATGATAGATTACAGAGTTGGCAACATATGGAAGGGCCCATCTTTGGGATAATATACCCCTGTCACAACATATAGATGGGCCCATCCATAGCAAGATGCATGTCTGTTGCAACATAAGGATGGGTCCGTCAGTAATATCATTGACAGCATCACAACACATAGATGGGCCCATCAGTAATGTCATTTATAGAATCACAACATATGGATGGGCCCTTCCATAATACCATTTATACCATCACAACACATGG